GTTCTCTCCTCCTCTCTTTCTCTACTTCTAATGTTTCTCCCAGACTTTTGGAGAGAAGTTGCTCGGTGTAATGTCATGGATCATGCCCATCTCTGTGGCTCTCTCCACCTTCGGGGGCGTCAACGGCTCCCTCTTCACATCGTCACGGTCAGTTTATCCTCCATCTTTTGTCATCGCAGCTTCTGTGGCTGCTGTGCTTCTTTTTTTTTTAAATTGACTCTTGTTCCTTTACTGACATTTGAGCCCATATCTGTAGATGTATATGGAGAAACTGGGTAAGCAGTGTAAAAATAAGGAAGCTACACAGAAATTGTAAAATGTATGATAGGTAACAATCTCTCATCATTAGGGCTACAAATTAGTTTTTTTGGATTATATGGGAAAAGTCTGAACGGAACATTATATTCCCTGTTCTGTAATTTGAGGTACTTTGAAGTATTTTATGCTACTCTATATTTTTCCAATACATTTGACTGACAGCTTTAGTTACTTAATAGATTCCGACTGAACCCATACAAATGATTAATAAACCAATACAAAACATTGACATATATTCATAGTTTCAGGGTAAGGTGTCATTCGCACTGATGCTGTCCCCACCCCTTTTTTTAAATGGCCGATATTTGTCCCATTACATTTAGAAGCATCATTTCTTTTTTTTTAATGTTCTGAAAAACAGCTTGAACCAAAAAAATGACATGTAGAATAAATCAATGTGCAATGCCGTTAGCTCAAAAAGCATGCATGGACTGATCAATAACTAAATGTTTGACATGGTTTCTTGTTCCCCCGAATCTCAGTAATCATCTGCTCTAACCCTGATCACTCAACATTTTATTTCTTGAAGACAATTAAAAAATATTCGGACACCATTTGTCCCCACGACTTTTCAACACAAGGTGACGCCCTTGTTTGGTAAATGTACTATAGTTTTTAAGTTAGTATTGCTACTTTTACTTAAATAAAACATCCGAGTGCTTCTTTCACCACTCCTGGTAACCCCACATTCCACAGTACTCCTGTTTTGCTAAATGTTCCACCCTGACATTCTGACTCGTGCACTCTGTCTCTACAATAATGACCTGAGCTGTGTTCCCTGAGCTCTCAGCTGCTGAGTGCACACTGTAAATAAGCAGCAGCTGCCTCTGCTCTCAGGACTTCACCGTCTCCTCTTCTGTCTCTCAGGCTGTTTTTCGCCGGAGCGAGGGAAGGCCATCTCCCACGTCTGCTGGCCATGATTCACGTCAAACGCTGCACCCCCATCCCTGCCTTACTCTTCACTGTGAGTCCTTATCAAAACACTACATCCACTTTTTGTCATTTTTAGTCTTTTGAAGAAATGATAACTCCTCCCTGTCGCCATTTTCAGTTGATCTCCACCCTGCTGATGTTGTGCACCAGTGACATTTACACCCTCATAAACTACGTGGGCTTCATCAACTACCTCTTCTATGGCGTCACCGTCGCCGGGCAGATCGTCCTGCGCTTTAAAGAGCCCGATATGTATCGACCCATTAAGGTAAATACACTAATAGGTATTGAAAAGAAAACCAAATAAAAGATAAAAACCACAATATTATTATGTGTATATTAAATGTGTTTAGATATCACAGTTATAGTCAGTACAGGTAGGTTGATAGATTCAGAATGATTCAAAGGCTTATTGTCAAATGCACAATGGCTACAGTGGAGTTTTGGCTCCTCCAACAATGCAACATAAACATACATAAGATAAAAAACAATAGAAATAGTTGAAGAAATATAAATAATATACAGCAAGAGAATGTGCAAGTAAATGAAGAAATGAGTAGATGATAGATGGAAAAATATAAAATTAAGAAAAGTGAATGTAAACTGAAACTGTGTAGAGTGGAATACATTTCTTTTTTTCCTTGTTTATTATATATAATTCTGGTTGATGTTTAACCAACAATCACATTTCACAATTCTTTGAAACAATGCTTGATCATAAAGGTTTCTATGTGGCCCAAAGAGGTGTCGTAGGGCAAGCACAATTAAACAAGACAATTCAAAGTGCTTTGCAAAAACATTAAAAGCATTAAGACAAAGAAAATCATAAATTACATTTTGAAAGCCCCCTTAGCCAAGAGAATACAAAATAATGTAATATAATAGTTATTTTATTTAATAAAAGGCAGTGGAAAATAGACATCAGTCTTGATTTTAAAATTATTTAGAGTTTTAGCGGACCAGCCGTTTTCTGGGAGTGTGTTCCAGATAACATAAAACATTTCTTTAATGATGATAAGACCGTGTGATTTTACTTTTGTCTCTCCCTGGTCCTCCAGGTGAGCCTGATATGGCCGGTGATCTACCTGCTGTTCTGGGCCTTCCTGATAGTCTTCTCCCTCTACTCTGAGCCGGTTGTCTGCGGCGTTGGCCTGGTCATAATGATGACTGGCGTCCCTGTCTATTTCCTGGCAGTCTACTGGGAAAAGAAGCCACAGTGTGTTGATAGTTTGATGGGTAAGGCAACATTCTAGTGTCTCAAAATAGAAGATGTTTAGAGTTTGAAAATGTTATTTGAAAAATATCATATAGGAATTGAATTGTTAAGGTTGTGTTCATCAGGATAAATGTCTTTAATTAAGCACTTTTAATATTAAATAACTTCCTTGGTCTCTTTCCCCAACTGTACCCAGGTAAATGTACTCATCTGTGCCAAAAGCTTTGTTCGGTGGTCTATCCGGACATGGGGGACAAGGTGGAGCCCCAAGGGTCTCCAAAAGAAGATGGAGATAAGGAAGATGGAGGAAGCCCTCTGACAGCTGAATCTTGATGATGTGCATAAACAATCTCCAACAATGCCACGCTCTTTTTTTTTTTGCAAGGAGGAGGCGCAAAAAGGCACTTAGGAAAGACTCTTCGAGAGATTATCACACATATGCACTTGTTCTATGACATTGGCACGGGCACAGATGCTTTGTTGAAAAGTCACTGATGTTTAACTTGTGTAACACAGAACATGAAATTATTATTTTTGTAATATATTATTGTTTTGTATTCAAGTGTGGGAGGCTATCGGAAAATGTTTTTATATGCAAGTTGTTTGTATTGTAAAATCTGTGATTGTATTCTCACCTCACTATTCTAACACTAAAATGACATTTTCCAGATGGAATAATGTGTTTTATTCACATTGGTGTACATAACATGCGTATATATAAAAGTGTATAAATGATTCATTCAAAAGTTATTTTCTCGATTTATGAAGAGTTTATTTGGATTGATTATTGTCTGTGAAGTGCGACTTTTCTTAAAAGGAAAAAAAAGTCTCCAATTAGGCATAGCGTGGAAAGAGCAAAAACGGCTACATTTCAAATTGTCTTTATTTATAAATTAACAGAAAGATTTTGTTTGAAAATTAAATATTACTATTAGTTGCCCAATGCATATTTAGCACGTGGTTCCCGTATACCACGTTTTTTCAAATCCTAAAACTATTTTAGACAAGAGTTTTTGACAAGTTGAATGCCTGTTAAAAGATACTCGGATGCACTCTTTTCTCACACTACTACATTGTGGTGCACACTGCTGAACCTCCTCATCTATGTTTTATTTACCTGTTGGAACACCTGACGTAGAAGGGGCGGAGCCCACGCACCGTGAGCGATCAAATTGCGGAAGTCATGGGCTATGACGAGCCGGGCTTGGTTACAATTTTACGATGCCCTGAAATGGACAGGAAAGAAGATGCATTTGCTTTCAAAATAAAAGCCTGAATCGGTATCCAAATAATGCTGGATCAATTCAAAGTTGTGGATGAAATGAATCAAATCAAACCAGAACATCTAATTGGTGTATTCTAAATCATATGTATTTATACAACACTAAGTACTGTCAAATATGTTACATCTTGTACACAACAATTGTAAACAAACTTTTCTAATCCAGGGTAGCCTATAACATAGCGAAATAACGTAAACCTAGAGCTTTTAGGAGCTTGAGTCTGGAAATCCCGGGCAGCTGCACACTCTGATAGTTTAGTAATCCAGTATTTTCTCTACCTAGTGATTTAGAATCCATTTTCCCCCTGTGTTGACACAATTATCGTTAAGGGAAATGGATTCCCTAATTAGTTCGTTTGGATAACTATTTTATTTGACTATTTTTACTTTTTTGAAATAAGTACTGGCCACCACCACAACCATTTTACATGGAATTAAAAGTGAATAATTAGGGTAGGCCTACGTGTTATGTTATATAGTGTGACATATTTACAGGATGCTACTTGTCATCTACCAAGGTACAGTAGTCTTCAATTGGTTATACTTGTACTGGAACTATTTCCCACACTTCTAATCCTTCTGTCCATCTGCGGATGAAGACCATAACATGTGGTTGAAATACATGAAAATGGCTATAGTGGCTCAAATTTGGGTTAAAATTATTATTTTTAATCTGAACCTCTAAATTACTGTTATTATCACTGTTCCCTGCAGACCTGTCACAACAGGCAAAACACAGCAATTAATAACACTAACGAGGGCTCTGCATATCCCTCGTTAATGTAACACCTGTGCTTTTTGTACTCACGCATCACAATTCAAAATGTCTGCAGTGCTGGGAAAAAGGCCTATTTTCCCAGAAATTATATTAAAGCAGTGTTTGGATATTTTACAGGGAAATTACAAAACAATACATAGTTTGTTTGCTTTTGATATCAAGCCAGACATTTCTCAGACAGACATTTCTCAGGGGGCAAAATGGAGGATCATGACCTCAATATTTCTAGAAAGTCCTATCTCTTTAATAAATGTCCATTAAACTGGTGAGGCAGCTATGCAAATGAATGCCCTGTAACTTGCGTGTACACTGTGTATACCATAATTAATGTTATTCGTTTCACCGGGGCTATTCCTGTTATGTACAAATGTTATATGAATAAGGCCTAATAAAAAAATACCTTCCTGTGAATTTAAAAGGTGTATTTTATTTTGAAAGGTGTGACAGGAAGTCTTGTGATTATACTCTCATCCATTGACACTACATGGATCCACAGTATTTGGGTTTCCAGCCATCTGACTGCATTCGTCTATTGGAGGGGGTTCGGTTGAACCGCTTTACTTTTCAAATACTGGGGACTCTCTGCACAGAGTAGAGGTAGGTATTTATTCTGTAGCTTAAACCATTCACATAAACACACCTCCATGCTAGCTAGCGCTATAGCTCTCTCACTGAGCAAGCTTGACAGAATCTGAAGGTTAGCTCTGCTCGGTCACTTGGCTAGCCACTGCCTCGTTTCACTGACCTGCATCATCGACTGGGGGAGTGTCATGCTAACTTGAATCTATTTGATACCTAAATGTTTTTTTACAACGTAAATTATGAAGATAGAGGTAGGTTATTGACAAGTTTAGCCATGTCTATGAGTAAATAACGCTATGCCAATATGTCACCAGGAAGAGCATTCAGCTTACTTACTTACGTAGTTGAAGTAGTTTGAACTGTTTTTGCAATATTTACACTTTGGTTTTGTGTTTTAGTGACACCATAGCTCTTTTAATGATTCAGTTATTATGGTGTAGTAACAGCTTTACGTCATTAACCTAACGTTACACACACAGTTGGGATTTTTCAGTAACAGGAAGTGAAATTATACAAATCGTAGTATAACTCTGCTCTGTTTGCACTTTTCTGTCATTTAACATATCCATGACACCCCATTTACAAACACACACACACACACACACACACACACACACACACACACACACACACACACACACACACACACACACACACACACACACACACACACACACACACACACACACAGCCATGTCTCCTTCAGTACCCCTACAGGAGATGATCCGGGCCATCAGGTCAGCCAGGACGCAGTGTGAGGAACGAGGTGTCATCCAGAGGGAGTGTGCAGCCATCCGGGCACAGTTCAGACAGGCAGACAATGGGGGGCGATCGCACAACCTGGCCAAGCTGCTCTACGTGCACATGCTAGGCTACCCTGCTCACTTTGGTCAGGTGAGGGGGGATTGTGCTAATTCCTTTCATGGGTTTGCTTGGGTTAAGGGGGTTAGCAGGGGTGAGAAAACATCATGCTGCTGGATGATCCGGGCTCAATTCATCGCTGATTTGTTCTCGTATAAGATAGGGGCCTGGTCCCAATGTCCAACCACTATGTGTTTAAACTGATTCCACAAAGACATGATCTGTGTGCTTAGCAAACATTTGTGATTGCATGACAAAGCTCTAAAAACATAAACAAATGACAGCAACTTGTGGAATAACAAGCTAAATGCATAAAGTTAAGATAATATTAGTAAGTCTCTGCTGGGGAAACTAGTTCTTCTGGCTCTTGTTTGACATTCCGTGTCATTACAATGCTTTGAATCGTGGTTAGTTCCCTCAAGCAAAGTCTACTCTGCAGCATCTTAAACCACTGAAACCTTTTCAGCTCCAGTAAGGCTGCAGCTCTCAATCTGACCTCCACTCAGAGAGGGCAAAGAGCTGTTCATTTTCCCATGTCACCTCACATTAAAAGGAGTTGTGGTTCTCCCGTCTAGATGGAGTGTGTTCGGATGATAGCCAGCCCTCGATACAGCGAGAAGCGTGTGGGATATCTTGGAGCCATGATGCTGCTGGATGAGAAGCAGGATGCCAGTTTGCTCATCACCAACTCCATCAAAAAGTAAGAACACCTACTTGAACTTGAAATCTGAAATCGTAATAAAAAATATTAGTAAAACCACTGTATTTAACATAAACAGCCAAAGGGCAAATTTACACCAATGTTTACAGGAGTTTGGGAGTACCACTGTATATGCTAAGTTGCCTCAAGTGATGTCAATTGATTATCTGTTGGGTCTGAAGACCACAACTTTTAAAATAAAGAAAATCTTGGGGAGTGGAGTTGGAAAGAAGTATATTTACACGACCTTTGTTGTCCCCTCCTCATCTCTGCTAAAGGCTTTAAACTTGAAGATACATTAGCCGCTACAATCCTAACACACCTTAATCTCCAACCAAACTATTGGCAGTTCCAGTTGCATTGAGGGTAATGTAGGCGCCACGTTTTGGCTATGGAATAGAAGGCGTGGAATTGAAAAATACGCTATCTATTGTTGTGCGCCATACATTTTTTTATAAATGTTTTAACAATCCATCTTAAGTACAACATTGATATAGGAATACGAAATGCTTAATAATTAGTTGGAGAACTCGTTAATAAATATCTTACAATGCATAAAAAACTGTTTATAATGCATATGTTATAGTGTTCAGTAGCTTTTTGCATATCCAGATTTTAAGTGCTAAATGGTGGGGATAAAATGACATGGTACTAAGTTTTATGTGTTTTATGTTAACTTCCCCTTATGTGTGTTCTCCAGTGACCTCTCTCACAGTAACCAGTACGTGCAGTCCCTGGCTCTGTGCACGCTGGCCTGTATGGGTTCAGCCGAGATGTGCAGAGATCTGGCTCCAGAGATCGACAGACTGCTACGAGCCTCCAACTCCTACATCAAGAAGAAGGTACGTTCTCCCCCCTTTTTACTGATACATTTTTGCACAGTTAAATCTTACCATATACGTGTAATGAATTACAATTTATAAGCCTAATTCTGGCTTTTTAAAACAGTTACATAGATGTCTATCCTTCTTCAGCACTTAAACTATCAACCACCATCCATCTGCTCAGTGTAGTGGTGATATAACTGTCCTGATGACTCGCTTTTCTCTTCTTCCAGGCTGCTCTGTGTGCTGTTCACATTGTGAGGAAGGTCCATGAACTCGGAGAGCTTTTTGCGCCCGCCGCTCGCTCCCTCCTCACTGAGAAGAACCACGGTTAGTAGACCTCAATAACTCATAACTGTAAGGGTTTCTCACAGGTGCTGTTTCAAACTATTTTCAATGCTTACCCCCTTTATCCCCAGGTGTGCTGCATGGGGCTGTGGTGCTCATCATTGAGCTGTGTGAACGGAACCCAGAAACACTGGAGCGCTTCAGAAAGGTGTGCATCCATCCATCCATCCATCCATCCATCCATCCATCCATCCATCCATCCATCCATCCATCCATCCATCCATCCATCCATCCATCCATCCACACACACACACACACACACACACACACACACACACATACATACATACATACATACATACATACATACATACATACATACATACATACTTCCCAAATTGTAGTGGATTAGAAGTAGCAATAATTAGAAATACTTAAATAAAGTATAGGTAACTTAAATTCTTACTTGCATACAAAACATGAGAAAATGTACTTAATACCTTTCCCCTGCTCCATACTTACTTACTTACTTACTTATTAACTTACTTACCTACCTACTTTCATACATACATGCATACTTACTTACTTATGAACTTACTTAGCTTCCTACTTACTTATTTACCTATTAACTTACTTACTTTCTTACTTACTTACTTACTTATTGACTTACTAACTTACTTATATACTTACTAATTTACTTACTAACTTAATTACATATTTACTTATTTACTGTCTAACCTACTTACCTACTTACTTACTTACTTATTGACTTACTAACTTACTTCCATACTTACTTATTTACTTACTAACTTACTTACTATCTTACCTACTTACTCATTACTTACATACTTACTTACATACATACATGCGTGCGTACACGTCTAACTGCTGTAATGTTTGTGGTGTGTTTTCAGACGGTGCCAGATCTGGTTCAGATCATGAAAGGTCTGGTGCTTTCGGGTTATTCTCCAGAACATGATGTGGCAGGAATCAGCGATCCCTTTCTACAGGTCAGTGTGGACTCAGTGGATCATATTACAGTATCATATCACTCTATTTATCCTTTTTAATTAAGGTCAATAGATGCTTTACTGGCAGGACATTTTGGTCAACAGTTTTTCCATTTTCATTTAGCTGTATCTACATAGCCAACATAATAACACAAAAATTAAAAATAACAAAATGAGATCAATGCAAATAATGGGTTACCATAATAATAATAAAATAAAACAGGAAAGGGTGTGTGTGTGTGTGTGTGTGTGTGTGTGTGTGTGTGTGTGTGTGTGTGTGTGTGTGTGTGTGTGTGTGTGTGTGTGTGTGTGTGTGTGTGTGTGTGTGTGTGTGTGTGTGTGTGTGTGTGTGTGTGTGTGTGTGTGTGTGTGTGTGTGTGTGTGTGTGTGTGTGTGTGTGTGTGTGTGTGTGTGTGTGTGTGTGTGTGTGTGTGTGTGTGTGTGTGTGTGTGTGTGTGTGTGTGTGTGTGTGTGTGTGTGTGTGTGTTGGCACCAATTCCTTCCTGGAGTTCAATGACCAAACTAAGGCAATACGCAGGGTTGGCAGCATGTCCTTTACCCCCGCTCCTCAACGACGCCCATCAAAATCACCGAAGCAGAGACGCGCACCATCTCCCCCGTCTTCATCACCGTGCCTACGTCAACCACCTCCCCCCCTGGCAGCATGTCCTTTACCCCCGCCCTTCAACGACGCCCACCAAAATCACAGAAGCAGAAACGCGCACCATCTCCCCCGTCTTCATCACTGTGCCTACGTCAACCACCTCCCCCCCCTTCAAGAAAGCATCTGCGGTCTCCGAAGCCTGATAAGGATGTGTGTGTACAAAACGCAACAAACTCTAACTGATATGTGTTGGGTCCAGGCTCAAGGGCGTATGGCACTCTCAACTCTTTCCAGGACATGCCAGTAGCTTTGCCGATATCTGTGTTGATAGGTAATAGATTAAGAGCGGTGAATCAGCTTAGAAACAGGAAGTGCTCAAACGTTTGTGTGAGTTTATCAAATTTAGAAGTGATTCCATGTCAGCCACAGCTTGCCACAAAAAATCGTACTGATAGTGTATTTAACAAACTTAAACTAGCTTTATTAAATGTCAGGTCTTTGGCAGGAAAAACATTTTTAATCAATGATTTTATCACTGAGCACAATCTCGATTTTATGTTTTTAACGGAAACTTGGATTGAACAAAATAACAGTGCAGCTGTTCTTATCGAATCAACCCCTCCCAACTTTAGTTTTATGAGTCAGGAAAGAATGCATAAGAAAGGGGGTGGAGTTGCTATTTTGTTTAATGATTCCCTTCAATGCAGGAAGACATCTTATGGGGACTTTGCTTCTTTTGAATATGTGGCCCTTCAGCTGAAATGCTCCTCTCGAGCTCTGTTCCTAAATATCTATAGACCACCCAAATACTGTGCAAGCTTTTTTGATGATTTTACTGAACTGCTGTCTATAGTGTGTATTGACTTTGACCGTCTAGTCATTGTTGGTGATTTTAACATCCATGTTGACAACCCCCAGGACAGAGGGGCTAAAGAACTGTTTTGTGTTCTTGATAACTATGGACTGACTCAGCATGTGACTGAGCCCACGCACAATAAGGGGCACACTCTGGACTTAATTATCTCAAAGGGTCTGAATATCTCTGAGGTTGAGGTGACTGATGTTGCACTATCTGATCATTCCTGTGTTTTCTTTGAGAGCTCTATTTCTGTTCACAAAAATGTTCAAAAAGAGGTAACCACAAAGCGATATTTAACTGAAAATACTAGGGAAATGTTTACTCAGAATTTTTCTTCCACACTTGCCCCTGCAAACATCTCAGTAAATGAGCTAGTAGATCATTTTAATAAAAAAATAAAAAATGTTATAGATGCCATCGCTCCAACTAAGGTAAAGGAAGTGACTAGCAAGAAAATATCTCAATGGAGAAAGGCCATGACCGTGAAAACAGAAAAAAGAGAGTGTCGAAAAGCTGAACGTAGGTGGTGAAAAACAAATCTCCAGGTTCATTTTGAAATCTATAAAGAGAGACTTGGCCTTTATAATTTGGAATTGAAAAAACGCACAACAGTCTTTCTTCTCTGACATCATTACCAAAAACAACGCACGTGCCTTGTTTGCTACCGTCGACAGACTAACAAACCCCCCAGTGTCAGTAGCCTCTGAATTTCTATCCACCAGGGCGTGCAATGACTTTGCCTCCTTCTTCATTACATTACATTACATGTCATTTGTTAGACGCTTTTATCCAAAGCGACTTACATACATTCAGTACTGTGGACAATCCCCACAGGAGCAATTTGGGGTGAAGTGTCTTGCCCAGGGACACAACGACATGCTGACTGCAGTGGGACTCGAACTTGCTATCCCCTGATTCGAAGTCCAGCACACTTCCACTGAGCCACAGCCACCCTGTTCTTCACTGACAAAATTCAGAAAACCAGACAAGCAGTCAGTGCCTCTGCATCAGGTACAGCAAATGTGTTGTCCCTGTGTCCACTTAAAATCAATTCAGACATCATGACACAATTCCATCAGATTAATGATAAAAACCTAGAGGACATTATTCAACTTCTGAAATCCTCCTCCTGCTGCCTTGATATTATTCCAACAGGATTTTTCAAAGATGTTTTTCATTGCATGGCCTCAGATCTACTTCATATAGTAAACAAGTCTCTTTACTCAGGTGTTTTTCCACAGGCCCTGAAAACTGCAGTCATTAAACCGCTCTTAAAAAAGAATAATCTAGATGCTTCAGTAATGAACAATTACAGGCCCATATCAAACCTGCCATTTCTAGGTAAAATCATTGAAAAAGTAGTTTTTCAACAGTTGAGTAATTTCTTGCATTTAAATAACTGTTTCGATGTGTTCCAGTCAGGCTTTCGTCCAAACCACAGCACTGAGACTGCTCTTGTTAAGGTCTTCAATGACATCCACTTAAACACAGACAGTGGCAGAACTTCAGTGTTAGTATTATTAGATCTCAGTGCTGCGTTTGACACTGTTGACCACAACATATTACTAGACCGACTGGAAAACTGGGTGGGACTTTCGGCAACAGTTCTAAATTGGTTTGAATCCTACTTAAAGGACAGAAACAACTTTGTTTCTATAGGTAAATACACATCTGAGTTGACAAATATGACATGTGGGGTACCTCAAGGCTCCATATTGGGGCCTCTTCTCTTTAACATCTACATGCTACCACTGGCTCAGATAATGAAAAACAACAAAATAAGTTACCATAGCTATGCGGATGACACACACATTTACGTAACAATTTCACCAGGAGACTATGCTCCAATTCAAACACTGAGTAAGTGCATTGAACAAATCAATGACTGGATGTGTCAGAACTTTCTCCAATTAAACAAAGATAAAACTGAGGTAATGGTTTTTGGAGCCAAGGCAGAACTTATAAAAGTTAGCGCTGAGCTTCAGTCTGCAATGTTCAAAACAACAGATAGAGCCAGAAATCTAGGTGTAGTCATGGACTCTGACCTGAGTTTCAACAGTCACATTAAAACAGTTACTAAATCAGCCTACTATCACCTAAAGAACATATCTAGGATTAAAAGACTAATGTCACAGCAGGATTTGGAAAAACTTGTCCATGCTTTTATCTTCAGTAGACTCGACTACTGTAATGGTGTCTTCACAGGTCTCACTAAAAAATCTATTCGAAAGCTGCAGCTGATTCAGAAGGCTGCTGCTCGAGTCCTCACTGACACTAAGAAAGTGGATCACATCACTCCTGTTCTGAAGTCTTTACACTGGCTTCCTGTGTGTCAAATAATTGATTTCAAAATACTGCTGCTGGTTTATAAAGCTTTGAATGGTTTAGGCCCAAAATACATGTCTGACCTACTGCTAAATGATGAACCATCCAGATCTCTCAGGTCTTCAGGGACTGGTCAGCTTTCTGTCCCCAGAGTCAGAACTAAACATGGAGAAGCAGCATTCAGTTATTATGCTCCAAATATCTGGAACAAACTCCCAGAAACCTGCAGGTCCGCTGCAACTCTGACTACTTTTAAATCCAGACTGAAGACTTTTCTTTTTGCCGCTGCTTTTAATTGAACTATTCACATTCAACAGTTTTTCCATTTTCATTTAGCTGTATCTACATAGCCAACATAATAACAAAAAAATTAAAAATAACAAAATGTGATCAATGCAAATAATGGGTTACCATAATAATAATAAAAATAAAACAGCAAAGGGGGTGTGTGTGTGTGTGTGTGTGTGTGTGTGTGTGTGTGTGTGTGTGTGTGTGTGTGTGTGTGTGTGTGTGTGTGTGTGTGTGTGTGTGTGTGTGTGTGTGTGTGTGTGTGTGTGTGTGTGTGTGTGTGTGTGTGTGTGTGTGTGTGTGTGTGTGTGTGTGTGTGTGTGTGTGTGTGTGTGTGTGTGTGTGGGTTGGGGTGTGTGTGTGTGTGTGTGTGTGTGTGTGTGGGGGTGTGTGTGTGGGGGTGTGGGTGTAGGTAGGTGTGGGTGTAGGTAGGTGTGGGTGTAGGTAGGTAGGTAGGTAGGTAGGTCAGAACCATTCAATACACTTTGATCAGGAGGTTAAAGACCCTGAAGTGGTTCAAAAGATGTGGGGAATTAGAATGAACTTACTGGACCAGCACAGTTGTGGCGTGACTCCACCTTATGTCTGTCTGGATACTACCAAGAACTTTAAACTGGTTATGAAACAGTTTGAATGTTATACTGATGCCTCTAGAACACCTACATGAGTAGACTAGAGACCATTTCAATATTTCTTTCATCTTAATGAATCTTTAACTAATACTGAGACATTACATCTGCTGTGATAGATCATTACTGTTCTTAATTTTCCAGACAATCAACAGATTTTGTATTATTGAATGTTCAGGTTGTTCCTTCTTTCAGTATCTTTTTTTCTCACTCACACTTACAGATGTATCACCCTTTCATCCGTCCTCCTATTTTTGCTTATTCTGTGCTCCAAAATAACTTTTATTCCATCTGTTCCCTCTCTCCGTCCTCAGGTCCGCATCTTGAGGCTGCTGAGGATCCTCGGTCACAACAACGAAGGAGCCAGTGACGCCATGAACGACCTACTGGCTCAGGTCCAATTTTCTCCTTCACAAATAATAATAATCATTCTCTGAGTTCTTTCTTTCTAGCTCAAAATAAAAAAGTTTTCTCGTTGAACATTATGTTCTTCCCATTCTCTGGTTATCAAGTTTCTGTAGGTGTCCCTCCTCTCCATTTTCAGCCATCATGGGTGTCACTGCTCACGCTGAGTCACCCAGTTTGTTTTATTCCAGGCAAACTGGAACATGTACAGCACACCACTTCCTGTGTGCCAGAGTATGTTGCTCTTTTCCCAAACTGGGTGATAAAACAGAAAATGTAAATATTTCTATGGCAACTGGTGGCAGAAATAAAGCTTTTTTTCCCAAAAACGATTAAAGAAAACACACCAATTAAAATGTGTTGTATGAGTAATGTTTGACTTTCCGTGCAGGTGGCGACCAACACTGACAGCACTAAGACTGTGGGCAACGCTGTGCTGTATGAAACTGTTCTCACCGTGCTGGACATCAAGTCAGAAAGTGGCCTCCGGGTGAGACTCTGGCAGCACCTCTCACTGTGTGACACCTTAATACATAATACATGTTGTCACCTTATTAATTAAAAAATTGTGACTTATTCCCCAGGTTCTGGCTGTGAACATTCTGGGAAGATTTCTCCTGAACAACGACAGAAACATTCGGTTAGTGTTTGTTTGTTTTCCGTTCCTCCCACAGTTCTTTCTCTTTTTCCTCATCATCATTTTGAGCTTTTTCATTCCACAAGGCCAACGGCCAACTCCTGGCATCCAGAGAGAGGAACTCCCCCGACAGGCTGTTATCAGTCCGAGCTCACTAATCACTTTCCCGGGAGCCGTTCCTCTAGAGCAATACCAGAAGGTCACTGTCTGGCTGTTAATGCTGATCTCTCAATTAAGGGACCGTGTCATTTGTCATCAGGCAGTGTGGAGACCTGTTAACTGGTTCCTCCGGGCTTGTTTTTCGCTGCTATTTTTTTTAACATTTGTTTCCATAGGGGTTGTGTGGTCTGCTTTTTACCTGCAGCGCTCTTGAATCTCTCTCTGGCTGTTTGACAGTAATAGGGCTGCTTTTCCTTCTTCCCTGGAGAGATAACATCTCGCCAGTCAGTGCATACATTAATACTTAAGCAGTCCATAAGACATTTTAATTGGAATGATGAATTATTTATCGTAACAGGTTGAGAGAGTCATGTTTTTACAGAGCTGTGAATTAATCTTATTGTGAGCTGATGGTTAGATCTTTTTGTTTTTTATTCTGTAGCAACTAAACCAATATCAAACAAATACAGAAAACAAACTCAGACTTATAGAATATAGTTTGTGCAGTTTCTTCTCTTTTCCACGTTTCAAATCTACAAGAACAATGGCTCTTACCTCTTCTCTTTTCCTGTGACTTGCCCTGATAAAGAAAACACATGCCTGTCCTGTGCCCAATCCCACCTCAACCTGTCTACCATTGAATAAATAAATCACCTAGTGCCCAATGCTGCCTTCAAAATAAAAGCATAATCAACTACTCAAATTATCTTAAAGGGGCCTTATTCTGCTTTTCGGGGTTTCCCCTTTCATGTAGTGTGTTATATAGGTTTTTGTGCATGTAAATGGTCTGCAAAGACAAAGAGTTCCCTGCAGAGGGAGCTTCTCTCCCACACACTCACACTGCCTGAAACACCTCCATTGGACTTCTTTATTTACCTGTAACATAATAACTGTGTAACACTCGCGCTTCTATTGGCTATCGCTCCAACACATTGTAGGTAATAGGCCAATGGGCGGGACATCTCTAAGCGGCAATCACAACAGAGCCGGCCAGCTAACCAATCAGAGCAGAGTGGTTTCAGACAGAGGGTGAAAAGAGGTGCCGCAGAACAGCCAGTATGAGAAAAATAAAGACAACTTCATTTTTGTCTGTTTCTTTTTTTGTATTCAGGTACATTGCCATGACCTCTCTTCAAAAGATTGTTGGGACGGACCACAATGCAGTGCAGCGCCACCGGGGAACCATCGTGGACTGCCTGAAGGACCAGGATGCTTCAGTCAAGCGGTAACTTTGCCCTCTCCTCAGGCACAGCTGTTCTTCAAATGATCAGCAAACTTGACAGCCAAGCTTTTCCAATGTCACCTTTTAATGTTTATTTTAAGAGTCATCAATCATGATTTCATTATCTCTTGTTTTCAAATATCAGAGATCAGTTAATTTTTAAGTAGAAATCAATCTTTCCAAATGTAGCAAACCTCTACTGTGTTATCCCTATTTTATGTTTGGGGATATTTGATTTCATATGTGAACATGCACCTTCTGTCTGGTCAGTTTAGAACACTGAACTCAGCCGCATCAACACAATGATCCGTATTAAAGGGCCAATACATATTTACTGACATTAACACTTTCCTGGACAATTCTCCAGCCGTGCGTTGGAGCTCTCCCTGGCGCTGGTGTCGGCAACCAATGTCCGCTCCATGATGAAGGAGCTGCTCATCTTCCTCTCCTCCTGCCCCCAAGAGCTCAAGTCTCATGCTGCCAGTGGCATATTCAACGCTGCAGAGAGGTATTACAGACTGTTTTTTTAAATATAGACATTTCATTTTAATTGTACTAATGAGTAAGGCTGTGAATACCCTACGTTTAATATTTCAACATGTTAAATACGTTTAATGTCTTGATGTAAAATGATTATTATTATTATGTTTAAGTAATATTTTACTAGCGTTTCCATTTTTGAAGTGTAGGTGCTTCCTTATTTTTTTACATTGTTTTGCAACATCAACTTCTTATAAACTAACGACAAAAAATAATTTGCCATCCTGGTATATTGTATTTTAAAGGAGGCAAATCATTGGTGAAAAAACATTTCATTAATCTGAGGAGATGGTGCTCAATATATGAATTGTATCCCTTCTTTAATATAATCTTGTCATTCATTTGAACTGATTTACACCGTATTGCTGACTGTATCTATGCATGTAAGCACACATTCATGTGCATGTCAATACATTTATTGTGACGTTTTTAAAGTGTGAAGGCTGTTACAAAAAGTCCTTTATATGTGTGTGGCTTCATGTATCACTCTGTGTCTGTCTCCACTCTAAATGACACCCCAGTCTCTTTAAGTGGCAATCAATCGTCTTCTATATTTTTATTGTACACGCACTTGTGTATGGACTTGCAGATGGATATGTGTGTGTGTGACTCCACTGCACCACTGAATGTGTGTGTCTCTGTCTCTGTCAGGTATGCCCCCTCCCAGCGCTGGCACATTGACACCATCCTGCATGTCCTCACCACGGTAACTACACACTGAGCCTCCACCTGCTGCCTGTCACATGGGGTCCTCACTTTACACCTGTTTTTAAGTTGTCATTATTAATGTGCTCAGATACCAGGGGCCTACGGGGGCCGACACATGCATATGCGTTAAAATTGTAATTTTAAAAACAATGCAAACTAAAAAACACAAATGTGCCAAAACACAAGCAACTTAGCCGCTTTCACACCAAGTACTTTGCTGTACGTAGTGCCGGCACTTAGTGCCTGGCACTTAGTACCCCCAGGGCACTAAGTACAGATCGCGTTCACACCGGAATAACTTCCCTGAGGGAAGATTACGCAACTGAAGCCGCTGACGTCACTTCTTCTTCTTCTGCTTTGGGTTTACTGACAGGCCGCAAACAACTTCACGGCGTATACTGCCACCCGAAGTTCCCGGCCGGAAGTCCCCGGAGTTGGGGACTGGCTTCAGTAGAAGCTGCTGGGACTCCCAGCAGCTTCTACTGAAGCCTTCCGAGTAAATCGCCAGAACGCCGACACCTGCTCATCACTCCACCGCTCCCATGTTTTGTGTTGCCATAAGTTATTCTCTCTCCGTTGGTGCGCGGGGCTAATGCTAATGCTAATAATGCTAATTCCAGCCAATAGAAATTGGTACTTTTTTCTCCCCAGGATAGTACCACCTCTCTAGCAGGCACTAAAAATGGGGGTAAAAGTTCCCGGCACTAAGTTCTCTTGTTGGTGTGAACGCAAAATAAGAGGTACTAACGGAACTAAACGGGAAAAGTAAGGGGAAAAGTACTCCGGTGTGAACGCGCCTATAGACAACACATGGGCAGCATTTAGAGAACATTCACCAACTTGGCGAATCATAAGCATAGTTTACTAAGAGCGCTGCATAAAAACAAAATGAGAAAACTCTGCAGGAAGCTCAAAGCACAATAGAAACGGGGACACTAATGGCGCATTTCCACTACACGGCCTCGCTCGGTATGGCTAGGCCTCGTTAGGACTGGCTCACTTTATGGCGCATTTCCATTACAGTTTAGGAACTGGGGTAGTATCTATAGTAACGCAGTGTAGGCGGAGCCGTGACGTCATCTTCAATGAGAACCCCAGAAAAACAACACAGCCGTTAGCTGTTAGCACTCAGAGCTCACAGCTCCTCATATATGTTCAGAAACTAGACAAAAGTTAAACAAGTACAAACCACAGACTGCCTGTGTCATGGTGAATACAGTCGCTGCTTTATTTATGTCTGTATAGGCCGTTGTTGTGAGTGTGGACGGTCGGAGCATATACTGCGTTAGCTTAGCCGATCTCCATTCAGAAAACACGCATTTTAAAAGGTTTTTCGCCTGCCGTCTGTCTGCAGACTTGACAAAGCATTAATTCATGGTTTTTACTAACCGGTATCAGTATGTTGTTACTTCGGCATCATTTTGAAACGTGTATTACAATTAAATCACGGTCAAATATGTCCATCTTGTTGTAGTTGTAGCCCCCTTGCCAGCGATTCTCTCTCTAGTTTAGCATACTCAGCCCGACTCAGCCTCGTTGTCTCTGGCCCTAGAACCACGATTTTATGAGGCCAGAAAAACTGTGAATTAGGACCCGCCGGCCGGTACTAGGCCAAGTGGAAACGCAACCAAAGACGGGCCGCTGACGTCACAGCCCTCTTAAACCGTGCTCCGCGCTGTAGTGGAAACGCGCCATAAGAAGTGATGCAGACAGCTGGGACTGGAGTGCTTGTTGGCGTTCGATTATAAAGTTGGCCAACTGTCACTGGGAACTTACATAAAAGGTTTAATTGGCTTATTTTAACAAAGTGATCGCATGATTCCTTCCCATATTATTGCAGATCCACTGTAAGCTAGCTAGCTAACGTAGCTAACCTCGTCATTTCCAGTATACTGAAAAAACACTTACAATTATGAAACTTTTGCCAATGTTATAATCACCAAACGTCAACAACCTCTCCTTATTAGTGTCTCCTGGTTTCCATTGTGTTTTGAGCTTCTTGCAGCGTTTTTTATTTGCAGCGATCTTAGTAAACGCTGCGCATGTTTTGTTAAATTGGTGAATATTTTCTAAATACTGCTAATGTGTTGTGAATTTGTTGAAGATGTTTTTTCATTTGCAAGCGTTTTGGCACATTTGTGTTTTTACATTTGGATCAATTTTGACAGTCCAGCGTGTTTGCACCTGTCGGCCACCGTAGAGGCCACATGTGTGAAAGCTTTGTATGCATTAAGATACTTCATTTACATTTTTCCAAACTAAAAGTTTGACGTCTTTGTGCACATTTTCACACATTCGGCCCCAGTTCCTGAATATCCCTGACTAGCCTCTCTATTTGTTCCATTCCTACTTTTTATTTTGTGCTGGGAAAGGGAATAAATGCAAGTCACATGATTAGCTAACGCTTACCTTAGCCTTTATTCTCCAAACGATGGAGCGTGCAGAAAGGGTAACATTTAAAAAATGCTTAATTGTATATCGGTAAATGTCCATGAACTGTGATGGAAGCCTCTCCCATGTGAGGTCATTGTGTCTGGGAGGAGATGTAGGGTGACCCAAATACTTGTGCCAGCTGTCTGTCTAATGGAGTTTGTGTGTGAGTGTGTTTTTACTCTGATTTCCACTCTGCCAGGCAGGGGGGGACGTGAGAGATGAAACTGTGCCCAACTTAATCCAGCTCATCACCAACGCATCGGAGCTGCACTGCTACACCGTCCACAAGCTCTACCGGGCTCTGCTCCTCGACATCTCCACGGTGTGTGTGTGTGTGTGTGTGTGTGCACTTCCTGCTCTTAAAGGAGCATGTCAACATTTCAGACCGATTGTCTTGTTTGTCAGCTTACTCAAAGTGATCCTAGTCGTCAACATCTATAACATCTGTCCCTGGGTTGCTCCATGTTGATTCTTTATCAAACAATAAGATAAAATATGATTAAAATAGAGCTTTGATTCTCTGCCCTAACCCAATGATAGAAACGATGTGGGTTCATGAAGAGTCCTAATTGTATGTGACTTATCACAGCTGTATGTATATATATATTTATATATCCTTTATTTAACCAGGTAAAAAGTCTCATTGAGATTAAAATCTCTTTTTCAAGAGCGACCTGGCCAAGAAGGGCAGTATGAACAATGTTACTACAGATAAAATACAGACAATACAGGCAGACGAATACAGCGCTCGTAAAATGACATTGATCTTAGGAAAACTATTACATTTCAAGTAGAAGAAAGCAAAAATAAAACAAAAGAGACAGACAAAATGTAATGTTGGAATCAAATCAAGTTTTATAGCTTTTCAGATAACTTAAAAAGTGAAAGAAAATGTTAAAGAGAAAAGAAAAGGCTGTGACTGGTGTGTTTCTGTGGCAGTGAGAACAGCTTTGCTTTCATTTTAAAAATTGGTTGACGCTACCAGGTTTATTTTTGGAAGTCAGATGATAAGCAGCCCTGTTCTCATCTGCAGTGTGGCGCAGTCTCCCATCATCCGTCACATTAACTTCCAGCGTATTCAGGGAGAAGTGGCTAATGTATCTCTAAGATTAGACCTGAGTGTGGGTGTAATGTGGGTACGCAGTTGTGTGAGTATAATGTGTGTGTGTGTGTGTGTGTGTGTGTGTGTGTGTGTGTGTGTGTGTGTGTGTGTGGTGTGTGTGTGTGTGTGTGTGTGTGTGTGTGTGTGTGTGTGTGTGTGTGTGTGTGTGTGTGTGTGTGTGTGTGTGTGTGTGTGTGTGTGTGTGTGTGTGTGTGTGTGTGTGTGTGTGTGTGTGTGTGTGTGGTGTGTGTGTGTGTGTGTGTGTGTGTGTGTGTGTGTGTGTGTGTGTGTGTGTGTGTGTGTGTGTGTGTGTGTGTGTGTGTGTGTGTGTGTGTGTGTGTGTGTGTGTGTAGCAATCCCTGGTGCAGGTGGCGTGCTGGTGTATAGGAGAGTACGGAGACCTGCTGCTGAGAGGAGAGTGTCAGGAGACTGAGCCTGTGCAGGTACATGCAGCACCAACACTCAAAGAATATTATCAGTAGGGATTCAACCTATTTCTAGATCTTTAAAGGTTTTATATTTTCAGTTCCTGTCACTACGGTGGCCGACAGGTGCAGTTTTAAAAACGATGCTAATATAAAAACACAAATGTGCCAAAACACATGCAAATGAAGAAACATCTTCACCATGTGCAGCGATTACTGTAAGGCTCAAAACACAACAAAAAGTGACGGACATAGCTGGGACCGGTGTCTTTGTTGATGTTCGGTGAAGAGTCATCACTGTCACTGGAAACTTCAAATATACGTTTTATAGGCTTCTTTTAACAATGTGATTGCATGATTCCTTTGAATATTACTCCAAATCTGCTGTCAGCTAGCTAGTTAACCTAGCAAACCAATACATTTTAAATATACTTACAAAACACTTGCAACTATGAAACATACTAACTGCCAACGGTGACAGTTGGCCAACTTCATACTCCCTGAACGTCAAAAAGCACTGTTTACATTAAGAATGTATTTGTGTGAGGAACGCACTAAAGCAGTCTGCAGGAACTAATACATAAAATAAGGTTACAGAACCCAATGCTTAAGTCCAAAGAAAGCATTTTTAATGAATTCTCAGGTCCTCTTACTGCTCAAAACTATGTATTGTAATTATTCAGTTAATGTATTGGATTATCAGCTCAATAAATGCTAGAGGTCAGAATGTGTCATATCTAAATGTCAGTCATCAGACCCTGTACTGCCTCCTCTCTCCATCAGGTCACTGAGGATGACGTCCTGGACGCCTTGGAAACGGTTCTGCAGTCCCACATGTCGTCCCCGGCAACCAGAGGATTTGCTCTCACCGCCACCATGAAACTGAGCACACGCATCACTGATAACGTGGAGTAAGAAACTCTTCTCACAGCAAACAGAGCCTAGATATTTTTAGAGCACAGCAACAGGACACTGTGGCTAAAGGCTGAATCATATTCATATAATCACATATAAACTATGCAGATTAGTATTTGCATGGTCAGGAAAGTATGTCGCTCAATGGTTACTTTGTCAAGTAACAAATCCCCTTTACACACTGACATTCCCGAAAACTGTAAACCTGTGTTTGAGTGCTACAACATTGCAACAGAGAAGGCTTAATGCTGCATTCTGGAGTTAAAAGAGAGACTAATACGTAGAAAATCCCAGTAGAAATATTTAAAAATAAACATTTTCACACAGGAAATCGTAATTTAAGATTGAATTGTTACACATAAAAAAGAGTATTAGAAATGTTGACACAGGGCTTCTGGTTGTTTTTAATACCAGTTTATAAAAAAAATGTTAAAGTTTATGTAAAAAAATAAAAAATAGAAATAATATTTATGAAAACATAATAATACAGATGATCGCAAGGGTCTAACAGACAATTTGTAGGGATTGTTTAGGAATCCCTACAAATCTAGTCTTACTAACTTCTCTTCATCCCCCCCCCCCCCCCCTGCCAGTCGCATCCGAAGCGTGGTCAGCATCTACGGCAGCTGTATAGACGTGGAGCTCCAGCAGAGGGCGGTTGAATACAACGCTCTGTTCAAAAAATATGACCACATGAGGTATGCAACTACACGATGAAGAGTTTCCTGAACTAAAATGATTCAATATACTACATTTCTGCTATATTGTGGATATTTACAACTTGTATCAGAAGCAAACAGTTTTTTCCTAGTCATGAAGTGCTGAGTCGTCCTCTCTCTCTGCAGGGCGGCGGTGCTGGAGAGGATGCCTGTGATTGAGAAGAACTCCCCGGGTCATACCAACGGAGAGTCCATGGGGGAGGTCAAGGAGAACCAGGCGTCCAAAAAGCCAACGGAGCCCAAGCTGCTCCCACAACCTGCTAACCAGGTGAAACACGCCCACACAGAGGCATCTATATATGAAAAACACTCAGTCAACACTCTTTATCTGACCCCTTTTCGTTGGAAGACCTATTCATTTTTAAGATTTCATTGATAACTTTCCAGACTTTAATATTGGGGAACAATATGAACGGTGTGAAGGCTTTAGTGGAGACTTTAAACTTAGGGAACTGGTTCTTGACCATTTAAATAACCTGATATACTGTATATCTGTATGTGATGGGCTTGTTCTAAATATGTTAGTGTTACATAATCTTACTCCTGTATTATTTGATTGGCTATAAAGGAATAGTTTGAAGACTCATTTATAACCTTGACATTTGAATCTAGAACATCATTCAAACGATGACAGTATTTGTCTTTATTTTATTGTCTATTAATTGAGTTTACCGCTGTATTAGTGCACAGTGGCAGATACAAGTTAGGATGATCATTTATATATTATAGTATTTGTAGATTTAGACTCTAGGGATGTTTTCAGATCGAAAGATTTCAGAAAAATCCAGACCATTTTAAGTTTGCAAACATATCTGTGTGTGGGAGAGAAACTCACTCTGGAGGGAACACAGGGATTTAAGCCTTTGCAGACATTCACAACAACTGATTCAACACACTACAGGATAGGGTAAAGCACAAAAGCATAACAGGGCCTGTTTAAGTCCAAAAATCTAAATGTATTAAAAAATTCTCAACATGCTTTTCATCTATCTTCTTCTTCAATCCATATTTGTTTTATGGTTACCGGTCAGATACTGATGCATTCAAATACCTCCACACAGCCTTACTGTCCTTTGGGAGTGTCTGCTTTGAATATGCAGAGTGATGTGTTCAGGTGACTAACGGGCTGTTCCCCTTAGGTGTGTGACCTGCTGGGCCTGCTGGGGGGCTCTGAGGAGACCCTGCAGCCCAGCCCCTCCACGGCCCTCGGCCTGCTCACCAACACCCCCAGCACTGCAGGGGGGAACCTGCTGGATCTGCTGGGGGACCTAGAGCCTGAACCCCTCACACCAGGTGGGACCCCCCTCTCTTTTTCCCACTGAAATGACATCCATTCGAATTACAGGCTCGGGCTCGTTAGCAGTTCAACAAAGCAGTCATTCAGTGTCTCACAAGTACATCTCCTGATGCATATTTCAATATAAAGTCATATTTATTTCAGTTCTAATTTAACCTGTTTGGCAACATATCGCTGTAAATAAAGGATCGTATAATGTAAAGTTTTTCTCATATTAAAGGAAACCTATCATGCTATATTTAAATGATATATTGTAGGGCCATACCTATATAAGGTATATTTATACGTTTCTGTTTTCAAAATACCAAACAGATCATGCATTTTAGCCATGCCTCATTTCGCTCTATGTGCTGTTTGCTGTCTACGGGGCTGATTCTGTGAGCTGCAGCTGACCACGCCCCCCTGCAGGAGAGGGGAGCCGTGCTCTGATGAAGTCAGAAGAGGGGGAGAAAAATAGATCTCCATCCTCCGTGTTTTATTATATTATTATAGGCCTATAGAGTCGTTATTCATTTGTTTTAAAGCTCAATAAATAACAAAGAAGACCTTTGACCGGCACTTTTCTAATTTTGTCCGGAAGATTTAAACTTTAACGGACATCTTGACCGGCGAAAGAAGCTGAACCTGAAACTCTGCCGCACGGTCCCCTCGTTCCTTGGAAGAGGCGGAGAGGTTGGTGTTTGTCATCTGCTGGTGGACTAACCGGAGAGAATTACAGAGCTTGCCTCGACGGGGAGGGATTGCATTGAATTAAAGCAGCAGGAGCAAACGCTTGCCTCGGGGAGGGAGAAAAAAAGCCGCAGCGGAGAATAAACAGAAGGGTAACCATGGTAACTATGCGCGGGAAGTCTTCTTCGCTGCTTTTGTGGCAGACTACAGCGCCACTTACAGGCCTGGCATATGTACTACAGCGTCTCCAGCGCCAGAGTTCCCGTTAGAATATTTTTTTGCCGGTCAACATGTCCGTTAAAGTTTAAATCTTCCGGACAAAATGAGAAAAGTGCCGGTCAAAGGTCTTCTTTGTTATTTATTGAGCTTTTAAACAAATTGATATGATTCGATATTAAACAAACTAATTCTAGTAGATTAACTACATTATTCAAAAGTGTACAGTAATTTATAACACGGGAATAATAAACTCTCCTGACAGCCCGTCAGTATCATGCAGCTCGCGGATCCAGTAAAACTAAACATATCTATAACTAGTTTAGGTAGTTTGAGAGGTAATTAAAATAGCTACGTGATATTCTAACCTGAAGTGTGTGTTTTGTTCCGCTCACTGCTGCAGATGATCATGCAGAGCTGCGTGTCGACTCGTCAGCAGCAGCTGATCTCTTGCTCCGGTCAGATTAGACTTCACTCGCGTTTATGTCCATATCGATCAGATCTCGCTAGTTCTAGCTAATGATATGACTACCTACTTATTAAAAGACACCTAAACAATAAGCGTCGCTATGCAACCGGGTGAGGCCGCAAAGTATAGCGCAGCATTATGCATTTGTTTACATGCCCACCGGAACCCCGAGGCATTACCAACAGATCAACGCACAATCAACCCATACAGGACACTCTTTCTCCACATTAAATGTTAGACATTAGAATTGACTATTCTTGTCTGTCACATAAGTGGCGCAACTGATGCGGTATTGTGCTAAAGGGAAATTATTTTGACCGGACATTTTGACCGGAGAGATTTAGATTTGCCGGTCTTCAGCATATTTTACCGGTCATAGTCCGGTAATTACCGGCTAACGGGAACTCTGTCCAGCGCTTTCGAGCGGCAATGGCCGGCCGTGGCCCAACCCCACATTCCCCTGATAGGTGGAGAGTTGGCCCAATAGCCGTAGCGCCACTTTACTGACGTCAGTAAAGTGTTCAAATCTGGATGAGTTTTTATCAGATCGGTTGCAGCCCCTTTTTTAGAGATTTGGGTATGGAGGAAAATAGAGAGGGTTGTGTTTTCTGACACTTGGTGAGTTCCCTGGAACACCGGGGACACATCTTCATGTATAAAAGACGTACAAAAGTGCATTTTGCATGATAGGTCCCCTTTAAATAGATGAAGTAAGCATAGCCACCAAAGCCAGTCGGACAAATCAATAACAAGATTTAGAGCATACAAACGGAAAAATAGTTATTGAGAACGCTTTCATACATTATATTAAACTCCGCATCGCAGAACATCACAGAGTAAATATAAGGCATAATAATTATTTACCATAATGTTTGAATGGGAAGGGTTCTTGTTGCTATCATTGTGGCATATGCTTTTTTCTACCAATATCAATTAATTAATACATTAAATACTATGTCACACATATGCCTCATCAATGATGGATTTAGTTTATAAATACTTCAGTAGCGTTTAAGCCACTTAGCAATCTGGTTGCTACTGCTTCCGCAACAGCTTTCTACTCTCAGTCGCACTCTCCACGCGCTGTTGTTGCTCTCGTCCCCCCCCCCAGCCTCCGATGTATGCAGCTCTCAGGTTATTGCTGCTGGCCGAGCAATTAGTTGGTGCGAGAGTTAAACCAGTTTTCGGGCGAGCTGGCGTTGCTGAAACACGAAAAACTGGTTAACAATTGGGCAGTGTCTCCTAAAACAGCCCTTGACATGGTGGAAATTCCAACCTCTGTGAAAATTCCGACACTTACTCGAGTTTAGTTGTAAAAAATAAATATTGTTAGACATAAAGACATAAACCAGTGTTCACTGCTCTGAATCAGGACCAAAGTATCTCTCTAAATCTTTTCCAGTTTTGTGTGGCCACCTTGTTTGTTTCGTATCACGTGTTGTAACTTTTTCTTGTAATATTAAAACTTCTGCTTGGAATTTAGACTTATTTGTTAAAAAAGGTTTCTCTTGACTTTCTTCCAAAATATTCCAGATGAGTCAAGTATGATAAGATCACCCTGTGTCGGTCAGGGGTCACTTTGACCTCACAAAACATGTTGCGATGACATTTTGGACAGACATGGATGTAAACTGCGACTTGACTGTTTGGTGGAGGCATACAACCACAAGGCAGTCATTCTAGTTTGTCAAGTTTTGCTCAGTTTTTGTTTTAAACTAAAAACCATTTCCTGATATGTGTTTCCATAGCTCCCTTAGTGCCGGTGTACGATAAAGACGGTGTGGCGCTGACACTGAGTTGTGAGAAGCAGTCAGACACCGCCATGACGGTCACGCTAACAGCTTCCAACTCCACCGACTCAGACATCAGCAGCTTCACCCTGCAGGCTGCAGTGCCCAAGGTCTGTTTCACATCCCAGATAAAAAATGATCTGTTCTCATTATTACAGAGTGGTGCAGTGATGACGTCTTTTTGTAGGAATACCTGGAAAGTAGCAACACAAGGGCTTCCTTGACAAATGGCAATGGCATCTCTCCATTGGGTTTCAAGATATTGCAGAAAGTTTGATCTTTGGAAAACACTTTTATGATACTTACTTCAGTTAAGCAGGATAATCTCCACTTATTAACACCACTTTTATATATTTTTTGAAGCGTTATGCTACCACCAGGAGTAAATAGCTAAAGTTAGAATCGCTAAACACGAACTACATAAAGGTCGCATGACTTAAAGTCATCACCGCTAAGCTAAAGGTGGCTAATGTTGGGCTTGATGACATTTAGTAATATCATTTACTCACTTGTTAGCAACCGCCATCTTTGGATCCGGAAGTGATAAAATGCTGACTCATTCCCTGGTTTTACGACTCATACCTGCACCACTCTATTTTAAAATGCTGTGTCATATAAACATATACGTTGTTGCTTGCATGTTGTAGGTTTTTAGTTCCTGTTATGTTCCCCCCCAACATGCCTGTGTTTTGGTGCTTTAAACTTCAAAGCAATCTGATCCCCCCCCTCTCCCCGCCTTCCAGAGTGTCAAGTTAAACATGAATGCTCCCAGCGGGGACTCTCTTCCTGCACGAGGTGCAGCTAAGGTGACCCAGATGGTCGTCCTCAACTACCAAAACAAGGTGGGTAGGACACACACATACACACACAAAATGGTGACTCATGTTTGTCAATAAGAGTTAGCTCATTCAGAAGTGTGATTAAGCTGTATCGATACAGATGTTCAGGATCGGAGATGTATCGAGGTGTGTTAGTCTACGCACAAATCCAATATCACGTTACCAACAACAAGTCACTCGCTGGTAGCTAGCCGATTTACATGTGAAAACAGCCCATGTGTTAATGCCCATAGAACTATACTGTTCAGTATGCCAGAAATAAATTAAAGTTGTCCTAATGCATAATATATCAGCGCAGTAAGCCCTCAAATACCAGGATCACCTACTGCATTGGTCATATTTTAAAGTATGCAAGCCAGCATTTATGAGCAAGAGGGTCAAAGTTCAAAGTGTCCGGTTAACAAAAAAAGTATTTGATTTGGAATGTAGCATAGTAATGAATAGCTAATTTTACAGCTAACCTGGTACATTAAGCTATTTTAGCTTAGACGATTGTCGCATTAACTACTCTTTTTTATAATTTAATAACTTTCAGTAAATAAAAAAATCATGACTTATCCCTTTAGTTATGGGGACGGATACAATTGTAACGGAACATATCTATTTGTCAACAAGGGAGAAAATAATCTGAACATTAGATCACATCTTTACACCTTATTTCCAAATGTTCACATAAGTCCCACAAACCTGTTGTTATATTTGGCAAGAACAACACATCTTAGCCAAGTGAATGTGCCATTTAGCAGTCATTAATATTGTTACGGTACTTTTGTAGTTTTAGCTACACTAAACTACAGAGGGTGCAAAAGCATCACAACAGCCAAAAACATTTCCATCAGGAGAAATCGTCGGCAGTTTAAAATAAAAAAACACAAATGTGCCAGAACACATGCAAATGAAAAAACATCTTCACCAACTTGACGAAACATGCACAGGGTTTACCTAAAGCGCTGCATAGACAAAAAGCTGCAATTACAAAATGCTGCAAGAAGATCAAAACACAATGGAAACAGGGGGAGAAAGGTCATGCACCCATGGGGATTATATATTTATATTTCCAATGTTTTTGTAAATTCTCCTAATAGAAGTGTGGAAGCGTGTTTGCGCCTGTCGGCCACGGTACTAATCAAACTGATAACTCCTTCCTCGTGCCGCAGGTGAACCTGAAGATGAAGATCCGCATCTCTTACAGCAGCCGAGGGTCGACCTTTCAGGACACGGTGCAGATCGACACCTTCCCCGGACTCTGACAGCAGCCAATCAGGAAACAGGACTACGACAACACTCTCCGGATGAGTCAGCAGGAACCTTACAGACGGCAGGAGTTTTTAGAAAATGTTGCCGTCACACCCTCCACACTAAAGCTGCTGTTTCTAAGAATTCCTGATTTTGTTAGTGTTTTTACAGCTGAAGAAACCCTAATAAGCCTGAACTCACCATATCTCCTAGAATCCACGTGCAAATGTGACCGATGGCATTATTTAATATGGCACAAGCTTTAGAATTTGCCCCTCTAATACAAAAATAGAAGTCGATTTTCTTGGATCTTTGCAAACAAAACTGTCCGGAAAAGATTTGTCATGTTTTTATTTTTTATTATTTCACTCCATAAATATGTCCGGTTCCTGTCAGTATGCAACACTAGATCTTCTGTCCTCACGTTTGAAGTGATTTTTCCTATGAAGTATTTGCCTTTACCATTTTAACTTTGTTGTACTAATGACACACCACTATCACGATGAAACGCTCTGATCCAGTACACTTTATTTTACTGGGAAACGCAGGGATATAAATTAGAGATTGAAGGGTTTAGGATCGTAAACACAACCTTAGGTGTTGCAGATTTACCATGCCTCATTCAGCTCGGAAAATCCACCTCATTAATTCCCCTGTGCCTTTCATCCCCTCAACAAACGGGGTTTTTTGTTTTCATGTACAAAGATAATGCAATTATATTTGGTTTTTAGTGGCAAAGAAATGGTTTTAAATGCGAGGGTTGTAGTCCTCTTTAACATGTTTTTATCATTCCAACTCGAGCATGCTTTTCCTGACCAGTATCTCCTCGTCTATTGTTTACAGAGGCTCCTGAGTTATTTTATTTTCTGAAGACTGTGTACAGTGATAGAAGAATGGGCATGATACTGTCTACAAGATGTATATTTCAGATTTTAAGTATATTAGCACAATAAGAAGAGTTTTTGGAAAATTTTGAATCACCTCAGTAATTTGATTACTCATCTCATAATCATGGATCTCTAATTAAAAGAAAAACACTCTGGACGTCAACAACGGTGCTTTAAATGGATTTCAGTGTACCTGTTTCAGATCACTACCTTAACGTAGAAATGTAAAGAAAGACCAGGATGAGTATTCTTGTTTTCGCTGGTTGTTGAAATCTGTGTCTTGGCATTTTCTAATAAAAATCTGTTTTCAGTACCGTCAGCAGCGGCTTGTGTTGGTGTAAGTGTATTCAGGACAACGATTGAATCAATTTCAGCATTTATTCACAAGCAAAAAGAACACAGTGTTTTCCAACTGTCTTTTGTACTGCATGGGTGCCTGCATCAACGGGTCAGATGTGGGTTTACAACAAAAAACACATCTACAAAGGAATTAGAACGTCCTTTTTTTTTCTTCTTGCTGCTGTTGTTGGTTGATTTTTCTTTTGTTTGTGTCGGCCCGAGAGCGTGGGATTTCAGATCTCTTTGCTGAAACATGGTTAGACGTTGACGGACACCTTAAGCGTTGGCACTGATGACAACAGCGACTCATGACAAGGAGGGCAAGTGTGTGCAGGGCATTTGGAGCGTCGAGCCGCCTCTTAGCGCCAACACAAGATGGAGCACGGAGCCTCCCTGGATCTTGTAGTCTGCGGCCGTCTTCTCATCATTCCTGGGAACAAGAGAGAGATGATTTAGAGAAATGAAATAAGAGCATCTCGCAGTGAAGAGTGGAGATAGATCCAATAGAGGCACTTACATCTGTTTACCACTGTAGATGAGTCTCTGTTGCTGCGGGGGGATCCCTTCCTTCTCTTCCACCCTTTCTTTAATTCGCTCCACCTTTTGATTACACAAAAACAACAAATGATACGGTGCCTTAGAGTGAAGCAAATACAGGCCATGTATCTTAAAGAGAGATTTATATTTCACCTTGTCTGTGGGCTCGATATCAATCTCTATTTCCTTTCCGGTGAGTGTCTGAAAGGTAATACATCACATTAATACAAGCTTTGGTTCCTTAAGATGCACACAATAATCTGAAAGATAATTTGTAATTCCACACATGGGAATTTCACAGGTGGCTACAAAAGAAAATGATCAGTTTTCAATAATAGTTTTCACACGTTACACCAAAGAGAAACAATAAGGCATATTTAGATGGAGAGAACTGTAATAGCAAGGATGCAATCGATGAATATTCTATTTATTGATAAATCAATCCACCAGTTTTGTGACGTCTCCAAACGTCTTATTTTGGACTGACCAATGATGCAGGGAGTGGGTTGCATATTGCCTAATAGTTACCAAACATGTTTGAACCATTATCTTTCTATTAACTATTAGGCCTAGGTTAGATTAAAAATAATTCCAGCCCTAGTAATAGCATAATCGTGTTTTTATCTGTACGTCCCAAACTCATCCTGTTGTCCTCAGAAAATGAGGGGTCACAAATGTACGAAATAATTTGCTAACCTGCTCATGCTAGTGTATTTAAGTTAGCAAGCTATCAAATAACAGCTACTGAATGGTATTAACCGAAAGAGCAGCATGTTGCTAGATTAGCTAGTCCATAGCTCTAGACAATATTGGGCCAACACAAGGCAAACATTAAAAAATAAAATAACACAGAACGAGAAACGTGATTATATTACATGACTGCCCCAAAAATAAACTAGCGGACCGGTCTTGATGTTAGCGGGCTAACAACAGCAGCTAGGAGCTAGCGAACAAGAGTACGCGTATATTTAAAAATAACACGGTCTTACCTTTACTTTAATCAGCATCTTGAATACTCAAAAGACTACAGATTTTAATGTTAAGAATTGTTTACCGACCAAAACACTTGATATACCAGCGAATTACAACCTACTTGTCTGGCTAAATTGAATTTACTTCCTGTGCACCAAGCTAAACGCTCCGGACGTGATGGAGCCAGAGCCCAAGGAAAAGTGGTTCCGCTTTGGTAAACAAAACAAAAATAGATTTGTAAGTTACATATAGAAAGATGTATTTAGATATTACACATATGTTGCAATACAACCTCCAAATAAATAATGCATTACAATACAAATTGTAATTAAGTAAAATAATGTTATCGGTTAAATAAAAGTACACATATAAAATAATGTTATCGGTTAAATAAAAGTACACATATTAAATTGTTTGATAACTATTATAACATGTAAGTATATTGACTTGGAAGCTTGTTATGGTTGGGCTGATTTTAGAAAATTGCCTTTAAGTAGTTTCATCTGAATTATTGTATTGTTTTAAAAATAGTGTTGTATGTAAAATAATCAGGTAATTGTTGACAAATCAATTAAGTAGAGTTAAAAAAAAAAAATGTACTTGAATAAGTGTACTAGATATTATCCAAATGAAAACTCTACAATGAAATTGCAAGTATGTGAAATTACACCCCAGTATAAGTAAACAGAGGACCAAGTGCTGCCCTGCTCTCACACAGGTGTTGCTCGTTCAGCTAATTTGGCAGGAAGTCTACAAATGGTGTCACTTCCTGTGTGATCTAGATCATTCAGTCATGGGGACTCAACTCTACCTAGGTGTGATAGTCGTGGCTCTTTTTGCAACAACTGTTGCTAATGCAGGTATTCTTAGCACATGCATGTAAACATCTGCTTTTGTTGGGGAATGTATAGGGAAATATATAATAATGATTTGTTTGCAGAAATCAAAGTAAACTGTGAAAAAGACTCCATAAGCATCACATGGACGATCCCTCCGAAGCTGGTGCCATATGCAGCTCGTCACTTCCTCGGAAACTGCATGGCAAATCAGTTTAATGTTATGCCCAGCGGAGAGGGGAAAGCTGAGTTTAACTACAATCTAGTTGACTGCAATTTTAAAAGACTGGTAATGTAACTTCCATGTTTCACCAAAATATCTCTCAGCCTTATTAATGTCATAATGAGCTTTTTTTTTTTTTCTTCAGATGAAAGGGAAAAAACTCTTCTACAAAAATGAGTTGACTTTTAGGCCCCGACCAAGGACGAGTCCTGCACTTAAAGTGTATCCCATCGAGTGTGTTTATCCAAGGTAGGAGTTTCTTTCTTATTTAAATTCAAGTTTAAAGCTGATGTATGGGATAAATGTTGTTAATATATTTCAGACCTAAGGGGTGGGTTCCTCCTTTCATGAACTTGGGGTCAAGTGTTGTCGAAGGCCGAGGAGGTCTGGAGTTCCACATGCTGCTCCTAAATGGTGAGGGCTCATGCTCCCAAAGGCAAAACACACTAAAAACGCACACTAAGCAGTTTTTACTTTTCCCGTTACAGAAAGAATAACGGCGGTAGCGGAGACAAATGTCATCCCCCTGGGCTCCTTCATGCCAATATGGGCAACAGTGGCGCAGAAGTCCCATCAGCCATTGCTGCTGCTCATGGAGGAATGTGCGGCAGCCACTACACCTGAGCTGCAGGCTGACAGCAATGTGTACCCCATCATTAGCAATAAGGGGTGAGATCCAGTCTCTGATTTATTTAATTGTTTTCTGGAGTTTAGTCCTTATCGCTTATCTGAATTTCTTCAGGTGTCTCTTGGACAGTGTGAAGGGAAACTCCAGGTTTCTCCCTCGGTACCACTCGTCTGCAATCACCCTCTACCTGCAGTCCTTCAAGTTTGGTCTCGGCGAGGAGGTGAGGGGGTAAATGGAAAGTGCTCTAAAGAATATTTGGTTCCTAGCAAAAATGTGTTTCATGTGCTCCTCAGGTGTACATTCACTGCAAACTGCTCGCATGGGATCCTGAAGTTCTAAGTGAAAGCAAGAAAGCTTGCCACTATGTAAAGGAAAATGACCGGTAAGGGAAGAGTTTGATATGTTGGAAGTATGTGAACATGTTCTTGCCAGCAGTTTAATAGGATGAATGCAACTGATGCCATGTGCAACAAGTATGCACCATTAGCCAAGGCGGTTAGCTTATTTTAGCATAACATATCCAATTTGAAGTAGATTAATGCATGTACTTTGATCAGTATTGTGCTTTTATATATCTACAAAAAACGATCTCCTGCTAACTAACAAAGTCTGGACAACAATTGTGACAAATGATAATTGTAAAATATTTAAGAATAACTATATTCGTTTTAAAAGGAGGGGCACTCAAATGATTAGTCAACCTAATGAGATGGGCCTAAATTAAAAAAGCCCTGAGCTTTTGTGAAATGTATCTTTTGGTCCTTTTTAGCAAATGTTATTAACTTGATATTTATAATTAAAAACATTTTTTTAATAGAAACATACAACATATAATGGCTTTTTTCTGTGTATACACATTTCTTTTTTTAAAGCCATGCTGATGTATTTGAGCCTTTACGATTGTTGCTTCCTCAGATGGGAACTCCTGGATGACCCCATGCAGAGCTCCATTTGTGACTGCTGTTCGAGGACCTGCAACACCCGCTCAAAGAGAGGAGACGAATGGGGTATCGCTCTTATGCCAACTTGTATGCTTTTTGATCTAGTATAGTCTTTTTCAATTTGAAGTTATATATTTTTTTTTTTCCACCTCAGAATCCAAAGGCTTCAGGCACACTTCTGTGTTGGGACCCCTGATCATAGTGGATCCATCGCAACAAAATGCCCACAATGCATCAGATGTTTCCATTGCTGACCAAGATTAATGAGTATTTATTTTTTTATGGTATTTGTCTTGAAGTTTTGTTCAAAACTTGCCATAAGACTAACGTTGCTAAACATTTTCTCAACAGGAAGTCCAGTCTAAGATTGAGGAGACTGAACAGAGGGCCCAGTGGTGGACGACATCCATATGCAGATTAAAATTGTCTATAATCTCTGTATAAATAAAACTGTTGTCAACTCCTCAACTGTGTCCATCATCAGTAGAATTGTACTAATTATGTGTGACTTTTGTCACTGAAAGATACTGTCAATTATAATGGAACCTTTTAAGTCCTCAGACAAATTGTAATGGCCATGTGAGTTGGAGTATAGCCCCTGAATTTTTCTTTCATTTTCCATTGAGCTCTGCACAATCAATATAAATATATATATATATATATATATATATATATATATATATATATATATATATATATATATATATATATATATATATATATATATATATATATATATATATATTCTGACATTACATGCACCACCAGATTCAAAAGCTATTAGTGATCTGTCTGGTATTACAACTATGGCAATTTATGTTGAGCCTCATTTGAAAAGACAATTCTGATCTGAATTTATTTTCTGGGCACTAATGCCTGCAGTTGAATGTAGCATAGTTTACTTTCAGGCCATGAATATAAAATCAATAGGGATGGCCTGCATGGCACGTGTTTAAAGATGACATAGCAACAAATCTAATATTCAGATGTGTGGATATTTTCTCACACTGAATACAACTTAAATGAACTGAAACATTTCAGAAATAACACATTTGAATACAGGACATCTGATAAAGGAATACTACTTTCCCCCAAATGATCATTTGTTTAGAAATGACTCGCCTTTTAATTCTCAAAGAAAACTTTTTCTTGCATGACTTGAAGTTGAACAAAGAATCCCAACGTATACATGTATTAATGTTAATATATATAACAGCAAAACTAAATCAAAACCTCAGGAAGACAACCCATGCACTATCATCCTTAAAGTATTTTAAATAAGAATTTAAGGTAGTCGGACAGGATAATAAATTGATTAACAAATGGTAATTTTGTGCTGCTGATGAAGCTGAATGAAAATGAATTGGGTGTAAGGACTAATGTGATTGGATGCTCCCCATGCTGTAATCAGTGTGCGGGCTGCTGCAGCTGGGCCTGTTGACAGGCACCAGCTGAAAGACGTTATCTTGATTAATGCCTCTCAGGAACAAGGTATAAGAACATGCACTGTGTCAGTAGCAAGCATTCAGTCATGATGGTTTCATTTTGTCAAGGTGCACTGCTTCTGAGCCTGGCAGCTGCCATGGCGGTATATGCAGGTAAGACTTGAAACAATTAAAGTCATGTTATTATCCTTGACTCAAATAGTTGAGTCTAAACCTAATTTCTTTGTGTTGCAGACATGAAAGTGGACTGTGGGCCAGATTTTGTGACGCTGATGTGGACAGAAAGCCGACCCCAGGCCGACACGTCGCTTCTCCGTCTGGGTAGCTGTTTCCCAACCAGCTTCTCGGCAAGTGAGGCCTACTTCTATGTGGATCTCACTGACTGTAACTTTAGGATACTGGTATGTATGTATATATATTTTAAACCTGCAAGCTGTGAGTCTGCTATATTTCCTACAGCTCTCTCAGGAGGATCTTTGTCTCTCTAACAGGTCACCGGGGATGCACTGGTGTACAGCAATGATCTGACCTACGTTGCTTCTGCGGATTCTTACAATTTGGCCTTCACTCACCCAGTTGTCTGTGCATATGAGAGGTTAGTGTTCATACCAACTACAACATAAGGTGCTAAAGGGTGACACCACCCTTCACTAACAATTCCAATGTGGCATTTCCATGGCCTGGGAAAGTTCAATTTTGATAATAAGCTTCTCCCTCTCAAAGCCATCCACCATGGAAGTCCGTCTCAAACTTGTTGTCATCAGGTAAAAAGTCTGAAGCTGCTACATAGACAATGAATGGGTTGAGTATTCTCAACAAAAAATGTACGGATTTACTGAGAACATTCCCCAATGTGCACTCTGTGTTGTCATTTTTACCAATTCATTGTCCATTGAGTTGCTCCCATAGTTTTAAATGGACATCACACATTTAAGTATCAGCACTCTTGTTTTTAGCATTTTGGAGGAAGTAGTTAATGTCTACTTATTTTCGACTGTCTTTTATGACTTCGTATTGTCATACTGATATTCTGTACAAACTGTGAAGTCCACTGAGACAAATGTAACATTTGTGACATTGGGCTATATAAATAAACATTGATTTTACCATAGGAGTAACATTTAATAATGAGCTTTAAGTAAATGTGAGTACACAGTCTCGCTCTAATACGTTTTCAGTTTCACATGGCAGCATTTTCTACACATTCTGCTTTATTTTGTGCAGGCCCAAAGACTGGTATTCCAGCCAGCAGATCTATGACCCGGTGTTTAAAACCTACGGTCTAGGAGATCTGCAGTTTAACATTGGCCTTATGAATGGTGGGTAAACAACATGAGAAACTCTCTACAAACGGCAGCTCTCCCTGACTTTTGTAACTTAATGACTCTTTTCCTGTTTACTGCCCTAGACGACTTCTCAGGCCCCGCTGAATCTACAAGCTTTCCTCTGGGCTCCATCATCCCCATCATGGCTAGTGTGGTGCAGAAGACCCATCAGCCCTTGCTGCTGCTTCTTGAGGAATGTGTAGCAGCTACCACACCAGAGCTGCACCCTGAAAGCACCATGTACCCTATAATCTCCAATAAAGGGTAAGTCAAGCATTGACTTACATTTTTTTTATTTTGGTAGTATGTTAATTAATTGTCTTTGACCCAACAGATGTCTTTTGGAAAGTGTGTCGTCACGATCCAAATTCGAACCTAGGCAAAAGTCATCGGAGATACGCCTATCACTTCAGACCTTTAAGTTTGCTATGGGAGAAGAGGTAAATTGGCCTTCTAAATTGTACATTTTTGTTCAGATGCAAGGTTTTATTGTGGAAACTGAGATTAATTTATGCCATGACTCCTATATTTTCCCTCTACTCAACAGGTCTTTATCCACTGCAAACTTTTGGCTTGGGATCCCAATGGTCTTGACAGCACTAAGAAAGCCTGCCACTTTGTCAAAGGGCATGGGTAAAAATATGACTTCAATATATCAGAATTTGAATTGTAGTTAATTAGTTTTACATGAGATGACTTATTCAGCTTTAGCCCAGTCTACTGAAGATACAGATGGATCCCGTTCATAACGGTTCAAACTTTGTGGAGACTTTATTTGGAAGAGTTGAGATGCATTTTAATTATCTTTTCATCCAATCTTCATGAACTCAGTTGGGAGTTGCTGGACAACTTGGCCCAGAGCAATCTTTGTGACTGCTGTGAATCGAAATGCAAGTCAAGGAGGCAGAGGAGTGTTGTGTCAGGTATGTACACAACTTCCGCTGTATTACACTTGATTTGTTGACTTGTACTAAAATATATATGTTTGCAGAGAAACATGGAATGGTACAAAAAGCAGTCATTGGGCCATTTACCATCACAGATGTGAATTCCTGAAGGTAAGGGTTTCGTATTTCCATATTCATTTATTCTGAACGGCTACATTAAACTTTGTTCTCCCAACAGGAATGAATGGATCCATTTCGCTGACTGGTTTCTTCAATCTGAATTCGGTTTTTATTCTTGGTTCGTAAGCTTAGTGCGAGCCTGTCTCTTTGCATTTCAGATTGTATGTTGCCAATAAAATAATGTATCTGAACCACTTAATTGAAGTTCTCAAATTATTGAGTTTGACTTGCCTTTTGTGTGAAACGGTTTAAACTAAGCTGTATTACTGAATCATGATGACCTAATTTCTGGCTAAAACAAAGATGCACACATCTGGTTGCAATATGCAATAAATGATAGTTTGTTTTGAGAACATTTCCAGGTCTGTTTTAAAGTGTTTTCCCTGTGATGTGTCAATTTCCCAAAAATATTGATCACATTAAATGAATCTAGAAAGCAATTGGATTACATTAAAAGTTTAGTTCACATCAATAACTCTTAACAGTTAATGCTTAACATGCAAGTATTTTATCCTGTATTCTTCAAGCAGGTCAAGGCTAAACTCAGTCATTTTAGTTCAACGTGTAATGTTAACACACTCTCTAAATTGTAGAATGACTTGGTACATAATACACTTTTTCACTCCTATTCACCTTAGAAATATGTTTTGTTCATGACTAAAGAGACAATGATTTAGCCCAATATTTATTGAACTAGGAGAGAAAGAATTGTCTTTTTTGCATACAAAAGTATTTCAAGCAACCGAACCGATAAAGGTAATTTAAAAAAAAAAAAAACCTCTGGGATCCCCCTTAATACCATAGGCCTACTTTTTCAAGGCACATTTAATATCTTGAACGTTATAACTTGAATATTTCCATAGCCAAATTTGCTTAATTGAAAAAACATACTATGATAAAAGTTGACACTACGATACACACTTTGCAGCCCAGTAGCAGACACGCATTCATATTTGAACACGCTGCAGATCACGAGTCATCAAACGTCTCTGCCAATCAGGAAAGAGAACCGCTATTTGCGCAGAGGGCGGGACTTTGAAGCCGGCTAAAAATAACCCCTCTATTAGCATAAAACTTCAACGACTTCTAAACAAAGCGAAAGGTAATGTAAGCAAAATGAAAGTAGATATATTCTTGGTAAAGTTTAATGTAAGTTTTGAGTCGGTTTCTTACCCTAATATTTGCCAGTAGACAGCCAAATCAAACTTGTTTAAGCTACTGTAGCTTACAAACATTTTGGTTGCTAACACATAGACTGGGGCTAACGGTATAAATACACCTATTAGCATGGTTAATGAGAAGCTAACTTTATATACACTTTAAGTTGCCATACCTAACTGTGTGTGTGTCTTGTCATTGCAGAATTCAGCTAGATGTATAACTATGTGCAAAGGTGTGGGTGTAATGAATGTACAACTAATACATTGTGGGCAAAAAAAACATCATTGTAAACCCAAATGTAAAAATATTGAGTAAAAAATAAATAAATCATACAATATAATACAGCTTTATTTGTAAAGGACTGTAAAACCTCAGAAAATAAATTAATAGATTAAATTAAAAAAATCACACAGCTCAGCTCACAAACCATAAAGTAAATGAAAAAAACAATAAATAGGTAAAATCAAATTATGTACATACTGGTTCACTATATTGTCAGAGTTATAGGGCATTCGTCACCTTGTTTTGAACATGTAATTTCAAAATCATGGGCATTAATATGCTCTCAGAAGTGTCTAATTCTCTTGGAAGACTTTCCACAAGATTTTGTAACTGGCCTGCAGTGATATGCTCCCATTCAGCCTCAAGAAGGGGTAAAAACTAATGAATTAATATAATGAAAGTCTGAAAAGTTATCATTTGTGAATTGTCATCTTGTGTTTGCAGAGGAGTAATCTAAAATGGACTGGTTCCACTGTAATCAGTGCTTTACAAGGAGTGGGTCGAAGTTTGCCGTGAGCAGCTGCGGCCACATCTGCTGTGAAGCATGCATTACATCTGGTAAGTAGGGGTGTGAATTCCAAGATACAACACGGTAAGATCTTGTATCGATTCTTTGGAAAACAATACGACAATTTGCTGATATCACAAAGTCTACCACAACTTTCACTTGATTAAATTCAGTGGCACGCCATCGATATGACAATATATCACAGTACCATGCAAGAAAAAGGTTACATCAATAACAACTCACAAAAAGCTATCAAAATATTACTTGACAATTAGTGTTTTTTCATAAAATGACTTGATCAATTTTTTTACAATAAATGTTAAAAGTTGATGGTGTATATTGATTTTTTTCACTTTGCTACTAATAAGACAGCTAATACGCTAAATCGATTTGCTTTCACTTTTTAAGTAAAATTCTTTAACATCGTGACTTCAATTAGACATTTTCTGGCCCCTTCTAATGATGTATTTTCCCACAGAGCAGTGCAGTGTCTGTGGAGCCACCTGCAGTTTTCTGCCCATCACAGACCAGGTTGGTGAGTTTAACATCTCCACTGCAGCTTACTGTCTGAAACCACCAACAGAGAATGACCTTATTTTATCCATCCAACTTATTTTATCTTATGTATTTCAGATGAAGCCTCAAGAAAGGGTGTTTTTCAAAGATCCTGTGAAGCTCATCCAGTCCCGGCTGGAGCACATCTCACAGGTCTGTCTCCTCTGTGCAGCATCCCCCAAGAGCCCTTGCTGATTTCCTATTTAATTGCTAAAGAGGCATGTTAAATGTCATTCAATGAATAGTCAGTCAGTGAGTCATTCAACAAGACATTGCTTCATTTAGAGTGATAGGAGACACAATTAAAAGCATCCCTGAACTATAATCCAAAAGTTTATATTCATTACGTTCTATTTTTACTGAAAGACTACCTAATATCAGTCTTTATGCTCCTCAGATTGCACTTTTTCAGCGGACACAGATGGAAAGAGTCACGGCACACTTCAAGCATAAGTCTGTGGAGCTGGAAAGGCATCTGAAGGAAGTCAGTGAGCAGGCTTACAGGTGATTCTAGAACCTATTATTGTTCCTCTGTGGCTGTGAATATAAAAACCCTGGTTGCAACGCTTTTCTTCCCATCCCAAGGCAACTCTCCGAGCTGAAAAGAGAGAACGCTAACTTTAAAAAGCAGCTTTCAGAACTGAAAAGAGAGACTGCTGATTTGAAAAAGCCCCTTTCTCAGCGGCGGGTAAGTGTTCCAAAGTCTAGAAAATAAAATGTTCATGTTGCCAAAATGTTCAGGAATAGTAAAATATCTAATATAGCTTGCATACTTTCTCTTTTCCAAAGGTTTCACCAGGACAGTTTCAAATAGATGGGTAAAACTAATGCTCATATCAGGACTATCCTCATGAACTTTCTAGTGTTCAAATGTTTTAAAACAGTTGAGTAATCACGTTTTATCTCATATATAGAAATCAAAGAATGTCACTCCCTGTGGCTGTCACCTCCCCAGGTAAGTTGAATCGTAACAGTTCATGCTTTTGTTGTTTTATATCTATCTGTATGTGTTTCCTTTTGCTAGTTACCCCTCGTCCAAGAACCATGAGGTATGTATTACATCATTGTCCTGGTGGATTTCCCTCTGCATAACATATCTACACTTCATAAAAGGAGTCAAAATATTGAATGCTCAAACATGTTGTCCACAGTTACATGGGCTCAGCGGAGTCTCAGGTGTGGGCCAGAAACAGGGGTCATAGTCTATCCTCTCTCACAGTAAGTCTCCTTATTATAGTATTTTTAAATGAACTGTATTTATATAACACTTTCTAGTCTTCTAATGTTTTGTAGAAGTCAAAGTCAACTTTATTGTCAATCTTTCAGTTTGTGTGTACAGGCAGAGAGATCGAAATACCGTTTCCCACAATCCCGAATACAAAAACAAATATATATACAAATATGTATATACCTATATATACACAATCAAAAGACACATTTATACATATGCACACAGTAACACCTAAATAAAAGCACAACAATCAATATATACAAAATAACAGCCACTTCAATATCTTTGAGAATGTACATTAGTGCAAGACTGTCCATAGCAGCGTAAAAAAAAAAGTGTCTTGTGCTGGATTTGAGTGTGTGTGGTGTTAAAGTCCAGGACCAGTGGGGTCAGGGGGAGAGAGGGGAGAGAGGGGAGAGAGTTCAGCCTCCTGACGGAACTTCTATAAACAAAAGTATTTCTTAATTTAAAAAAACTGAAAAAATATAACTATTTCCTAAAGGGATTGTAACGGTCCGTCCACACAGCGGCGTGCGTTGAAGCTTGCCGGCGGGCGTGTCTGAAACTCGACCAACAACCAATCACATGAATCTCCCGCCCCGGACACACAAGCACGCGGTTTGATTGGCTAGAGCTTGTACTGGCATATGATTTGATTGGCTGACGCTTCCGTCGAAGCTTCAAAAGTTGAACATTGCTCAACTTTTGAAGCGAGCACCGCGAGCAAAGCGTAGCGACGCTCCCACAATGCAGTTCGGCGAAGCGTGACGTCACCCCATTCAAAGTGAATGGGCAGAAGCGTTGAAGCTTCAACGCACGCCGCTGTGTGGACGTGCCGTAAGAGATAAGATAAGACTTTATTTATCCTGAAGGAAATTGTTGTGCCAGAGTAAAAGAATTGTGCAACTTTTAGGAGATTTAAAACCATTTGACAATACAATAATCTTAAATCAAGGTCATCAATAGCTTTTATCAAAGCGTTCAGGGAGGTCTCATCTCAGATCTCCATCCACTGATGAAGACTGAACTGTGGTTGAAACCTCTAGAAGCTAGTCAGTGGATCTTTAGTCGAGATGTTTTTGTGAGACAAACATCTCTAAGGGTCAAGAACGATTGTACTTGCTCTAAATAATTACAAATTCATAGACCAGGTGGTCATTAGTAGTTTTAGGAGTAACAGATTACACATCATGGGATTACGTAATCAGGATACAAAGAATTCCCTTAGATTTATGTACATAAAAAAAAGACTTATTCAGATTCAGCATTTTTTTTTATCGGGGATTACTAGCAGGATTACAATGTTACTAAAAAAATCCCAAAAATATCATATAGTGTTTGTTGTAAAAGGAACAGATTGAATGTCTTCTTTGTAAACTCCTGTTCTGTAGGCTAATACTTTAGGTGTGAATCAATACGCCTACTATTAGGTTTATGTTTTTCACTTTCTTTGGTTCATTTGTTATTTTTTTTAATCAGAGGGTGAACCTATATGTTTATAAAATAGTGTGTATGAACTGTATGTATTCAATTAAAACGGAGCATTTCCTGTCAGCTCAGATTTGATTTTCTAAACTGTAGTACGTGCTCATGTGTTTCATCGTTGGTGTATATGCTACTGCCTGAATATGCTCGATGAAAGGCAGGTTTTCCTATAAATAAAATCTCTGAGCAGAGGACACATTTTCGATACTATATATCTTTGTTTCTTATTTTTTAAGTTAACATAAGGTTACTGTTGTCTTACGTAATACACTTAAGTAAAAAACATCTTATTGATAATATTTTCTCTTGTATTTATTTTCATTGCATTTGATATTGAGGTAATCCTAAATAACAGAAAGTAATCATGTTACATTACTTCTATATTTTGATACTCAGATTAGGTTACTGATTTTTTTTTACAGCTAAATAATCATTTTAACGGAATACATTTTTACAAGTAATCCTCCCGACCCTGGTCATTAGTAATTCATATTCAGCTATCAATTAAAATGTTGTATGCTCTTTGTTTTTTTCAGACTCCTGGATCAGCTACCCCTATTCACAGCCACAGTTCACTTCATGGACACAGTAAGTGTTGTGAAGACGCTTTGGCTGTAACATGCAGTCCATCTTTAATCATTAATCCTTTCACCTCTGTCTTTGAAAAGGAACTCCAATATCCTACAACACTCCTACTCCTACAAGGTGAGAAATGCTTTACGAATAACCTGTTGTGAAACTTTGTATCACATTTTCAAGAAGGGAGGGTTTTCTCGTGTAGTCGTGAGTCAGTCCAATTCTGTCTTCCCCAGAACTCAGCGTCAGACTCCTAATGCCTTCCAGTTCCCGTTTATGAGTGGATTATCATTACAGTCACCCAGGCACTGATTTAAGGAGTCTTTAGCCAGATGTGTCTACATCAGCTTTGTTTTCTTAGTTAAAGAAAAACATGTTTTTGCCAAGTAACAGTTGGATGTTGATTTAATGTCACAATTTATCATTGTTCCATTGACGTTACCCTGTGGTTCCAGATTATCATATTGTTATTGATTGACCGTTTGTTTACTGGCAGTACAATTTTATGTGTTTCTACAAATTGCTTTTGCTTGTAGTTTACATTGATGAAAAAATAAATTTTATCCGTCAGGATCAGTTGGTGTCATTACAGCACACAAAACAACATTGCTCACACACATGAATAGAAAGGCAAATCCTTTACTGGTTTCCAGTGACACAATTGTGCAAATGAGACATTTTAAACTGGATGAAATACATGGAAGACACTAAGCGTTGTGGACATTTTCCACCAGCATGACACATGCATTAATGCTTCATTACTAATACAATGACAAAGTGACACTGCTTGATCAACTTTATTGTAATCTAAACTTTAACCAGATATTTCTATTGAGCTAACTGACACCATTAAAAACCCACTTCAACCACTGGAGGGCTACTAACAGAGTGTGGAGTTTCTCTGAACTGATTACCAAAATGTATAGTATTTGTTGGTGTTTTTCTTTGGATTCAATTCTATTGCTACTTATACAGTACGTGGACGCCCATCTATTATTGTATCTGTCCATCAAGTATAAACGTATAAACACCCTACAGCTATTAAGACAAAATAGACATAAAAATACTGACTGATAAATTACTGAGAAAAAAGAGAATTGAAGTTGGCAATTCTGACATCTGTATAATGTTGATGTGATTGTTGCTTTTCTAATTACTGTTGAAAGGTGCAGTTGAATGCAAATTACAGAGTTTACAAACAGTAAATCAGGTTTTATAGCAGTGTAAAAGAGAATCGGGGAATGTTTGTCAGACATAAGTACAATTAGATGTATCATACTGTTTTGTAAAAGGCATGTTTATTACTTTCAGTGTTAAGGGTTCAAATAACATTCTGTGAACAAATTGGATGTTATGAATATGGCAGCAGCCTCTAAAACCAAAGTGCAAGATGTCAATTTAAAGTGATCATGTCCAGTGTGCTTTTCTCGACAAGGAATTATTGGCTGTAAAGGAATGATTAAACACAGTGACCTTTTAACAAATGTATCAACATAGACATTTTTCTGGAGCAGTTACTGCTTTAGTCAGATACCAAAGGTACAAGCAGTTTAAATTAAACTGCTACAATAGCATACTAAAAACTCTGTAGTAGTGATATCCAGACAAAAAATAATTAGCTCAAAAAAATATAGCAAACCAGTGTACAAGTTACTGTCCTATTTACAGCAACAGAGGCAGCACAATTATAACTCATGTCCAAATATATTAGGAAAAGCAGGAAATTCAGCATATATAAAAACTCAAAGCTCACTTTGGGATTGTGCTGGGAAGACGGGATGGTACAAACCTGCCAAATTAAAGCAATTTAAACCAAAGTAGTATATATGCTTGTTGGTGCAAAGGATGCAAGGAGCACACCAACACCTTTTAGAAATGTTTGGTTCCATGGTCTTAATCAGCAGCAATGGGTTCTTGTTCAGTCCCTCCCGTATCCTGACCCGCAAACCAATCTCGCACTTGCTGGTAGCTCATTTTTGATTTCTTGCATAGAGTGTCAAGGTCTTTTTCATGTAGTTTGCCTGTTGAAAGGTAATATGTCAGCAATGGCTGGATATCAGGGGAATCTGCACTTGTTGCATTTGCTTGTGATTTTCGTTTGCGGCCACCCCCAGCCCGAGCAGATGTCCCAGAGCCATTTCCGTTAGTTAAACCACTGCTACTTTGCTGGGCTGCAAGCTCTGCCAAGAACTGATCGCGGACGCCCTTCACCCAGCGTAGCTGGCCGTTTTTAACGGCATACCGCGTGTCCCCAAACCACTGAATGACATCTGCCCGGGGTAAACCTGTAAGCTTCACAAGTTCTGTATAATCTTCACTCTTGGGCCACTGGCAGCGTAAGAAGTGCTGCTTTAACATATCCAACTGCTCCTTGGTCTTTCTTGGTCGCCCAGCTGGAGTGAGGGCAGGGGATGTGGATAAGGGAGCCTTTGAAGGTGTTTGTGCGGGACTGGCTTTGGCTGAGTGGGCTGACTTCTTTGATGTGCTGTTGTTGTTTGAAAGCGGTTTATGAGGCGAGGCAGTCAGTGGTGGGCTTCCAGAGGGGGAAGAGTAGGGAGAGCATTTTAATATACCTGATGGTTCCTGTGGAACATCTGGCTCAATCTTGCAGGTCTTTGTCAGCTGCAATGGTTGCTCTTCATTTTGTTCCTCGTCTTTCAAACTGTCCCCATCACCAGAAAGCTCCTCCATAACTTCATACCCTTCTGCCTCAAGGACCCTCTCCCCAAATGCTTCAAGGCTGTTTGTTAAGAAGGTCTGAAAGAAATGTGAATTTCTTATCCCATTTCCACGGGCTCCGTCCTGACCCTTCACACCGTCCAGTTGACTAGTCGTTTGTGTGATAAGTGGGATAGGTTGAATTTCTTGATCTTGTTTACCTCCAGTGTTTTGAGAGTGATTCTGTGCTGCAGCTAGGCTTCCTCTACCAACCCGTAGCTGGTACCGGCTGTCACTGAACCATTTCCGAATGTCGTTACGGCTCAGCCCCGTTTCTTCCTGCAAACGTCTAAGCTCTACCTCCGCAGGCCAATTCTCTCTCAAAAAGCTTTTCCGAAGGGCAGCGAGCTGAACTTTAGACTTTTTGTAGCGCCCATGGCGGTGCTGTCGTGAAGATGACTCTGAAAGGTCAAGGGAGACATCAGCTGCTATACCTGCTGGCGTGTCTGCTGGTGGGCGGTAGAAGTATGAATCCTGAGGAGGGGGGAGGGAGGAGCTGAAAAACGGGACATTGGGCTTGGCTGGTTTATAGGAATCTGGTGACTCACACTTTGGTTTCTTCTTCTGGGGGCTACAGATGGCCCCCTTTACTTCATTGATATCCTTATCCTCAATTACCAATTCCTCAGAACTGCTGCTCTTGCTTTTCATTTTGGCTTCCTCGTTTGTTTCAGTATAGTCATCACAAAGATCAGGCACTGCCAGCTTTTGACGTGTCTCCTCGATTTCTTCTGAAGACCAGCTGATACCATATTTAATTCTCTGCACCATGAACCACACCTTTACTTTGTCCAGTGGCAAGGCACATACCCGGGCCAGAGTGGTTACCTCACAGGATGATGGGTATGGAAATAAGTTAAAGGCTTGGACCAGCTCTGGGATTGTGTCAAGTTCACGGGTTTGATCCGACTGTGTCCACACCAGTTTCAGTCCCTCTGACACTAGAGGCAGGCACACAACAGAGTTGTGGTTTGTGGTGAAACTAGCCACGCCACTCTCGTTTTCAGCTGAGCTGGCAGAGTGGCGCAAATCCTTGGAGGGGCGTTTGGGTACAAGTTTTACTTCACATTCTGTCTTTGTTGCTTTTCCTTCAAAAGGCCCCTTCATGCCCATAAATAGTCCATTTTTGCCATTATGTTCACTGTAGTTCGCCATCTGGGATGTCAAAATAGGCTCTTTCACCTAAAAAAAAAACAAAACAATGATTTAGTCTTTGATGTTTTTTTTAGTTGACAAACAGTTTTTACTTCATAGATGGGATCACTGTGGGGGGATTAAACATGTATGCTAAGAAATGTAGCAGAAAGTATAGACTATGATGTTTTCAGGACTTTTGGGTCTCATTCATTCTCAAAGTCAATTATCTGACAGCTGGTTACCCCCTCCCCCCTACTTTGCACTTCTTATTCTGAACTCCCAGCGAAACTTGTCGTATACACTGTTGAGACTGGGTTCCCCTCCCCCAAAGTGTAGTGCCTGACTTTTGTTTTGTGTGAGTGGGGGGATTGGTCGCAAAGGGTGGTGTGCGTGGGGATCTGTGAGAAATCCATCACAGTCTACTTTCTCACCCCTTCCCAGTCGGCCTTTGTTCCACTCCCAAGTTCTCAGTCCCGAAATACGAGTGTAGCCTCTTCACAATGGCAAGATACCACAAGAGAAACCTGTGGAAGACTAAATGAGTTGGATTAGTCACACTCACAGTACTTAAACAGTATCAAACACCAAGTTAATTTGTTTGTTTTCATTCTGAAAAATGGTTTGAAATACTAATTGAATATACATGTATTCATTTATTTAGCAACAGGTGTTAAGCTATCACAAAAACACATTATGCAGTGAAATGTCACTTTCATAGAAGGATCAATAAAAGGAATTGTGATTCGGAAACTTTTTATAAATAACCTTTTTGTCCCATTTCAGTCATTACTTTATTATATGAATAGGGGTTTGTAACTACTTATGGTACCGTTTCTTACAAGTAACTATGTAGCATTGCCTTTATTTGTGATATTCTTTATTTGAAACATCAGAGGAAAATGCCCATTCAGTTAGGTCACGACATGGCTGACGATTAAGGTCGCTTGAGTCACGTAAGAAATGTTCGAAATGTACAAAAAAACATTAGCAAACAATTGTGAAACCACTGTATTAGTCATTCGTGACACATTGAAACCCACGGGGGTGAGATCATGGAGTGGCCTCCTCCGTGTTTCATGTGTTTCCTCACAGCACTGTACGAGTTTAAACGTATTATCTTTGTTTTAGCGTTAAGAAAAAAGCTATAAAAGTTGCTTTCGGTGTCCATCACAAAAGCAGCCCAGTGTCTCCCCCTTTATGGCGTACTAACTAAAACGCTTCACACTGCACAGGCGCACTTCGGCGTCAGACACGCTTCAGTGAAACATACAAATAAACTTACCGAAAATGCCAAAATAACCCGTTATCTCCTTGGTCCGTTTCAGCGTAAAGACACGAGAAGAAACCCGGAGTTTCCCCTCTGCCACTCCGTTCCTTTATGGCCGAAGTTTAGGGGAAGACCAGGGAAACAATGCCGTCCGTCTGTCGGTTTGACCCTTGTCTTATTTATCAAGCACCTCGATGGATTACTGTCGGGATACAAAGATGCGAGGCGACCAAGTTTGTCGCCTTTTCGCAGGAGTTCAGTCGTCGGTCGTATGGCGCACAAATCTCTCAATCCGGGAGATTTAGGTCTCAGTTTGAGTCGTCGTTACTTCGTCCTCCTCGGTCCATCCGTTGTTGCTTTTGTTCTTTAACTGAGAAGTGTTTTCGCTGTCCGGTCAGATCGAGGCGAGGCGGAGCTGAGGACCAGGAAGCCCAGAAAGGCCCAACTGACTCTCCCACAGTGACGGCGGGGTGGGTGTGCCAGTCTGGGAGAGCAGACCGTGGATTGGAGGGAGGAGGCGCCTGTATAATAAATCCGTGGCAGTAGGCTAAAGAGTTTCACGTCAACCCCCCCCCCCTCCACAAAAATGATTTTCAACCGAGTCTCATCATAGTTTTTAATTTCAAATATTACATTAATTCATCTACTACTGTCCTAACTTAGAGCATTGATAACAATAGTGAAATGTTTTAAATGTATCCATTGTAGCCTTTCCCAAGATTTCTAAGGGCCCTTAGACCAAACTTATAGTGCTTATAAAATATTAGTCCAGGGCCATTGACACAACTGAAAACACCATATTCTGGAAATGTGGGCATTTTTTTTGCAACATAGAAAACATTATTTTCATGTGTGTGAAACACATTTTTCTATTTTCTTTTTTACATTGGAAAAACCTTGATATAAAATACATTAGCTTTGCATAACATAACATTTTTTAAATTACTTTTAAAATGTTCCAACTTTTTTTCCATTTGGTTGATGTTGATAAATAGAGACCAGACACCTCTTCTGTTCAGGGTCAAATTGACCCGTTCACTTAGAATCAAGCCAAATGAGTCATAAGGATTTGTATTGAAAGTATTTTATTGTAACAGCAATTAAGAACGTGTGTGTGTGTGTGTGTGTGTGTGTGTGTGTGTGTGTGTGTGTGTGTGTGTGTGTGTGTGTGTGCTGCAACATAGAAAACATTACAATTTAAATTAAAAAAGAAACAACTACATAACAACAAGCTACTTTTGAGCCAACAATTCACTAAAGCATTTAAATTATTGAGAAATATACCTTTTAGAAAATGAAATGGAACAGTTTAGTAAAAGAATAAACATAATGTTAACATTTAAATCAGTAGAACCATTTAAAATTGTACTGGGGGACTTGTAATATGTATCTTTACAACCATGGGTATTGCTCTGTATCAATTCCTAATGTATCACCAAAACAACGATTAGGAAGTTGGATTTTTGTTGTTTTATGCACAAGATATAATCAAACAATCAAACCTCTTCCAGTGATAATGTGTCCTTGAGCAAGATGCTGAATTCATATCAGCTTCAGACATGATATTCTGTCAGTGAAAAGAAGGCAACTGTATTATAAATATATCAGTCAGTACATTTAGCTAATTATTTCTGCTTAATTATAGAAAATTACAAACTGTTTCAAAATCTGAAGGGGTTTAACCATTTTTGTGAAAGATGTATTTTTTTTTAATTGGTCACATCAGTTTGAACATGCTATTGGTTTGATATTTCACAATAAGGAATGGGAAAAGAAAACAGAAAATGAAATATCTTTATTAAATCAGTTGTTATAAGGTGGTCAAATACGTAGTTGTAGTAAAAGTAGTGTTAAACGTTTAAACATTTAATTGAAATATAACAATCAAATGCTAAAAAATATTGTTGTCAGTATAATAACCACAAAAAAAAACATTTATACATGTACATGTCTTTGTAGTAAATATAATCGTTATATAGTTAGGGTTTTGTATACCTCTTTAAAAATACATACTTAGAAATGATAATGATTTCACATTTATTTATTTTTTGCCTTCACCCAAAACTGACAATAGTGTCAATTCAGGAAATATGCTTGAGTGTTCTTCATATCTACCTCAAACTTCATAGAAATACCTTCATTGCATTAATCAAGTAAGAGTACATTTATATTTCTACATAGTGACAAAAATAACTCCTGTTAGCTGGGAGCTTGCAGTTGTATGTAATGGAAACATTATACTGCGACTTCAGTACAGATATAGGAAATGTTTAGAACCGGTTACTAGCCAGGGTGAGCACAAAGCGTGGCAGGTGTAGGAATGAAGGCGTAACGACTGACAGCCAGGAGAGATATGGGACCTGGGTCAGGAGGAATTTTAGGGAAGTGTAATCAGTTACACTCCTTCCTGGAAATAAACAGAGGAACAATATATTATAATCAGGGGGCTGTATGTCAAAGTAAGTTCAAATCAAAAACAACACAGCTGATACAAACTTACCATCAACATCTTGAAACCCATAGCGTCTTGCCAGGTCACATGTGAGGAGTACTTTCCCACTCAGAGACATCAGGCTTTTATCTTCAGGCAGGAAAGAAATCAAAAGTATGCAAATGAACAAAACTCAAACCAAATCAGTCGAACCAGTAAATGTTTTCAAGAATGCATGTTACAGCATGTGCAAATATGATATATGCACAGCGTTCCTTATCTCATATGTACCATCCGATATTGTCCTACCTTTTGCCAGGTTGACAATGCACATCCCACTCAATTCTGTAGTTTCTCCATTGATAAACACATCTTTGATCTTTGAGCAAAATAGAATACAGATATTTTAAAAATCTCAAAGAAGCCAATATGGATTGGCATACCAACGATTTGCTTTAAAGAGTCTACCTTGGAATCTGCACCCTCTGGGGTTTCTTTCTCCAATATGAGCTGAGAAACCAACTCTGTTTGTACCGCTCCGGGCCACAGACTGACAGAAGCAACTCCCCTACTTTTCAGCTCAACAGCCATGTCTGCTGCCAACCTGTCACACTGGAAACAAACCACAATACCAAAATCGTTTTTTATGACACTGACCAATTTACACAGCAGATGTATTTATGTTAACATAATCTAGGTCTAAATGAGAACTTACAGCTGCTTTACCAACACCGTATGGCACATTGAAGAGATACCGCAGCCCTCCCATGGAAGAAATGGTGACGATCAAACCCTGACCTTGAGCCACCATCATCCGGGATGCATGAACTGAGAAGAAATAGTGTCCTCTGCCAGATAAATGATGAAATGAATAAGAATCAATCAAAACATTTTTGAATCACACTTTGTATATTTTCTGAGCTTCTACTGGCAATGCATTAATGCTGAACTCAAAACGAATAAGAGACACAAACACATTGAGTAACAGCTGATGTCTGGGAAATTGTCACTAGACTGGAGGGTATGACTCATTTGACACATTAGACCAGTGGTTCTCAAACCTTTTCTGTCATTCCCCACCTCTCCCTCGTCGCTCCAATAAAATGGTAGGCCAAGCTTAAAATGATCAAATGTATCATTCTATAACAATATAACAATATATCTATAACAAATAACATCAGTTCAAAAACAGAAAATCAATAACAAATAACAGTTCAGAAATAGAGAAAATAAAAGTGCAATGCTGTCAATCCTTGCCTCAAATGGGCTGAGTTCCAAAAATATAGAAAAAGGGCCTACTATGCAATTGTGATAGGCCAAGCTTAAAATTGTCAAATTTATTTAAATAACGTCAAGTTCTACATCTTATAACAAATAACATCAGTCAATAATAACAAATAAAATCATATAAATAAAAGCAGTGTTTCGTGTGTGTGTGTGAGAGCATTTCATACGTGTATATGAGTGTATTTCATGTGTGTGTGTGAGTGTGTTTCACATGTGTAGCCTATATGAGAGCGTTTCACATGTATATGTGAATAACTTTGGATTTCATATGTGTGTGTGAGTGCATTTCATATGTGTATATGAGAGATTTTTACATATGTTTGTAAATGATTTTGGTTTCAGTTGTGTGTGTGAGCAGGCTCGGATTGGCCATCGGGAGATTCGGGACTTTTCCCAGTGGGCCGCTGCCGTTGGTGGGCTGCTGGCTCTGGCATAGGTGGGCCGTGGACTTTCACAGTGCCGCTGCGCCGGTACCGCCACCGCAAACACCTGCCGTTGCGAGGCTCCGGCGCAGCGGCACTGTGAAAGTCCACCGCCGTTGCGAGTCTCCGGCTGTAACAGTCCACTACCGCCCGCGAGGACCCAGGTTAGATTCCGGCCTGAGGTCCAAAATAAATAAAATAATCTCCCGTTCATCGCGTCCATTCTGCGCCCCACCAGTGGGGCGGACCCCACACTTTGAGAAACGCTGCATTAGACATACAAAGCTTACCTGAGGCCTGTATTGTTTATGGAATCCCAAATGGTTGGATCGGTTTCCCAAAACTTCTTCCCCATGTTCCCGAAGATCGCCTGGAATAACACATCATTTTAAAGTTCCGATAAAAAGGTCACATAGTGGGCATTTTATGGTTGGTGCTGTTTAAAGTTGTCAAGTGTTCCACAAGTTTTTGGCATCTGCTACAGCAACGCTGGTATTGTGTGTGTGTCATGGGTAAAATGTGGTCATAGTGACAACTAGTGTAGCCGGAACAACCACTTAATTGGTTTCGAGTTCTTTGCCAGATGTTTTTCAGTCTTTGTTTGTCACCCTAATGTCGTTATAACCATGCATGACACAGTCACGGAAATCTACAGGTGTGATGTTGGGATCAAAATGAAAGATTTGTTTGAAATGGATTTCGTTCCAGCAAGAATGCCAGAAATACATAGTAGAAAAAGGCCATAGGCTCCCACTATTTTACAACCGTGATCCAATTTGGTGCGATCCCATTCAAGATTGTCTCTTGTTCAAGTATACGATACATGAAGTGGTGTTTCATGTCAGTTTTGTACACCTACATGCACTCCAGCATAGGCATTGTTGACCAGGATATCCAGCCTGCCATTCTGCTCACGCTTGATCCTCTCAAACAGGTCTTCAATTTCTTTGTCATTCGTGGAATCGCAGATAACTGGCACACAGTTTCCGCCCCTCTCCTTAACCTGTGTCGAAAACAAACACATCCGTTGTGAACATTGGATACTTATCCTGACTGCAATATTTCAGGTGCAATGTTTTCTAAGTCATCCGCCAGCCTAGGTAGCGAGTGATAGGCTAAGGGGCGAGACATCTCTAAGCGGTTGACCAATCACAACAAAGCTGGCCAGCTAACCAATAAGAGCATACCGGGCACATAGTCACCTTAGACAGTGTAAACTTACTAAATATTGTTGCCCTGAAGATTAACAATGGTAATGCAGAGCCACCTATGGTAATGTACAAACATAAATATTTCTAGACAGCCAATGACGGAAACAAACGTTGAACTTGCGGCACTAACTGACAATAAAGATGCAACTTATCAGTTGTTGTTTCTGAACAAGCACGGTTTGTTTTAGTAACGTTCAGTTAGTGCTCGACACACAAATGGCTGCTCCAGAATTCAAAACATAGTTAGTGGTTTGTTTAAACTGTTGCCTTATCTACAGGCTGATATTTGGAGTTGCTGACCATAATATATCGTAGCAGTAGCCTGCATATTAGATGTTTAGGGAATATCAGAGTGCACAATAGTATAGGGACCATCATTTAGGGAAGGTTTGGCCTATGGGTCACAAATTGATGGCACCATATGTCAGCAAGAGTTGGGATAATGCCCATTACTTTTGCCTCGCTGCCTAGCTTTCTAATACAGCCCTTTTTGGAAATTCATGCTCAAGTTGTCACCTGTGCAGCGGTTTGTTTCAGAGTGTCCTCCTGCCGCCCTGTGATGTAGACTGTGGCTCCTGCCTCAGACAGCTGGAGGGCGATGCCCCGGCCAATGCCTCTGGAGGCACCAGTTACTAAACACACCCAGCCAGACAAGGACATTTTCCCTGTGGGAGAAAGGACCATGACATACAATAAGCACTAAGATCAAATACACCATGTAATCTAAGACTACTTAAGGTTAATAGACCTCATTTAAATATAACCAGAGGTCAACTGGAGCTTAGAAGAATTGCAACATGGTTAGTGGGAGTTATTGCACCCAGTGTCCAGAGTTCACTTGAAATCTAAAGGAGCTATTTCACAAGTGAATTTGACCCAGTCACTGTTACTCAGCATTAGGTGTGCAAAGTGCAATGACACAGATATGACAAAAAGTGATCATGATTTATCGGCAACAGGTTCAACAATTATAACTCACATCATTTTAAAAGTGCGTGCACAATAGTAAATAACGAAACTGTTAAAGAAGGTAAGTACACGTTTCATAACCAGAACAATATTAGGAAACAATACATTTTTAATAACGATTTTGCTATTCACGAGGACGTTCTTGTCCTTATTATAACAAAAATAATGTGATAACGTAAGTCGAAGAGCAATTATTTCAGGAGAAACTGACGTGTCGTCGATATTATTACAAAACAGTGGCGAGACTGCTGTTATAACACACACCATATATTGTATATTGTGAACTTTAAAATCTCTAGAATAAAAAAGAAATGGCATAAAATAAATCAGAAAGCCTACCTTATTCCACAGAAAACGTGGGGAATAGTTTCTCAAGAACCAATGATATTTACTCGGAGCAAAGTTACCAGGAAACGTTTCGCTACAAATATCACGGCTGTTGTGTGTTGCAGTTTTTATTTCCTACTGATAGTGCCTCAGGCTGCAACTATGAGCGATGTTATGGGACAGTTACAGCTACGAAGACGGGATCAATGTCTAGCATAGTATCGCGAGAATACGCCAGAATGAGCAGAGAGTTGAGAGGTTATCTGATGATTCACTTGCACTTACTTCCGGCTTCGCTTTGCCTGAATTTTAGACAATTAAACCTGTATGGCAAATATTTCGTTAAAATAAACAATCGTTGTTGTCGTGTTTTACACAAAATCTACTGTCCTGATAAGTAAAACTCCGATTTTATGTCGTAGATTGTTATAGGCTGTTGTGGTGTAGTTTTGAATGTGAACTATATCATGTTTGATGTTGTCTTTGGTATATTTTAAACATTCAACACACGATGGCGATAGAGTCTTTGTGAAGATTCAGAATCGGTTTTATTATCAATTAGGTTTAACAATAAGAGGAATTTGCTTTAGTGTATGTGGTGCATACAGAGACACAGAAAGAACAATACGTAGCAAAACAAAATAGGACTGTTATGACAGCTATTTAAAAAGAATTGTTTAACAAATTAACAGTATTTACACATGACAAATACTATACTGTATTTAGAGTGGAGAGCTGTGCTGATTTAAACTAGGTAGTGTGGAGAAGAAATGTACAACATGTACAGGATTTACAAAAAGAAAAAACAAACTGTTGTTCGCATGATGTGATGTGCATTAATGTAATGCATAATGTTTTTCTGGGGTAGATCAAAAGTCAGTGTCCATGGGGGTCCTGTTCCTTGTTAATCAGGCCAGTAGCAGAGGGGAAGAAACTGTTCAGGTGGCGAGAGATTTTGTTCCTGATGGAGCGCGTCCTGCCAGAGGGGAGGGGGGTAAACAGTTTGTGTCCAGGGAGGGGTCGGCCACTATCTTCCCTCAGGGTCCTCGAGGCGTGCAGTGTATGTGTAGTTCAGGGCCTATTTGTTTAACAGTAGCCAAGTAGAAAGAATCAATAAGGGTGCCTTTGATACGGAGGAAAAGCTGCATTTTTGGGGTCTTCCCCGCATGTTGGGGTTGCTGTTGTATTACCATAAAAGAACACTGCACTGGTAATACTTCACTTTTCTAACACTATGCTGCACATGCAGTCATTTACATAGCCGATATGAATCTGATAAATATTAATTAAGGAACTGATCCAGAGGGATGTATTTCTCTGCTATAATGTGTAACTAATTATGGTTCCATTTTGTTGTTCCAAATCTATCTGTTGGCACATTAGTATGTGTAATATTAGCTTGTCTGGCATAAATATTTTGCATAAAAGTGAGGTCAATAGTTGGAAAAGGTTTTTTCAAGTCTCTCAGGTGTAACAGAATTCTGTTCCCTGTTGTTTTGTAAAGCCAGTTGGTGATTGGTTAACCCTCCTGTTATATTCGTTTTTTGGAACAGCAATAATATTCGTGGGTCAATTTGACCCAGTGCATGTTTAATTATCCAAAAATAGTCAGAAGCCCCAAAATCCAGATTTTCTTTTGTTCATAGTTTGTACCTTTTATTACTATCAATGAAATCAATATTTAGTGCAATTGTGTTATTCACCTCTCACAGATCATGGTTCCTTTAGAATAAGTCACTCGTTTTTCACAAAACATATACATTCAAACACATTTTTCTATTTTCTTTTTTACATTGGAAAAACCTTGATATAAAATACATTAGTTTTCCATAACATAACATTTTTTAAATTACTTTTAAAATTTTCCAACTTTTTTTCCATTTGGTTGATGTTGATAAATAGAGACCAGACACCTCTTCTGTTCAGGGTCAAATTGACCCGTTCACTTAGAATCAAGCCAAATGAGTCATAAGGATTTGTATTGAAAGTATTTTATTGTAACAGCAATTAAGAATGTGTGTGTGTGTGTGTGTGTGTGTGTGTGTGTGTGTGTGTGTGTGTGTGTGTGTGTGTGTGTGTGTGTGTGTGTGGTGTGTGTGTGTGTGTGTGTGTGTGTGTGTGTGTGTGTGTGTGTGTGTGTGTGTGTGTGTGTGTGTGCTGCAACATAGAAAACATTACAATTTAAATTAAAAAAGAAACAACTACATAACAACAAGCTACTTTTGAGCCAACAATTCACTAAAGCATTTAAATTATTGAGAAATATACCTTTTAGAAAATGAAATGGAACAGTTTAGTAAAAGAATAAACATAATGTTAACATTTAAATCAGTAGAACCATTTAAAATTGTACTGGGGGACTTGTAATATGTATCTTTCCAACCATGGGTATTGCTCTGTATCAATTCCTAATGTATCACCAAAACAACGATTAGGAAGTTGGATTTTTGTTGTTTTATGCACAAGATATAATCAAACAATCAAACCTCTTCCAGTGATAATGTGTCCTTGAGCAAGATGCTGAATTCATATCAGCTTCAGACATGATATTCTGTCAGTGAAAAGAAGGCAACTGTATTATAAATATATCAGTCAGTACATTTAGCTAATTATTTCTGCTTAATTATAGAAAATTACAAACTGTTTCAAAATCTGAAGGGGTTTAACCATTTTTATGAAAGATGTCTTTTTTTAAATTGGTCACATCAGTTTGAACATGCTATTGGTTTGATATTTCACAATAAGGAATGGGAAAAGAAAACAACAGAAAATGAAATATCTTTATTAAATCAGTTGTTATAAGGTGGTCAAATACGTAGTTGTAGTAAAAGTAGTGTTAAACGTTTACACATTTAATTGAAATATAACAATCAAATGCTAAAAAATATTGTTGTCAGTATAATAACCACAAAAAAAAACATTTATACATGTACATGTCTTTATAGTAAATATAATCGTTATATAGTTAGGGTTTTGTATACCTCTTTAAAAAATACATACTTAGAAATGATAATGATTTCACTTTTCTTTCTTTTTTTGCCTTCACCCAAAACTGACAATAGTGTCAATTCAGGAAATATGCTTGAGTGTTCTTCATATCTACCTCAAACTTCATAGAAATACCTTCATTGCATTAATCAAGTAAGAGTACATTTATATTTCTACATAGTGACAAAAATAACTCCTGTTAGCTGGGAGCTTGCAGTTGTATGTAATGGAAACATTATACTGCGACTTCAGTACAGATATAGGAAATGTTTAGAACCGGTTACTAGCCAGGGTGAGCACAAAGCGTGGCAGGTGTAGGAATGAAGGCGTAACGACTGACAGCCAGGAGAGATATGGGACCTTGGTCAGGAGGAATTTTAGGGAAGTGTAATCAGTTACACTCCTTCCTGGAAATAAACAGAGGAACAATATATTATAATCAGGGGGCTGTATGTCAAAGTAAGTTCAAATCAAAAACAACACAGCTGATACAAACTTACCATCAACATCTTGAAACCCATAGCGTCTTGCCAGGTCACATGTGAGGAGTACTTTCCCACTCAGAGACATCAGGCTTTTATCTTCAGGCAGGAAAGAAATCAAAAGTATGCAAATGAACAAAACTCAAACCAAATCAGTCGAACCAGTAAATGTTTTCAAGAATGCATGTTACAGCATGTGCAAATATGATATATGCACAGCGTTCCTTATCTCATATGTACCATCCGATATTGTCCTACCTTTTGCCAGGTTGACAATGCACATCCCACTGAATTCTGTTGTTTCTCCATTGGTAAATACATCTTTGATCTTTGAGCAAAATAGAATACAGATATTTAAAAAAATCTCAAAGAAGCCAATATGGATTGGCATACCAACGATTTGCTTTAAAGAGTCTACCTTGGAATCTGCACCCTCTGAGGTTTCTTTCTCCAATATGAGCTGAGAAACCAACTCTGTTTGTATCGCTCCGGGCCACAGACTGACAGAAGCAACTCCCCTACTTTTCAGCTCAACAGCCATGTCTGCTGCCAACCTGTCACACTGGAAACAAACCACAAAACCAAAATCGTTTTTTATGACACTGACCAATTTACACAGCAGATGTATTTATGTTAACATAATCTAGGTCTAAATGAGAACTTACAGCTGCTTTACCAACACCGTATGGCACATTGAAGAGATACCGCAGCCCTCCCATGGAAGAAATGGTGACGATCAAACCCTGACCTTGAGCCACCATCATCCGGGATGCATGAACTGAGAAGAAATAGTGTCCTCTGCCAGATAAATGATGAAATGAATAAGAATCAATCAAAACATTTTTGAATCACACTTTGTATATTTTCTGAGCTTCTACTGGCAATGCATTAATGCTGAACTCAAAACGAATAAGAGACACAAACACATTGAGTAACAGCTGATGTCTGGGAAATTGTCACTAGACTGGAGGGTATGACTCATTTGACACATTAGACATACAAAGCTTACCTGAGGCCTGTATTGTTTATGGAATCCCAAATGGTTGGATCGGTTTCCCAAAACTTCTTCCCCATGTTCCCGAAGATCGCCTGGAATAACACATCATTTTAAAGTTCCGATAAAAAGGTCACATAGTGGGCATTTTATGGTTGGTGCTGTTTAAAGTTGTCAAGTGTTCCACAAGTTTTTGGCATCTGCTACAGCAACGCTGGTATTGTGTGTGTGTCATGGGTAAAATGTGGTCATAGTGACAACTAGTGTAGCCGGAACAACCACTTAATTGGTTTCGAGTTCTTTGCCAGATGTTTTTCAGTCTTTGTTTGTCACCCTAATGTCGTTATAACCATGCATGACACAGTCACGGAAATCTACAGGTGTGATGTTGGGATCAAAATGAAAGATTTGTTTGAAATGGATTTCGTTCCAGCAAGAATGCCAGAAATACATAGTAGAAAAAGGCCATAGGCTCCCACTATTTTACAACCGTGATCCAATTTGGTGCGATCCCATTCAAGATTGTCTCTTGTTCAAGTATACGATACATGAAGTGGTGTTTCATGTCAGTTTTGTACACCTACATGCACTCCAGCATAGGCATTGTTGACCAGGATATCCAGCCTGCCATTCTGCTCACGCTTGATCCTCTCAAACAGGTCTTCAATTTCTTTGTCATTCGTGGAATCGCAGATAACTGGCACACAGTTTCCGCCCCTCTCCTTAACCTGTGTCGAAAACAAACACATCCGTTGTGAACATTGGATACTTATCCTGACTGCAATATTTCAGGTGCAATGTTTTCTAAGTCATAAATATTTCTAGACAGCCAATGACGGAAACAAACGTTGAACTTGCGGCACTAACTGACAATAAAGATGCAACTTATCAGTTGTTGTTTCTGAACAAGCACGGTTTGTTTTAGTAACGTTCAGTTAGTGCTCGACACACAAATGGCTGCTCCAGAATTCAAAACATAGTTAGTGGTTTGTTTAAACTGTTGCCTTATCTACAGGCTGATATTTGGAGTTGCTGACCATAATATATCGTAGCAGTAGCCTGCATATTAGATGTTTAGGGAATATCAGAGTGCACAATAGTATAGGGACCATCATTTAGGGAAGGCTTGGCCTATGGGTCACAAATTGATGGCACCATATGTCAGCAAGAGTTGGGATAATGCCCATTACTTTTGCCTCGCTGCCTAGCTTTCTAATACAGCCCTTTTTGGAAATTCATGCTCAAGTTGTCACCTGTGCAGCGGTTTGTTTCAGAGTGTCCTCCTGCCGCCCTGTGATGTAGACTGTGGCTCCTGCCTCAGACAGCTGGAGGGCGATGCCCTGGCCAATGCCTCTGGAGGCACCAGTTACTAAACACACCCAGCCAGACAAGGACATTTTCCCTGTGGGAGAAAGGACCATGACATACAATAAGCACTAAGATCAAATACACCATGTAATCTAAGACTACTTAAGGTTAATAGACCTCATTTAAATATAACCAGAGGTCAACTGGAGCTTAGAAGAATTGCAACATGGTTAGTGGGAGTTGTCCAGAGTTCACTTGAAATCTAAAGGAGCTATTTCACAAGTGAATTTGACCCAGTCACTGTTACTCAGCATTAGGTGTGCAAAGTGCAATGACACAGATATGACAAAAAGTGATCATGATTTATCGGCAACAGGTTCAACAATTATAACTCACATCATTTTAAAAGTGCGTGCACAATAGTAAATAACGAAACTGTTAAAGAAGGTAAGTACACGTTTCATAACCAGAACAATATTAGGAAACAATACATTTTTAATAACGATTTTGCTATTCACGAGGACGTTCTTGTCCTTATTATAACAAAAATAATGTGATAACGTAAGTCGAAGAGCAATTATTTCAGGAGAAACTGACGTGTCGTCGATATTATTACAAAACAGTGGCGAGACTGCTGTTATAACACACACCATATATTGTATATTGTGAACTTTAAAATCTCTAGAATAAAAAAGAAATGGCATAAAATAAATCAGAAAGCCTACCTTATTCCACAGAAAACGTGGGGAATAGTTTCTCAAGAACCAATGATATTTACTCGGAGCAAAGTTACCAGGAAACGTTTCGCTACAAATATCACGGCTGTTGTGTGTTGCAGTTTTTATTTCCTACTGATAGTGCCTCAGGCTGCAACTATGAGCGATGTTATGGGACAGTTACAGCTACGAAGACGGGATCAATGTCTAGCATAGTATCGCGAGAATACGCCAGAATGAGCAGAGAGTGGAGAGGTTATCTGAGGATTCACTTGCACTTACTTCCGGCTTCGCTTTGCCTGAATTTTAGGCAATTAAACCTGTGTGGCAAATATTTCGTTAAAATAAACTGTTGTTCGCATGATGTGATGTGCATTAATGTAATGTATAATGTTTTTCTGGGGTAGATCAAAAGTCAGTGTCCATGGGGGTCCTGTTCCTCGTTAATCAGGCCAGTAGCAGAGGGGAAGAAACTGTTCAGGTGGCGAGAGATTTTGTTCCTGATGGAGCGCGTATTTCTCTGCTATAATGTGTAACTAATTATGATTCCATTTTGTTGTTCCAAATCTATCTGTTGGCACATTAGTATGTGTAATATTAGCTTGTCTGGCATAAATATTTTGCATAAAAGTGAGGTCAATAGTTGGAAAAGGTTTTTTCAAGTCTCTCAGGTGTAACAGAATTCTGTTCCCTGTTGTTTTGTAGTGCCAGTTAAATATGGTGATTGGTTAGGAGTGCCCTAGAAAGACAGCTCTGCCCCCCTCCTGCCAATCCCATTCTTATAGGACCTCTGGACAGTAGTGCCAAAAAGATATGGTTTGGATAAGCATATCTACAGCAAATCCAAGTAAGTAAAAATATAGAAATGCATTTAGTCAATCATTATACACTTTACGGGAAGCGAAACACAGTCAGCATGGAATAAAATTACAAAATAATAAACTTTTACATTTTCAATCAATTAATGTAGAATTGTGTCTGTTTTCTCAGTGGATCATGTCATTGGGCAAATACAGATTTGGACAACATCCTTTCAAAGTTTCAAGTGAGTACCCAAAAGTGTGACTTTGAAGCTGACTAGAAAAAACACATTTGGGGAGCAATCCTTAAAATGCTAAATCTGCTACTGTGTTGACTTTAGATAAACCTACCTGATGGAATTGATCCCAAGAACATAAATGTAATGGTGTGTATCGAAAATGTTTATCCAATAAAGCTAATCAATTATGTCTTTCTTGAATACTTCTAACCAATCCAATATTTTTTGTTTCCGCAGTCAATTACTATCAAGACTTGCACTGGTGAGTGTTTTTTTATACGAAGCCAAGTCTCCCAAATGTTAAGGCTGGCGAGGACATACTATAAGACTATACTGCACAAGGGGTGGACATAACATTTGTTAAGCTTCTTTTTGTTGTTGTTTTGATTTTCTTTGTAGTGTCTTGGTGTCTCTTTGTAGTCATTTTCTTGTGGCACTTTATTTTCTAAAATTATTTTCCCTCTATGTTGTCATATTTTCCGTGTCTTTGTGGTAGTTTGGACCTTGTCAAAGTCTTTTTGTAACACTTTGCAGCTGTTTAGCATGTCTTTGTGCTCATTTTGTAGTTGTTTTGTTGTTGTTTTTGTCCCATTTTGTGTCTCTGGAGTACATTTTGTGTCTCTGGAGTACATTTTGTGTAAATGTGTTCCTGATGGAGCGCGTCCTGCCAGAGGGGAGGGGGGTAAACAGTTTGTGTCCAGGGAGGGTTCGGCCACTATCTTCCCTCAGGGTCCTCGAGGCGTGCAGTGTATGTGTAGTTCAGGGCCTATTTGTTTAACAGTAGCCAAGTAGAAATAATCATTAGGCGCGTTCACACCGCAGTACTTTTCCCACTTTAGTTCCGATATAGTTCCGAAATGTCGCGTTCACACCAAAAAGAGCCGGAACTACTTTTGACCATGTAGTAAATACAATTTTGTCATTCAGTATAAATAAAAAAAACATATTTTTTATAATAATTAATGATATAATAAATAATAACTATACTAATTAGTATAAAATAAATTGAAAATAATAATCACATTAAGTAATATAACATTTGTTGTCCATAATGTGTTCTACTTAGAGGATTTTGAGTTGTGGAAAAAGCATCCTGGGGACATACACTGAAGAAATTGAACAGTGACTTTAATTAAATGTATTATGTCAACAGGTTCCACATAATTGTATTATAATAATCTCACTTTAACATCATGTCACCTTATTTGCGAGGCAAAGGAGATGCCCACTCCACCAGAACCAATTCCCAACTTGAAAGTAGATTAACTTCAATGTATGAAGTGGTGACTCCTTTACTCGTCTCATGTGTCAGTCAGGTAGAGATCAATGGTTGTGTTTTTTCATCCTAGTGGTAAGAGTTAACTTGGAGGGGGAGAAGAAACGGCAGGAAAACCTCCAGAAACACCTGGAGGAAGCCGAGAATGCCCAGGCACAACTGAGTAAGAATGAAAAAGGGAAAAGAGGCAGGCTGATGGTTTAACCTTCAAAGTGCATTTTCCAACATTTCTATATTTTAAAAGTTGCGTTATCTCAACCGTGGATCTTTAAAAATACTTTGTAAAATACAAAAAAATAAGGCCTCATTTGGTATTAAAATCAATCTTACAAAAGACCTAAGCTAAGACAGATTTTATGAATCACTTTTTTTCCTGACATTGCAATTTGAAATATAAAATGTAATTGGTAGAATTGTTATAATATATTTTACCAAATTGCTCTCCCATTATTGTCAAGCAGATCCGGAAGGCGGAGAAACATTAAAACATTTGGTTTCGGAGCATTGAAAAGTTTTTATTCTAACTTGCATTAGGCTGTATAAAACCAGCATAAATGGATCACTCCAAAAGTCAGAGCATAAACGTTAAAGTATTTTCTTTTACTTTGACCAGTCTTGAAAATCATCAGCATGTTGAAAGAAGTGAGAGAACTGGAGACAACATCGACGAGTCAAGCCACCAGTGAGTCAAGCTGAAAAGCAGCCTAAGGAAAGCATAAATATGTGGTATCTAACACTCAAATCTTTAACATTCCACTGTTTTACATCAGCTCTTCAGACTCTGCTTCAAGCCAAAGAAAGGGAGTTTGCCAAAGCTCAGGCTGAAATAAAGGGTGAGTTCATTTATACCTGCTCTGAAAGCATTTACTTGGAGCCTCTCAATAGCCTCTCAAAATAAGTGAGCGCCAATAGGTCACATTCAGCTGCAGCTTAGCCTGTCTTCAGATTTCAGTGTCAACTCCCATTTAATTCAAATAATTTATTCACAAAAAGGTTTCAATATATAGTGCAATCATAAGACATAATGGAGTCATGTGAAATGGGACACCCTGATAAGCTATCCAAAGCTTCACCATAAAGTATTTACAGTATATATATATTGTCAACACATCTATAATTGTAGAGAGTTCATGTAGTAAACAGAAACATAACAAGGTCATACTTAAATCCAAACCCTTACCAAATACCCTTAAAGTAATCTCACACTAACTCAATAATGGTGTGTGAAAATAGTGAAGTACATTTTTACGGAAGAGGATATGTATTAGATCTGACCGAAAGTGAATTTTATTTTCTTCGGATATCTGAGAAAAAAGTCAGAATTCTGAGAAAAATGTCATATTGTTATTTTTTTAATATTGCACAGCACTATTTTTCAAGTAGAGGTTTATAGTTGTTGTCATTATTTTTTAAAACATGCATTACTTTAAAGCTCACCTATTATGCTATATTTGAACAATATATTATAGGGCCATATCTATACAAAACATGTCTCTGAAGTGTTTTGCTCAAAATACCAAACAGATCACCGCCATGCCTCATACCCCTCTATTTGAGCCCTGTTACAGAAGTGCTGATTCTGGGTCTGGCCCTTTAAATGTAACCGAGCTGCTGCTGGTCACCCCCCTTTGGAGCGCCCTCATGCAAGCAGTGAGCTTTGTGAAGAGAAGAGTGTCTACCGGCAGAAAATCAGCTAAACGCTGCCGTGATTAAACGCCATATTATGTTCCAAACCACATCAAGGATTATTTCTGAAACAGTATGGAGCTCAAAACGCTTTCTCTCGCGCGGGTTTGCCGCAAGGAAAGTACTTTTTATTTCCGGCTTCTTTACACATATTCTCTCCAGTACAGCGTTAGCTCTGAGTGTTAGCGATGCTTACTAACGTAAACGCAGACCATATTACTTCCAAAATACGTTGCGCATTGTTTCTGATACAGCAACGTTTCTGATAGGGGACGATAGATTGGGCCCTGGGTGGAACGTTGCCAGGAGTTCAATGTAAAGCCAGCCCACATTTTAGATGACCGCAGCAAATCTGGATCAGCTCTGTTGTACCCCCGTTTTTAGAGATGTGGAAAAGGAGGAAAGTATAACTTGTATTTTCTGCCACTTTGTGATTCTCCTTACATACCGGGGACACATATTTATGTATAAAAGACATCAAAAAGTGCATTTTGCATAATAGGTGACCTTCAATGCATGCATTTATCTACAGTGCAAGTAAGGTCATTAACTGTTTGATCCAATACTGGCCCTACGAGCGTGAACAGAAATAGAGGCCAGTTGGTAGTTGCTGTTCACAGCCAAATTAAAACTCACTGCATGTTTGTCTGTTTCAGTCTAAACGATCATCGAGCTGTAGAGTGAGATTTGGGACCTTCAGAAAGTTCCCAATGAGACCACTGCTGGCCGTGTCGACGGTAAGTCTCATTTAAAATGCCCTTTCAACAATTCATGGGGAAGCTTTATGACAGTGGTGGAGAGTAAGTAAGTGTACCCAAATACAGTACTCAGGGACAATGGTAAGGTGGTCTTTACTTGAGTATTTTCTACGCCGGGCCGGCTAAAATGATTGGTCGTACTTTTTACAGTATTACTGCTTCCACAGAAGACATTTTTTTATGGATTTGTTGTCAAAGCACTTAAGATATTCATTGCTATCGGGATGTTAAGAGCATTCCATGGAATATAACAAAAAGTGTATCTCGAGCCGGTTTCTCAAACTTACCTACCCTACCTTTAAGATGATTTTATTTTAGATTTTTTCTGCATTGGCTGCTTTTACTTTTAGTGTGTTAACTACATTTAGCTGATTATTAAAACTTACTTTTTTTTAAGTAACATTTCTAAAGCAGGAATTTTACTTGTAACAGAGTATTTTTACATTGTGGTAGTAATACTTTTACTAAAGTAAAGGATCTGAATACTTATTCCAGCTTTGATTATCTGACAGACAGGTCAGTAATGAAATACAACTTTTAAAGGCTGATTACTTTCTCCTAGAGTTGCAGTTGATGGCCTTTTGAGTGGAATAGACGACAAAGGCGACGACAACACAAAACTGAGTGAGTTCTAAATGATTTTGAGAAATTTCATATCGTTTTCTAAAGCATATTTTGTAGTAAACTGCCCTCTCTGTTGTGGTGTGCTTCAGTGCTGACCATCATGAGGCTGCAGAGTTGGGTGGAGCAGCTGCAAAGATAACTGTCCAGAGGTCACAAACCTCTCAGAAAACCCGTAAGTATCTTTTTTTGGAACTTTTATTGTCATTACATAGTACAGGTATTAGTAACGAAACGGTTTCTCTGCATTTGACCCATCCTAGTGTTAGGAGCAGTGGGCTGCCATTATGTACGGGGCCCGGGGAACAGTGTAGGGAACGGTGCCTTGCTCAGGGACACCTCGGTAGCACTTGGTCTTGCCGGGACTAGAACTGGTGACCTTCCAGTTGCCAAGCCAAGTCCCTATGGACTTCGCTACCACCGCCCATATCTCTGGGGATTCTTGACAAATCACAAGCATAAACCTTAGATCCGCTGCGTACCGAGGGTGTCTTGAGGTTTGCTCTTCTGCCATCTGGGAGGTGTCATAGGAACTTATTTACCAGAACCAGCAGGCTTAGGAGGAGCTTTCTCCCCTCAGCTGTCCCCTTGTCGAACTGGAGTCCCCAGGAACAGCAGCGGATGTTGGAGCAAATTTTCGTGGTGGCCAAACGTCGTTACTACAACTTCTGTGTCAGTCCGTGACGTCGTTGGGCCCAAATAGACTTTTTCCCATTGACTTACATTGGGAAAGAGATGTCCAAATGTTTAAATCCAAATGATAAAAATGATCATGTGAACATATGTAAAAGAAAACATACTAATACATAATTAATACTAATTTAATCTAAACTAAGGTTGTCTTTGATATTGTTATTAATTTTCCTTCATCCATCCATTTTCAACCTGTCAACCGCTTATCCTGAGTCGGGTTGCGGGGGAGGCAGTTCCAGCAGAGGGCCCCGAACTTCCCTTGCCACATCAACCAGCTATGACTTGGGGATTCCAAGCAGCTAGGTGGCATCTTTAGCAGGCGCCCGTACCACCCACTACTGATGACTTAGGCGCCGTTTACACGAGGAGAAAACTGCTTGTATCTGCATAGTTTCGCGTGCGTATAGCCCTATTATTTACACGAGGCCGATAGAAACTGACCTCACAAACGATAACGGGTCCCAAGGTGGATAGATTTGCAAACGAAACTCTCTGGGGGGTCAACCGAGTCCGTGAAATCACCTCTATACGAATATTTCCTGAAAAAATAGCGATAGCCCCACCTCTCCTGCTCACTGCTGAAGCAACTATCAAAAATAGCTGTGTTAATTAAACGCACAAGGGGTTCTTGAATGAAATAATATTATAAAAGGCAAACCAGAATTGTTAACGCCCAATATACTCCTTAAACAAAATAAACAGAGTCAGATTTCATGCATTGATCCATTATATTGACAAAGGTGCGATCTCACCCGGTGTTTGTAGAGAATATCTCTCTTTCTGAGCGGGTCCTCTCCACGGAGACGTGCTTCTTGGTCGGTCGATGCAATATCCACAGATTCGGTTTCTTTCAGTTAACTTCCCCGTTGCATTTATCCATATGCTGAGGAAATGACTATATCCCGCTGAATACCAGCAATCGCCACACACACTTCCTCCTGTCAGTAGCTACTGCTAGTGCTACTGCTACTGACCATGCTACAGATATTAGTGCAAAAATCTACAGCTCCTCTACCACAACCATCAGCAACAAGTGGACATGGAGAATTACATGAACTACATGTTGCTAAATACACCGCGGGGCTTAAACAGAAGGGTAGCCATGGCAACATTGCAGCGGGGCTGCTCGGGCTGCTCTTCTTCGCGGCTTTTGGTGTATTTTGGCGGAAGTTACAGCGCCACTTACAGTCCCGGCATATGTACTACAGCGTTTCCAGCGGTCTCGTTTGAACAGACACGTTAAATGAAACGAATGCATGTGAACGGAAGACTTTTTTGAATACGCATACTGTGCATAAACGCAAACGGTCCCGTGTGAGCGGGGCCTTACTAGGCAAAGGTAGTCCCGAGTCCCTCCCGGATGATAGATCATCTCACCTAATCCCTAAAGGAGATGCCAGCCACCCCTCGGAGGAAACCCATTTCGGCACCCTGTATTCGCTCTCTTTCGGCCATGACCTATCCTTCATGAGAGTATATGTATATATATATAATCGTCACACATACATGCACACACAGTGAAATGTGATCTCTGTATTTAACCCATCCTCATACTAGGATCAGTGGGCAACTATTGTACAGCGTACGGGGAGCAGTGGGGGGTGTCTGGTGTCTATCTCAAGGGCACCACGGCAGGGCCCAGGAGGTGAACTGGGACCTCTCCAAGTAGCAGTCCAAACTCCATATTTTAGGTCTGTTCGGGGACTTGAACCGGCGACCCTACGGCTCCCAGTCAAAGTCCCTACTGATTGAGACACTGCCGGACTAACTAATGTATATGCCGGATGTAACTAATAAACATGTTTTAACTTCTTTAAATCTGTCTCAGAGCTCACAAAAGATCTTGCATCCAAGCAAGACGAGCTGCAGAAATACATCAACGAGCTTACAGAGAAGGATGAGACGAACGCCAAATTGAGTAAGTAAATAAGGAACAGGGTGTCTACATTCATTACTTAGGAGATGTGCTGAAATATATCACTACATCATACGGTCTTTCTGTTATCCCCAGTTCTGAAAATCACTGATCTACACAACCAACTCAGAAATCTAGAAAAAGAAAGGCACAATGAGAGACAAAACACTTCTGCTGTAGTTACTGGTGAGTATCTTATTTCTCTGTGACCTTATTGAGTATGAGAAGTAGATGAAGCAAACTTTATTTTCCTTAGAGCTGAAAGACGAGCTGAAGGCGAAAGAGGAGAAGATAAGGGGTAAGTTTGGTACTAGCACTAGTAGGTTTCTGAAAAACAGAACATTCAGCTGAAGATGAATGTGTGTTTTTGTTGCTAGCTCTGCAGAACGAATTGAACCGGACGGACTGTTCTACTTATGTGCTCCAACTTAAAGGTGAGGGTAGTCGCTGTTGATCGGATGCCCACCTTCTCTACCAGCCAACATGTTCCCTTCATGGGGGAAATAATCCTTTATTGGTACAGGGAGGGGAAATGTACATTATTACAGCAAAGGGGACAGAACAGAAACACAAATAGTACATATTCAAGGTAGAAAAAGTAGGAGTACTATAAAATGATGGTAAATAAACAGTGATGAATAGCAGTCAGATCACAGTAGTAAACAGTAAAAGTGTACATTGCATGCACATTGTTGTTACAGTGTAAAGTAGTGCAAGAAGTTAGCAGCCTAGTATTGGGGTCTAATCTAATCAATTACCCTAATCTAAATCTCACAATATAAAAGTCATGTGACCGGATTATTTTTCTATTCTGAATGTCAAATGCAAAGCTGATACATTTCACAAATGCCAGATGCCTCAAAATATGTCTTTTATCAATCAAAATATACATATCAACAATAAAAAACATAAAGAGTTTAGAAAAGAGAAACACAAAATAATAGGAAGCTGTGAGTGTGAGGTGTTGTAAAGGGTTATATATAGTCAATCAAATGTTGTGTATTGCTCTGTCTGTAGGATCAACAGTTGTTAAAAACGTCTTCATGTTTGTGTAGATTTGCATAACAACCTTGATGGCAAAATGAAGGAACTGAGTACCAAAGCTGAGTCTGTAAAGGCCCTGACACACCAGGCCGAAATCGGCCGTCTTCGTTAGTCGGACGACGAAGCGTGCCCTGTCGCCCAAACTCAATTTGGTGTGTCCCGAACCGTCGGCCGTGACACGCCTTATTTGGCCTTTCACGGCCGACGCATGGCCGTGCGTCGGACACAGGCAGTCGGACCAAGAAATCACTCTGATTGGCTGATCAGCTAGCGAATCAGTGCATGAGAAGCGAAACGGTTGCTTGAGAATGTCTTCCACAAGCAACACTCCAATGGCTGATAGCTCCAGTACCGCACGAAACATGTTTTCGATGGACGAGAGTGAAAATGGAACGCACACGCTATTTGTTGTTTAGATCACGCAGTCTGTTCTTCTTCTCTACACACTACCGCCGCCTGCTGGTAAGGAGAGTTATTGCCACTCACGCATGCGCAGTTCGTACGTGCTCGGCTGAAGTCTTTGCGGTGTGTTCCAGTGCGACACATGGCCAAGACGCAGGAGAACACGGTGACGCAACAATCGGCGGCGGCGTCGGCGAGTTCTCTGGTGACTGCTTGGTGTGTCAGGGCCTTTACTTCACTCGGTGAGCTGAACAATGAAGCAATTCTTCAAGAAACCTCCCACAATATAGTGGTGTTGTAATCTCCATGTTCATCTTTATAGATAAGGAAAGACTCTTTAAATACCTTTTTTGTTTTAAAAGTCTTAACTGTTTGTTTACGTGGTGCCTTCAGCTCTGCAGGTTTCTACATTAACAGTGCAACTGGACGAGCTAAAGAGACAACTACAAACCACTGAATCTGAAAGCAAGATAAAAAGTCAGTGTGGGTTTCATTGTCACTAGTTTGATATTGCCTGTCCTACATCCTTACGCTACATGAAATCAGTTGTGGAATACAATAAAGTACATTTACTCAAGTACACTACTTAAGTACAATGTTGTAGAACTTGTACTTTGCCTGGGTATTTCAAATTCCCACAGAGGTGGGAAGTAACTAAGTACATTTAATCAAGTACTGTAGTACAATTTTGGGATACTTGTACTTGAGTATTTCCATTTTATGCTCCACTACATTTATTTAATATGGTTAGTTACTTTACAGTTTCTGAATAATTATGTGAAATATAATCAACTCTTGAATCAGACTTTAGTTACACCATGAGTAAATTCACAAGCTACCCTGCAGTATACAAAGTCATTCAAACCTTTACCAGCTTGACAAACACATAAATACATCAATCATTATAATCAAAACATATAAAATATATTATTCTGAAATGGATCAATCTGCATGAGTACTTTTACTTTTGGTACTTTAAATATATTTTGATCCTAATTCTTTTACTTCAGTAACATTTTGAATGCAGGACTTTTACTCGTAACGGAGTATTCCTACATTCTGGTACTTCTACTTTTACTCAAGTACAAGATCTGAGTACTTCTCTGCATTAAATAAGCCAAACCTTCCTAAGTGATATGTATGGATTTTTGATTATATCTATTTTTTTGATTGGCCAAGGTGGAGTTAAAACAAGTTGGTTTTCAGTCTGCTAACAGAAAAAGTGTAGACTTTCCGCTCTCATGATTTTTTTAAATATAATGCTTCCGTTTTTGTATAAATAACGCACCCAAATAGTGGCACAAATTATGGCAACTGGGTGACAGAGAAATATATAAACATTGCCGTGAGGCTTCAGTCCTATTAATGCATGAAAAGGATATATTAAGGTTTAAACATTTTTTTTTTTTGTTGTTCAGAACTTCAAAAAATTATTGATGAGAAAAATACAGAGCTGACGAAAAAAACCGAAGAGTTGAAAACGAGTGCTCAACGACGTGAGTAGGACAGGATACTGAAAGATGGGAGATTATTATATAAAATAATTATTAACCCTTTTACAGTTTTACAGATTATTGCAATACAAACCGAGATTGGGAAATTGTTGTATGTGGCCGCGAATGACACAGATTACAAGAGGATCAGAGGTGAGTGACAAAAACTGAGTACTCTTGAGCCATCACATTTCCTAACCTCCAAATGCTTTGAATAAACAATTAAAACCAAACATCTTCTCACATAAAATAATATGTTTGTACTTCTCCTACCTGCAGAACTTCAAGATCGTTTGAATTATTTGGTTGATGGAATACAACGACAACGAATATACTAAACTGAGTGAGTCATCCTCAAAATAACAGTACAATTCCTATAACTATTGTTCTATTGTAGTCAGTTTTGATGTCGTTTCCCTGATTTCTATTTTAATCTGACCTTTCTCTTGTCAGTGTTTAAAATCTTGACTCAACAAAATGAAATAGCAAGACTGGAGAAGCAAGAAAAGAGTCAGAGAGAAGCAGCATCGGAGAGAATCGGCTGTAAGTTACTGGGATAACTTCCTGATACATTTTGAGACATAAAGAGTGCTAATTTGACTTCTGGAAGATCTACAGACTACTTGAAACTAGGTTGGATATATTATTTGAATTAAACTTGCTTTTTGACTGTTGTGTGCACAGCTTTAGGGTTTTAACAAAACCTAACCAGAATTGCTGTCAGGGTTAGTTTCTAGTGAAGTCCATTGCAAGGGGTGTGGCCAACACAGCTGTAGCCACCTAGGCAATCAACTCTGGTGTGTTTAAAAAGTGTCAGCTCAGCGTCAGCCTCATCAGACGAAGAATCAGGAAGACAAAGACAATGGAGTCTTCCGCTGGAGTCTTCGTGGGAGGACGAGCGGGGGATCTATCCAATAACCACTGAGCTAAGTATCTATATGCTCTGCTTACTCCTACCTCTCCTCATTTAAAACATGTGTATACTTTCCATTCCTGTTCATGTGTCTTCGCGTAGATATTATAGGCCATCTTCGCAACATCGCCGTAATCTCAGTACTCTTATCTATCCCACCCGTTCCACACATACCCAACACCTTGTCACAGGAGGTCTGTGGAATTGCCAGTCAGCAACTCGCAAGACTGAGTTCATCTCTGGATATGCCTCCCTGCAATCCCTCGACTTCCTGGATCTCACTGAAACTTGGATCACACCAGAAAACACCTCCACCCCTGTTGCTCTCTCTGCAGCCTACACATTCATCCACACACCCAGACCCACCGGCAGAGGAGGCGGGACTGGTCTTCTCATCTCGCCCAAATGGCATTTTTCTATATACCCATTATCGCATTCTATCCAACATCCCTGAAAATGGCCCTCCACTTGTACTTCTCGGTGACTTCAATATCCAGACGGAGAAATCATCTGACCTAATATCTCTGCCATCTTCCTTTGCTCTCTCTGTGTCTTCATCCCCATCGACTCACAAAGCGGGCAACCGTCTCGATCTCATATTCACCAGAAATTGCTCTACCTTTAACCTCGAGGTAACCCCGCTGCATATCTCTGATCACTACTTCATATCCTACTCTCTCCCCCTCTCACAAACTGACTGATCGGTCTCCTCGAATGCTAAACCTGTCCGCCGAAACCTTCGCTCCCTCTCTCCTCTCTTGCCTCATCTGTCCTATCAGCCCTCCCATCATCTGACTCTTTCTCATGCATGCCTCCCAACTGTGCCGCAGACACTCTGCTCTCTACTCTCTCCTCCTCTCTCTCCTCTCTCTGTCCTCTTACTTTAAGGCCGGTTCGCCACTCCCGTCTAGCTCCTTGGTTGTCTGACTCAGTGCAGCTGACAGATCCATCCTAAGGGCAGCTGAAAGGAAATGGTTGAAATCAAAACTCCCTGACGACCTTCTTACCTATCAATCTCTTCTATCCTCTTTCTCTTCCTCTATTTCTGCTGCTAAAAGAACTTTCTATCAAACTAAAATTCAATCCTCTATCTTTAACCCCAAAAAACTCTTCTCTGTCTTCTCTACCCTCCTCGATCCCCCCAGTCCCCCACCTCCGTCCTCCCTTCCACCAAATCAAATCAAATCAAATCAGGTTTTATTTATATAGCACATTTAAAAGCGATTTTTGGTTGAGCCAAAGTGCTGTACATGTAATAAAAACACATTACTACAATCACAATAAAAGACAATAAATTACAACAGATATATATAAAAAATAAAATAAAAAACACAAGGAAAAGTCAGGAGTCGTACTCCGCTCTAACTAGAAAGCCAGAGAGAAGAAGTGTGTTTTTAGTGTAGATTTAAAAACCCCTAGGGTCTGGGCCGACCTCACATGGAGGGGCAGAGTGTTCCAGAGCCTAGGGCCAGCTGCTGCGAAGGCTCGGTGCCCTCGGGTTTTAAGCCTGGTCTTGGGCACTACCAGCAGCAGCTGGTCAGCAGACCTTAAAGCTCTGGCTGGGGTGTAGCGCTGGAGGAGTTCAGCTATATAGGCCGGAGCCAGCCCATTTAGTGCTTTAAAAACAAATAAAAGGATTTTAAAATCAATTCTGAACCGAACTGGAAGCCAGTGTAGTGAGGCCAGAATAGGGGTGATGTGGTCACGCTTTTTGTGGCCAGTCAGCAAACGTGCAGCTGCGTTTTGGACTAGCTGCAGGCGTTTAATTGAGGCCTGGTCCATACCCACATACAGAGTGTTGCAATAGTCCAGTCTCGAGGTTACAAAGGCGTGAATAACCCTTTCTAAGTCATTAAAAGATAAATACGACTTGGTTTTGGCCAATAGTCTTATTTTAAAAAAGCAGGATTTGACTACGGTGCTGACCTGCTTGTCGAATTTAAAAGTGCTAGTGAAGGTCACTCCAAGGTTCATGACCGAGGGGAGGATGTTTTTTTTTAGAGAGCCCAGAATATCAACCGGAGAGGCTGGAGGTTGGGGTCCAAAAAAGATGACCTCAGTCTTGCTCTCGTTGAGGTTGAGAAAGTTTTTGCTCAGCCAGGATTTTATCTCTGTTAAGCAGTCCATCAACTGCTGTAGTGAGTGTTTGACATTTGCTTTGAGAGGCAGATAGATCTGTACATCGTCGGCGTAGCAGTGGAAGGGAATATTATGTTTTGTGAGAATTGAACCTAGCGGCAGTATGTACAGTAGAAAAAGGATGGGGCCCAGAATCGAGCCTTGGGGAACCCCACAGGTAAGAGGGGCTTTGGCAGAGGAGAAGGCACCTAGCTGTACCGAGAAGCTACGGTCTGTCAGGTAGGACCTGAACCATGCAAGGGCAGAGCCTGTGATGCCAGCGGACTGTTCAAGCCGTGACAGCAGGATGCTATGGTCCACAGTGTCAAAGGCAGCTGTCAGGTCTAACAGCACCAAGACAGCTGGGCTACCTGAGTCGGCGGCTAGGAACAGATCATTAAAAACTCTTAAAAGGGCTGTTTCAGTGCTGTGCATGGGTTTGAAGCCAGACTGAAACTTTTCATGGATTCCATGGATGGTTAAAAAAGACTGCAGCTGGGCGTAGACTACTCGCTCCAGGGCTTTTGATAAAAAAGGTAGCTGGGAGATGGGCCTAAAATATGCGAGAATGGAGGGATCGAGATTTTTCTTTTTAAGTAGTGGCTTAACCACGGCATGTTTGAAGGCAGCTGGGACACATCCTGAGCTAAGAGAGGTGTTTAAAAGTAATAAAATACTTGCTCCAACTGAATCAAAAACATCACTGAGAAGGCGAGAGGGAATGCTGTCTGAGGTGCAGTTTGTCGGCCGCAGGTGCTTGACTACATCCGAGAGAGAAGAGAGGGATACAGGCTCAAAGTGGTCGAGGACAGCAGGGCACAGAAAAGGAGCAGGATCTGGGGTAGCACTAGTGTGGGCTAGCCTAAGAGCAGATACTTTTTCAATAAAAAATGTAAGAAACTTATCACAGAGAGTAGTCGATGGGACAATAGAAGAAACATCACAGGGATTAATGATAGAGTTGAGGACATTAAAAAGAACCTGAGGTTTATGGCTGTTTTTGGAGATTAACAGAGAAATGTGCTTTGTTTTGGCTGCTTTGACTGCCGTCTGGTAGTCAGAAAGGCAAGCACGAAGGATTTCTAGGGAGACATGGAGTTTATCCTTTTTCCATTTTCTCTCTGCACGCCTGCAAGCGCGTCTGAGAGCACGAGTACAGTCATTGAGCCACGACTCTGATAGAACTTTGGTGCGTCTAAGCGTAAAAGGAGCAACATAATCCAGTATTAGTGTGCATGTCGAGTCAAACATGGAGATAAGCTCATCAGCATTAAAAGCACAGTTCACATCTAATTTACAGATCGGAGAAGCATTAAAAACATCAGAGAACTGTGAGGCAGTCAAGGGGTTAATCGAACGCAGACGACACGCCGGGGCGCGTGATTCGACTCCTGCGGAAGGGATGGAGGTTGTAAACAGAACCGGTAAATGGTCTGAGATACGCGTTGCTGCACATATTTCATCCACAGATACAGACAGTCCAAACGATAATACTAAGTCCAAAGTGTGTCCTTTTTCGTGTGTTGGGCCAGCCACGGACTGAACGAGACCAAAAGAATCAAGGAGATTTAAAAAGTCCCTAACCAGAGGTTTGGACTCGCAACACACATGGACATTGAAGTCTCCGGAGATCAAAACACGATCATATTTCACCATGATCCCGGACAGAAAGTCAGAAAAGTCATTTATGAAATCCTTATTGCACTTTGGCGGACGATACACGACTGCGCAGAGTATAGGCGAGGCCTGGTTCAGTTCAAAAAGCTGCAACTCAAAGCTAGCATAGCTAGTTACAGGGTGAAGCAATCGGCATTGGAGGCTAGCTCTAAACACTGATGCTATGCCCCCACCATGGCCGGTGGCACAGGGGGAGCTGAAGAATGTACAGTCAGGAGGAAGAAGTTCAGAGAACGGTGTATACTCGCCAGCGTGGACCCAGGTCTCCGTCAGGAACATAAAATCCAGTTCACGAGAGGTGAAGAAGTCGTTTAGCAGGAACGTTTTGTTTGCTATCGACCTAGCATTTAGCAAAGCCATGCAAAGTTTTCGCTCCGGGCTTGCCGAAGGTGTAGTGCGTCTCAGCTGACGAAGATGTGCGTGTTGAACGCCGCGCGGGCCGGGAGCAGTCAGTCGGGCAGGAGGAGCTGCCAGCGGGCACAGCAGAGTCCGCAGCTCCGGAAAAACAGGGCGAATCCACCGATCCCTCACATGGCGTGCAGCGGGAGGGCCATGACATCCGAGGCGTGGATAAGTCCCAGAAGAAGCCGTCAGGTATGCCTTAAGATGGACCAGTGCACCACCACGCTTTCCCCGTCGTCGAAAGCGCTTTCGGCGAGGCAGGATGCAGGGCAACCGCCGCAGGTAGGTGGGAATATTCGACAGTAGAGGGGGGGGGGGGCGATTTATGGTTGCCAGATGTAGGTTTGGGCAGCAATATCAACTCCAGTGAGGGTCTGAGGTGGAGGAGAGCTTGGCGATCATAAACGAGCAGAGCAGAGACATTCTGACAAGCCGACACAGGCACCATCTTGAATCACGTCACCAAGTCACTTTGTTTCCTGTTTTGTTAAAAGAGAGATGACATACGTGCCACATTTCCCAACTTGTCATCGGATACCACCAGTTCATCGTCCACGTCTTTTCCCCATACTCTAACTTCTTTCTCCCCCCTCTCTCCTAATGAAGTTCTCGCCCTTGTTACCTCGGCCCGTCCAACCACTTGTCCTCTGGACCCCATCCCGTCTCACCTTCTCCAATCTATTGCTCCTGGCCTTCTTCCTTTTCTCACCCATTTTATCGACTCTTCCCTAACAACCGGTTGCTTCCCAGACACTCTAAAAGAGGCAAGGGTGAACCCGCTTATAAAGAAAGCAACACTCGACCCGTCTGAAGTGAACAACTATAGACCTGTCTCTCTTCTGCCAATTCTTTCCAAAACACTTGAGCGTGCTGTCTTTAACCAACTTTCTTCCTAACTTCATCAGCACAACCTTCTTGACCCGCGCCAGTCTGGTTTTAAGGCAGGACACACAAAACTGAGACTGCCCTCCTCGCTGTCAATGAGGAACTTCACGCGGCTAAGGCAGCCTCCCTCTACTCGGTCGTTGTTCTTCTGGACCTCTCTGCTGCGTTCGACACAGTGAACCACAGGATCCTCCTTTCCACCCTCGAAGAATTGGGCGTCTCAGGCTCTGCACTCTCCCTCCTCACTTCCTACCTTACTGATTGCACCTACAGGGTAACGTGGAGAGGATCTGTGTCAGAACCCTGTAGAATCACCATGGGGGTCCCTCAGGGGTCCGTCCTGGGTCCCCTCCTTTTTTCTCTGTACACCAATTCACTTGGTTCTGTCACTCACTTTCGCTTCTCCTACCACAGCTATGCAGACGACACTCAACTGATCCTGTCCTTTCCCCCGTCTGAAACCGGGGTGGACGCACAAATCTCAGCTTGTCTGGCCGACATCTCTCAGTGGATGTCTGCACATCACTTGAAACTCAACCTCGACAAAACAGAAATGCTCTTCCTTCCTGGAAAGGGCTCTCAAGTCCATGATCTTACTATCAACATTGACAACTCAGTTGTTACCCCGACCCGGACTGCAAGGAACCTGGGTGTGATACTGGACGACCAATTGTCCTCTGCTGCCAACATCGCTGCGACAACCTGTTCCTGCAGATACACACTTTACAACATCCGGAGGATACGCCCCCTACTGACCCAGAAGGCAACGCAGATTCTGGTCCAGGCTCTTGTCATCTCACGCCTGGACTACTGCAACTCCTTCCTGGCTGAACTACCTTCATGTGCCATCCGAACTCTACAGCTCATCCAGAACGCAGCAGCTCGACTGGTCTTCAACCTGCCAACATTTTCCCACACTCCACCGCTCCTCCGCTCTCTTCACTGGTTACCAGTGGCTGCCCGAATCCGCTTCAAAACACTGGTACTGGCCTACTGTGCCGTGAATGGATCAGGCCCGTCCTACATACAGGACCTGGTCAAACCATACACCCCAACCCGCTCACTTCGCTCTGCATCGACCAACCGGCTCGCTACTCCATCACTGCGTGGAAGACCCGGCTACACCTCAACAAAAACACGACTCTTTGCTGTTCTGACTCCTAAATGGTGGAATGACCTCCCCATCGACATCCGGTCAGCAGAAAGTCTATACATCTTCCGTCACAGACTGAAAACACACCTTTTTCGACTGCACCTCGGCCAATGAAATCTCTATACATATTGTAATAATGTACTAGCACTTCGAATTGTTTGGCTTAGTTGAAGCTAATGTACTAGCACTTCGAATGGTTTGGCATAGTTCAAACTAATGTACCTACATGATTCTTGATACTCTGTACCCTCCTGGTTGAATGCACTTATTGTAAGTCACTTTGGATAAAAGCGTCTGCCAAATGAAATGTAAAAAAATAATAAAGCATCCATTTGGTTTTTCCTTGGAAGATCTGGAGAATCAACTGGAGGGCATCAGAAACCTGATTGCAGAGATGAAACTGGTGCTGGACTCAAGTGATAAGAGGATAGCTAATTTAAGTATGTGTCCAGTTTCGGTCAGAGTTACAGAATTATCAAACAGCATCAGAGTTCTACAAGTATTTTTGTTTTTAGCGGCTCATATTTTAGAACTTCACAAGAATATCAAACCACTGGAAGACGAGATATCAGAGCTTAAAGTTACAAGCTCTGAAAACACCAGAGATAAATAATCAGTTACATGGTAATGTGCCACAAAGTAGTACATACAAAGATGTTGTATTTGATCGTCCTCTAAATACTTTTTCAGAGCTGCACAAGAGACTGGATCTGACAAGGAGGCAACTGCAAGACAGTGAACTTCGACTCCAGGAGGCAGATACGAAGAACTTAGAAATGGGTGTGAATATTTCTTATTTGCTCATTTTCTTGTTGTTTTTTTCCCCTTTATGTACAAAATAACACTGTAGCTGTGTCTCTGCTAGTAATGGAGATCGCTGATCTGAGGACACAACTGAAGAAAGCTCAGAAGAAGGCAGTTGCTGAAAGCAATGCAATGGGTTGGTCCATCTGTTATTCTGCTGCTATTGTGTCACACATTATTTCTTACTGTGCATGCTATAAGTAATATTCAAACTACCATATAATGGTCGTCGCCATCAGCAATCATACTCTGATTTGAACCAAATCAGTTTGGTTTTTCATGCAGTTGTGGTTGTTTTGGTCTTCTTTCTTAGAATTGGAACAAAAACTACAAACACAACAAAGAGAGAACAGAAAACTTGAAAACGCAAATAAAGGTATGTTTTTTAAATTGCAATGTCTTTGTATTTGTTTTTTTCAGAGAGTTAAATGAGAAGAATGTTTTCCCTCTAATGTGTGTGAGCTTCGTCAGTTAGCTTAGCATAAAGAATGAATACAAGGTTATGTGCAAGACTATTTCAGTCAGACAACTCACGTGTTTCTTTAACATGTTTATTAGAAGCAGCATATAGTTGAGTTTGGCGTCTAGGCTCGGGCCTCATCACTCCACAGATATACATAGCACGATGAGTGATGATTAAATAATTAACCCCCCGAGCCTACAGGTGGAAGCTGGGGTGGAAGCTGGGGTGGTGGTGGGGCAGGCAAGCAGCAGCGACGTGGAAGTAGCTGCAGCAATAGCAGCAGCAAGCAATGCATGGAGAGATTTCTGGCAGGTTAAATAGAGCGGCATATTAAGGAGACTCTGTTTGGTTGGTTGTAGAGTGGCAAGGGGCGTTATGTATGAATGCAGTATCATGGCCTGGCTCTTGGCCATAACAAAAAGCGTGGGAAGGACAAGAATATATAGGAAAATATATTTATTAACAAAAACTTAACGTAAACCAAAACTAACACAAACGCAAAGCAAAAAGACTAAGCGACGTGGCTGCTCTCCGAAATCAGGTCCTCTGCGGGGAGAGAGATCGAGACTCTGGCTCAGGCCTCTTAATCCTCCGGTGCCAGCCGTCAGGTGTCCTCAATCAGTGTGGGCACAAGCAGAGGAAGAACATTAAAGGGACACCCACACACAACAGGAGATAGCAAGGCAGGGGTCGTCAACAGCAGCATAAGTGCTTGAGTTGACTGCCTGAACTAGCTCGCAGGCTTCGCCCCATTTCTTGGTGGGGTGCAGGCAGCAACCTCCGAGGCCGATAAATTAAGCCAGCGTGGAACTGCCAAAAACTGCAATTCCTTAAATGGCAATTCCTAAAGTGAGTTAATCCTCCAAAGAGCACCATTTTAAAATGCCAGACTTGACACAAAAAATAAAAATGTTTAAAGCTCATTTTCCAATTCCTGACAACTGCTTTTTGTCTTTACTATGCTAAGGCAATCAACTTCTTAATTTAGCTGCATATTTACCATGCAGAAATTATAGTGGATTAAATTAATGATCTGTCTTTAGGCGTGAAAGTGAGAAAACATTCCTTTAATCTAGGAATCTAGTGGCATCTAGAGGTGAGGTAGCAGATTGCAACCAAGTAAACACCCCTCCCCTCAACCTTCCCTTTACAAGCGCATCAGATAGCTTTTGTGGCCTTCAAGTAACGTAAAATAAGCTAGCGGCCTTCTCCAGAGCTTTCGGGGCTACTGAAAAATCATGGCGTTGCAAAATTGCCCACAACGTGAAGATATGAAGTGCTCATTCTTAGCCAACAAACACAAAAAGATTCACGCTTTCAGGTGATTATAAAGTAAAGAAAACATAGATATATATATATGTTACATTAATGGGGCGAAGCCTGCGAGCTAGTTCAGGCAGTCAACTCAAGCACCAATGATACATTAACACGTGACGCACCTCGTCCGTCTTACAACCAACCAAACACATTCTCCTAAACATGCCGCTCTATTTAAGCTGCCAGGTCTTCCTGCCTCTGCCTCGCTATGCTGCTGCTGCTGCCACTGCTGTGTTCACTTGCTATTGCTGCGTTCATGTTCCTGCTGCTGTGTTTCATGTTGCTACTGCTCGCCTGCCCCATAGATATATATAAACACTAGATGACTCACCCGCGCTGCTGGCCAATGGAGACCGACGTTGCCACATGGCGGCCATCTTGCCACAGGCAGCTCGCTCATTCATAACATTATGTATATGGTGCACTATTGAAATAACCGTAGATTGCTCAATTTTCAACCAATTTTCCAACGGTTTAGTTTGTTATAAACATCAAAGATGTAGTTATGATACTGCATACTTATAATTATAATCATGAACTTTTTTTTTTCAACATGTCTTTTTGTCTCCTGTATCATAGCCATGCTAATAACGTTTATAATAAACCAAACCGTTTGTAAATCAGTCAAGATTTCAGCGAGTTAAGAGTATTTTTGTGCAGATCACTCACCTTATAACAGCTGTAGCAGTAGTTGTTGACTGTGGCAAGATGGCCGCCGGTGAGCTACGCTGGCGACTCCCCCTTGAGCCATCTAGTGTTTATATATATCTATGGCCTGCACCACCACCACCCCAGCTTCCACCCCAGCTTCTACCTGCCTGTAGGCTCGGGGGATAGTTATCTAATCATCACTCAATGTTCTTTTTAAATCTGTGGAGTGATGAGGCCCGAGCCTAGACGCCAAACTCAAACTATATGCTGCTTCTAATAAACATATTAAAGGTGGGGTATGTAATTTATTTCAGAAACACTTTTTGTTATATTCCATGGAATGCTCTTAACATCCCGATAGCAATGAATATATTAAATACTTTGACAATAAATACATTAAAAAATTCATCTGTGGAAGCCGTAGCGCTGTAAAAAGCACGACCAATCATTTTAGCCGGCCCGGCTAAAATAACTGGATGGCCAACCTGCCTGTCAGCCTTCCATCTGTGCACAAACTTATCATTGGTCATGTGCGCGTTCGTGGGTGTTGGAGGAGGGGCTCTGTAAGGAAGTGGCAGATTTTTTCCGGCTGTGTATTTTCAAATTCTAGCGCACTCGAGCTGGTTTCTCCAAAATTACATACCCCACCTTTAAGAAACACGTGAGTTGTCTGACTGAACTGCTAATTGATCTCCCAAAAATCCTACACTGTAGTGCTTTAAAGGTCACCTGTTATGCAAAATCCACTTTTTCATGTCTTTTATACATAAACATGTGTCCCCTCTGTGTAAAGAGATTCTGAAAGTTTCAAGAAAAAAGATTTGCTCACTTTTTTGTCCTGATCCATTTATATAGAAACCTGTCCGAAAATGAGCTGATCAGATTTTGGCCACTTTATGATGTCATAACGATTTTTTGGCTTGTGTAACCATTAGCCAATAACCAACCAAGGTAACACCCCCCCCACCTTATCACCTGAATCTCCTCATAGAGCACCATTGTGTTATTTTTAACCAAATATCTCTCAGAGGGGCTTGGGGAGTGGCTCCTTATTTTCATCTAAAGTAAAAGACAGAGAATCAGCACTTTTGAAACAGGGCTGAAACAGAGGGGATTATGGGATGCTGCAATGATCTGTTTGGTGTTTGGAGCCAAACACTTCAGAGACATGTTTTGTATATATCTGAGACCCAGTGGCGGTTCTACGGGGTGGCACGGGGTGGCAGCTGCCACCTCAGAAAAATGCCTTGCCACCCTAGTTGCCACCCTACATGTTGGCAATTAATTTATTAATAATATTTTATTAAATTTTGATTATAAATGTTGGTGACATTTCTCCATAGTTCGTGTAAAACGTTTTACTCAACAGTTTAGAATTAACTCCCCCCCTTTGTTTTGAAAGAAAAGTTGTGGCTCATCGGACATTTATGAGAGAAAATCTCTAATGTCCGAGTGCAAGTGAATGCAGCACAAGACGCGAGTCTTGTACCCTCCTGGCACGAGCGTGGATATATGATTTGCGGCGATTTCATTTGAACGGGACGGCGCAAAACGAGAAGCATTCGGACCCAAGTAGAAGGAAGGAATGAGGTATTTGCAGTCTACAATGACAGAGAAGAGACTGCCAAGTTTGGCTGTACTCAGCATTGAATACAAACGCACTAAAGCTTTAGATCTTAATACGTTTGTGAGGCGTTTTGCTGAACAGAATGGTAATCGCCGCATTCAGCTGTTATAGGCATGCCAACTTGATGCTCTGCTCACGGATGAGCATAAACAACTGTTAAGATGATGACCTTGTATGTTTCTTTGTGGGGGTCTGCCCCCAAAAAACAGTTTTAAGTCCTGAGAAAGTCAAATAAGACGGTGTGTAAAACTACACTGCCCAGCCAAAAAAAAGTATCCACTTTTATTTAACTAGGCCAGTAGGTAAGGGGCGGGCATTCCACTGGATAATAACTGCAGCGATGTATATGTTTTAGCTGAATACACGTTTTTTTAACCCTAACTGATGCAGTTAGTCACTTCTTTAATGTTTGTTCTTTCTGATGTAAAGTCAAGGTTGTAACTGTTTGCAATAAAGTCGTGGGGCGCTGAACTGTTCCTTTGAATCTTTTGAATTTTGATATATGATAGTAATTACTTCAAATTTGAAGGAGGGTGAGCAAGCATCTTGAGGAACATTCATCATTAACTGCTCCAAAAAATATAGTTTATTCAACAATAAATTAATATGTGAATCATAACAGTGATTGACAGCTGATAGGAATAATATGATTGTTAATATTATCATATTCATACAGACAAACATCGATGAGACAGTTAATTCATGTACTTATTGCAGCAGTCTGCATAGATGGTACCCCTGCTGGTCTAAGAGTGAAACAAACTCATTCAGTTAAAATTCATTAAATTATGTCTGCCACCTTATATATTTCTATTTAAGGCTTTACTGATGTGCCACAATAATTTCACCTAATGTTATTGAGTTAAAATATTAATATTGTGGCTTTCCAAGTTAACATTGATTGATATGACTGCAATTAAATCAGCATATACTTCTGCCAGGGGATGCCACCCCTCAAAATCTCCTGCCACCCTCTTGCCACCCCATGAATATTTGTCTAGATCTGCCCCTGCTGAGACCTATAATATATTTATGAAAAACAGTGTAATAGGGGACCTTTAAAATGTAACCTTGACACTTGGTGTTTAAAAGATTGAGTGTTTCAAACTCCTTCCTCTATCAGACTTAAAGCAAGACGTCCAAGAACTGAAAACGAGCTGCAGTAATGATGTCAACCTCCAGTGTGACGGTGAGATCCTCAGTATGACTTCATTTTTTTATTATGCTAGTGTTCAAGTGTTTTGAAGTAGCTTTTGTAACCGAATATTTAATCAAACAGATTTACAAAGGCAACTGCAACAGAGCCAGGAGGACGCAGATCGTCTGCAGCGGCAGTTGCATGAAAAGGACGCCAACCATAAAACGCTGCAGCAGGAGTTAGAAGAAATGAGGAGGGAGAAAAACAAGCTGCAGGGCGCCTACCACAGTGTGTTCAACCGTCTGGAATTAAGTGGATTCATTCAGTGAAATAGAGATAATTACATATTGCTCTTTTGATTATTGATATCATGTTGCTGTCTTTTTTTGTCTCAATGCTAGATCTGCAAAATGAGAAGAACAATCTTGAAGATATTGTACAAGGTAACTATTAGTTATTTTCCACAGTGCAGAGAATACACTGTCAATCAATACCCCTTCTTGGAAAAAAAACGTGCTGTTCTTCTCCTCAGATCTTCAAAACAAACTGAGTGATGTGGATGATAAGACGATCTATGCCAGTGAGTCACACACAAGACTTTATTTAATTTCTTTGAAGCTGTCAGCCTGAGGATTATTTGGACATTTTTATCTAAAACAATATCACTGGTGTACTTTCAATTCATGTTAAGTTACATATGATAGACTACATTTTTTTCTTCCGTTTTACAGCGAAGTCGACCTTGGATCCAAACACAGCCAACCCGCGAATATTGCTGTCGGCAGATAACGCAGAGATGTCCACTACTGAGCAAATACAAAATGTCCCTGACCACCCGGGCAGATTTAATATCGCTCTCGCTGTCCTGGGCATGGTCGGCTTCTCTTCTGGCAGACATTACTGGGAGGTGTCTGTAGCCGGAAAGCTTTGTTACCACCTCGGTATGGCCAGTGAATCTGCCCAAAGAAGAGGAACGATAATTTTCAGTCCGACAAAAGGTTTCTGGACTGTAATCCTCGACAAACAGGGTCAGTTTAAAGCTGTTGAAAGAAGACATGCTATTATTCCAGTTGAGACGCAACCTCTTAGATTGGGGATTCTGCTGGACTATAAAAAGGGCCAGATCTCGTTTTACGACGCTGGCGCCAGATCTCACTTGTACTCCTTTGTGCAGCAAAGCTTTACAGACAAAATCTATCCATTTTTGTGTTGAGGATGTTGAAGGTCAGACACCTATAGTGATAAGCTCTCCTGGATCAGTAGACTGGATCAAATAGAGAACAGGGCAAGGTTTGTTTGTCCATTGTTTCGAATCTCAGCTATGTATTTCAGTATGTTGTAAAAATATCCCTGCACCTTCAGACATTCTTACTGCTGCAGAATGTTTCAGACAATAAAACACTGAATACACAGTAATGCATTTTGTTTATTGTTTCTATATTCAAAAAGCATGTGTGCCCTTGTCCATGAAATTCAAGGTCTTTCAATCAGCAGGCCCTGTACAAAGATAGTAAGCTTGTAAGCGTAACTATGTTTCAACCAAGTGAACACCATAGAGTAGTGCAGGAAAGAGTCTCATTAGCAATAAACGTTATCATGCCGAACAACGAAGCTTAGCGATGGTTACGTGAAGTCCTCTGACAGTGATGTGGTTTGTTTATAGCCCTAACGATAACTTTTTGCTTCTGGCGATTGCAATTACGCTTCAAAAATCATAAAAGTGGTGTTAATATGTGGAGATCATCCTGCTGAACATGTGTAAGTATCATAAACGTGTTGGCCAAAGATTACATTTGTTTAGCAATATTCAAAATCCAGTGGAAAAATCCCATTGCTTATTTTAGAGTGAGCCCTTGCAATGCTAACTTCCGGGTCAGCCTATAAAAATACATCGTCACTGCACCACTCTATTGGGTCCCTAAATGGCAGAGCTCTACTCATTATACAGGCTTGAAGCAAAAAAAGTTTTGAACTTGATTTATAAAAAGAAAAAAGTGGTGTAACGTTGGATGTAGCCCAAACTGATGAAGGAAACTAAATAATAACAGCTTAAATTGAAAGAAAGCTTCTGTGTTTACAATGAAATGGTTTGCCTTCAACGTTATATCCGTTCACAGTAACAAAAACATTTCTTGTAAGAAAACTATCCTAACCTAACACACGTTCCCCAAACATTTTGTTAGCTTTCCCATCACATTGGTCAATCTCTTCCTGCTGTACCGGCTACACTCCTGTAAAAGTGGGCAACAAAAACTGGGTCCCGCTCTTCCAGAATGTGCAGGAAATGATTCCTTTCCTCTTCTCCCCAAGACTCGAACCACTGGGACCACAGGCGCAGCTGGCACTCAAAGATGTTTGGTAGTCTGTCCATAACCTTGTAGGTGAATAAAAGAAAAATAATCTGCTGTTATATGTGAATCAGAATCAGGGTTATTGTTAAGTAAGATTACATATACAAGGAATTTGCTTTGGTCTATGATCATGCATACCAAACACAAAGTTAGAGGAATTCAGTTGGGAAAAAATGATCAAATAATACACTATTTAAAAAAAAAAAAATGCTTACAAGAATTGCAAGAGTACAAAAAAATTATAATGCGACAAAATAGCTGAACAGTTTAAAAGAGGTAGCAGTATGAGAGATGGCTCCCAAGATGGATATGTTCGAAACAGCGGTGGAACATAACAAAGAACATGTACTCAGGTATTTTATTTAAGTACTATTTTGACATATTTGTACTTTTCTTTAATATTTAAATGTATTCTACACATACTTCAACTCATTTTTTTTTACATTTCACTCCAAGAAATGTAACTCTAAAGCTACTAGCTACCTCGTAAAGAACATATGCTTATGATAGAGTTAAAACTATATGACATGTATTTGTTAGTGATAAAACAGAATAATAATATTCTATAAAACTGTAAAAAGAGCAGTTCTGCATACTGAGTACTTTAACTTGTGATAGTTGGAGTTCATTTTGCTAATACGACACTTGTACTTCTACTTACAGCACCTATCTATTCAGGAGTGTAATTGAGTAGTTTAAGAACATAGTATTCACATAACATCACACACTGTTAAGAGGTGACAGTGCAGACCTGAAGAGTGCTGAGTGAATCTAGGAGGGTGCACACTTTCCCGGGTACAGCTTTCCCCAGGAGGTCCTGCATGAAGCGCTCCCTCTGAGGAGGGGTCCAGCCCTGGAACCAGCTCAGGACACACCGCTGCTCCTGGAGGCTCACATAGGAGATGGGCTCCAGCTCTCTCATCCTACCTGCGCTGTGAGAGGCGCAGAGCAGGTTCTCAAGGCTGAGAGGGCTGACTACTCCCCGTGGAGCTGATGGAAAGTCCTCCGGGCTGGGAGTGGAAAAGCCGGTCCAGTGTTGTGCTGCCATGGTCGGTGACCCCTCTTTCTGCCTTGAGTGAAGGGTGCTGCACAACATGTCTGTGGCTGAGAGTCTGTCAGTGGGCTGCTGTTGCTGATTTGAGCATTGACTGACGTGATTGAACCACGACATCTCTGGAAAGAGAGTTTATTTCCGTCTGAGAAAAAAACCCCTCTGTTTTGAGTTGACCAGCTATACCCCTAGAGAGACTACCCTGGTCTTGGCAACGTTAACATGTAGCTTAGCTTATATTTTTAAGCCGTTCGAGTCTGAATTTAGACCTTTCCCAGCAATTGCCCTTGACATAAATGGTTGCGAGTATCCATCTGTTTCCAAACTCAACTTACTGTCGTCATATTTGAGGTTTGGCGACGATAAACGAGTCGCACTTATCTTTCTGACGAATGCACACAGGAAGAGTGCAGTTAGCTCATTAGCATCGGTGTGCAGGAAATCAAGCTTGCGCAGGTTTTGCGCAAAGTTTGTTGTTAACGAAATACAAATTAAACCTATAGATTTGTGTTTGATTTATAAAATACATTCAACATGAGTGGACATTAACTATGCATGTTTTGTGCTTTAACTATCAAGAAATCTTTTATTTATTTATTTGATATTTGATTAGGGGGAAGTTGTCGCTGGTGACGCTGGGTGGAGGAAGGCGTTGCTCGTCGTTGCTCTCGCTGACTAGAGGAACGGAAAATGGCGGACCTCGAAGACGTTACGCTGGACGGTAGACCGCTCCAGTCCCTTCGAGTTGCGGATTTAAAAGCTGCTCTTGAGGAGAGGGGACTCTCTAAAAGCGGGCAGAAGAATGCACTCATTAAAAGACTCAAAGGGGTAAGTTCTGCGGTGAAAAACGAGAGCACGGCTGCTACGAGCTAACGTTAACGATGAGACGGGCTGATGTTCTCTCGAGGGCCGACGGCTGAGTATCGCTACTGCCGAGCAGCGCAGGAGAGTTACCGCGGTTAACGACCAGCAAACTGAGAAACGCTTCTATATGCACTTTGCTGTGGCTGAGAAGTTGTTTCGATGCATATAATTACACCAACCGTAGCAAGACCTGGAGTTTAAGCAACTTGGGGGCTAATTTCAAAGTGTTTGTCGGGTTAATGTTGTCCTGTTAGCTCGTTGGCTCCTTTGGCTAACGCTGTGATTGAGCGGTGGCCTGGTTAGCTATATTACCGTTTACAGAATCGGTCCCATGCAATGTTGCTGTACATTAGTTTAACCGGGAGGTTGAAGTTACACAAGTGTTTTATTAGTGAACAATGGGCTAACTATTAATGTAAATTGGCGTTATTTGCAATGTTTTAAATTCGACAAGTGTAGCTGTTTTCCGCCAAAATGTGCATTAGTTTTGCTCTCAAATGAATCTCAGATCCATGAGCTGCAAAGGCCCTGGATGAGCGCGTTTGTTTACATTTACATTGCGCCATTAAAGTAGGGAATTCATTCCCTTTTAAGCGGGGGATCCGGGTAATTACCATATATGCGCTGAATTGCGCCATGGAAGCAGCAATTGTGTATACATAAGACCTACCAGCACTAGAAGCATCCACTGACCTCAAATTGATGTACGTTATTATTATTATTTGTATTAGGTGTCACGTGTGTTGTATGTGTTACTGCTTATCACTGCTCAAGATGTTGGAGATTATAACATTACACTTCACAAGAGCATGCTTTTTGCTTTCCCTCATAGACTGAGTCTCCAATGCCTTGTTTCATTTAACCTTATGTCTTTTATGTTTCTTGTTGGCTTCAGACCAGGAAACTCACTTAAATGTTAATCTCTTCTCTCTATGCCATGTATCAAGAGTTTCATTCACCACATTTTAAATAATTTAGAGAGTGGCTTAAAAAAAAGTTGGTCCCATCTATGATGATAGCATTCTGAAAAGAATGACACATAAAAGTTTGCAAATATTGGCATTTATAAGGAAAACGAGTAATTCATAAAGTAGACAATAGCTATGTGGTCAAAAATATTCCACACCTGTATAATTTATGTATATTTAATGTTCAAAGGCACTAGTGTCAACTGTAATAACCCTGGGAAATAACTGATATTTATTTACACCTAATAAAATGTCTTGCATCTCATTAACAGGCCCTCATGCTGGAGAATCTGCAGAGGACCTCAACCAATCACATCGGACTGCAGCCAAACTCACAGGTAAGTGTCTTAAAGATGCTTTAATCTTTGTGTCAACAACTTAAGCCAGTTCACATACAATCGCCACTTAAATGTATATGACAAATTCCGCCAATACAATACTTGTAAATGTCTTAACTTGATAGTGGCCTTGAAGTCTTCTACCCATCATCATTTTTAATGTTCTCTGTAGATTGGAGAAGAAATGAGCCAGAACAGCTTCATCAAGCAGTATCTGGCTAAACAACAGGAGCTCCTGAGGCAGCGGCTCGAGAGAGAGGCCCGTGAAGCATATGACACTAATGGTAAGTGTTGTACGAATCCACCATTGCAACCCAGTTTGGTACTGAAACTGTTTACATCTAGGGTGCATACGGTTTTTGCGTAATTATAGGTTTTTGTCTTTTGTCAACAGATCAAGAGGACCACACAGAAGTTAATAACAGTACACCATGCCCTCCTCCAGCCCAGGTCAGTCATCACTTTCTTTTCTTACCTGTGGATTCAGGTCACATTCTCTTAATCTTTTTGTTTGAAGTTTCAAATATTTGGCACATTTGAAAGGTACTTGCTGGTATGAATTGCAATGCCAAAATAGGTGTCAGGAAGCGTAATGGTTGTCTACCAATTGGAAGGTTGATGGTTAAATCCCCAGCCCCTGCAATCCACATGTTGATGTGTCCTTGGGCAAGATACTTAACCCCCAAATTGCCCAGATGAATGGCTTAATGTTGAGATGTTTATGTAAAGCGGTTTGAGCGTTCAGAAAGACTGGAAAAGTTATATATTAATGCAGTCCATATACTATCCATTTAACCCCTTTCTCTCCTCACCAGGAAGCCCCGCCACCATTGGCTGAGCAGCACAAGCCACCCGGCCCCTCCGGTGGAGAGGGATTGTTTGGGGCAGCGAACGAGGCAGAGGGTAACAGAAACCAGGAAGCCCACATGTCCGGTCCTCCTGCGTCTGGCTCTGTGGCCATGCGCGTTCCTGTCGCAGAGCACCGACCAGAAAGGGGGTCCGCCTCCAACCAAGTCGCAGCTGACAGCAACGATGACGACAGTGATGACGGAGACGAGGATGGCGACAACGACGATTGGGAAGGAGGCGCTCGCAGGAGAAGCAACAGAGAGCCGGCCAGAGCTCCTGCGTCCAGAGAGAGGTCCGGAGCCCCCTGTCAACCCCCTCCGCAACACATGCCTTCCCTTCTATCCCCTCAACTCCGCCAGCCAACACCTCCTCCCTCCCCACCTCCAGAGTTATCATTCCCCTTGCCGGACACCCCTAAACAGAGCCCCCCAAGTCCAGATGTAGCTGCAGCTGGGCGTTCGTCCAGTACTTCCAGCTCCGGCTCCTCCAGCAGCGACAGCCGCAGCAGCAGCCCGGAGCCGCAGAGGAGTGCCGAGCGCAAGCCCGGCCCGCTGACCCTTCTGGCCCGCAAAATGGAGTCAGAAGGTGCTTTCTCTGGAGCGGGTTGGCACCGCGCCGCCGGTGTTGAAGGCGACGGCAGAGGGCCTTTAGAGGGTCTGGTTTCTGCCATAACCCACACAGCCAATGCGGCAGGGCACATGTCCTTTTCCACGATTCCAGGCATCCCAGGAGCATATCCGGCCCATATTCAAGCACCCGTGAGTGTGCTCAAGGCCACCGCAACAGAAGAGAGGGACAGAGAGAGGGACTCTCAGTTGGAAAGAGAAAAGGCCCTTGAGCTGGAAAGGCAAGAGAAACAGAGAAAAGAGTGGGCCATGGAGGAAGAGCGGGAAAGGGCCTTTGCACTGGCTTTAGAAAGAGAGGAACGAGAAAAGGCTTTGCAGCGCGAGAGAGAGCTTGCTCTAGAGCGAGAGAGACAGGTGAGGGAACTCGCTTTGGCTAAAGAGAGGGAAGAACGAGAGCGAGCCTTCGCACAAGAGCTGGAGAGACAGAGGTCCCTGGAGCAGGAGCGTCTGCAGAGAGAAAGGAAAGAGAGGGAGAAGCGAGAGAGGGAAGAAATGGAGAGGGCCATAGAGCAGGAAAGAGCCAGGGCTTTGGAGCAGGAAAGGAAAGAGAGAGAAAGGGCTCTGGAGCAAGAGAGGCTACAGAGGGAACGAGCTCTGGAGGCTGAGAGGATCGAGAGAGAAATGGCTTTGGAGCAGGAGAGGCTGGAAAGGGAAAGGTTTGAGAGGGAGAAAGCCATCGAGCAAAAAAGACTAGAAATGGAGAGAGCTCTGGAGCAGGAGAGACTCGAGAGGGAGAAAGCCATAGAGAAGGAGAGAAGAGAAAGAGCTATAGAGCAGGAAAGGTTGGAGCGGGAGAGAGCCCAAGAGCAACAGAGGTTAGCGCTCGAGAGAAAGGAAAAGGAGAGAATCGAGAGAGAGAAAGTGTTGGAGCAAGAAAGGAAAGAGAGGGAAAGGGCATTGGAACAGGAGGAGAAGGAGAGATTTGAAGCTCTGGAACGGGAGAGGAAGGAGAAGGAGAGATTTGATGCTCTGGAACGGGAGAGGAAGGAGAGATTTGAAGCTCTGGAACGGGAGAGGAAGGAGAAGGAGAGATTTGATGCTCTGGAACGGGAGAGAAAGGAGAAGGAGAGATTTGAAGCTCTGGAACGGGAGAAGGAGAGATTTGAAGCTCTGGAACGGGAGAGGAAGGAGAAGGAGAGATTTGAAGCTCTGGAACGGGAGAGGAAGGAGAAGGAGAGATTTGAAGCTCTGGAACGGGAGAAGAAGGAGAAGGAGAGATTTGAAGCTCTGGAACGGGAGAGGAAGGAGAAGGAGAGATTTGAAGCTCTGGAACGGGAGAGGAAGGAGAAGGAAAGAGCCGAAAAAGAAAGGCTGGACAGGGAGAAGGCTCTAGAGCAGGAGAGATTCGAGAAGGAGAGGCTTGAGAGGGAGAAAGCTCTTGAGCAGGAGAAACTCGAGAGGAAGGAGAAGGAGAGGGCTCTGGAACACGAGAAGCTAGAAAAGGAGAAATCCTTGCAGAAAGAAAAGGAGGCGCAGGAGACAGCCTTGGAACAGGAGAAAGAGAGGGCTAGAATGGCCGAAAAGGAGAGGGAAAGTCACCTCCCTCCGTTCAAACGCGGCCGCGAGCTTGGTTTCACCCCCCTGCCCACTCCTACCCTCCTCTCCACAGGACCGGCCGCAAAGTCATCGGCAGAGGAAGGCGAGAAGGTAGATGCCCATGCTAAATCCAGCATCTCACCAACACCTCTGTCGCCTCAGTCCACATTCAAGAAGTTCCGCTTCCAACGGGAGCCCCCAATTCAATCGTCCTCGCCTTCCATGGTCATCAAGCGGCCCCGTAACTTCTCAGACACCCCCCAGCCCCGGGCCTTAACCGTCTCTGCGCTAACAGAAGTTACACAGCAGGAAGGACCCAAGTCCTCCACCGAACAGGAAGACCCACAGTCTTCCAAGGCGCCCGAGAAGGAGACCCCTATTAGCACCACGAGTCCCAAAAAAGAAGAGGCAAAAAGTCTTGTATTGGCGGACAAAGAAAAAGTGGATTCAGCAAAGATGGAGACAGAATCTGCAGCTAAGGAAGTGGACAAAAGCAAGGGTCCAAGAGAGGATACTGCACAGCGGAGGGGAAGAGAGACAAAGAAGGACGAGAAACATGCAAGAAAACGATCATCGTCTAATGACTCCTCCTCCTCAGAATCCGACTCTGGGTCTTCATCGTCCGGCTCCTCCAGCTCATCAACATCCTCTAGAGAGAAAACCCGTGACACTACAAGGGGTAAAAGGGTAAGTGGTTTGAAAAGAATCCCTCTAATTGGTCCCTGGCATACAGGGCCTATCATGCTGGACATTTTTAATTGTGTTAAATTTGTTTTTTTTCACCGATACGCAGCCCCGTCTCTGAAGTTTTTGGCACTATAGAGTGGCGAAGTTCCGCCCATCTACTTCCGACCCATGGGACCTTATTTCGGAAAAATTATGTATTGAAGTCAATGGGGAGAGAAAGATTATCTTTCGATCCCGTTTGAATTGTGCCACGAATTACACATATGGTGTTTGTCAATCCTTAAAAAATAATTTCCATGTAAAAAAAAAGTCACAGTTTGTCGTAAAACTGTTGAAATATAAGACTATGAAAAATATGCAACTAGAAAGACTACAAATCCCAGAATGCCGGTCCCGCATGCTGGCTCTTACGGAACCGACTAACTCCCCTTGTGTGTATGTACAGCTCTCAACATGCCCAGACTTGTAGTGATTTTCACCTCTTTTAATACTTTTCGCCTCATTCTGAAAGAAAGAAGTGAAATGTGCCAACGTGACGGCCGTCTTGGTGTGTGGTGCGAGACGGGAGATGTAGTTCATTGAGCGGTTTCACACAAAAAAAGTGTTACTTCACAGTTTTACGACACTTTTTTTTTTTTTTTTACTTGGAAAATTATCTTTTAAATTGACAAACATCATATGTGTAATTTGTGGCACAATTCAAACGGGATCGAAAGTTAATCTTTCTCTCGCCATTGACTTCAATACATACTTTTTCTGAAATAAGGTCCAATGGAGGTCCACCGGAAAGGGAGGGACTTTGCCTCTCTATAGTCAGTTTTGTGTGATGTTCTGCCTTATTTATCAATAGTGTAGTGTTTTGAGTCACCCAGAGGGCATTATCAACAGGTGGCCTCCTGTGTTGATAAATAAAAGGTTGGTGGTTGGTTGGTTGGTTAGTTAAAAAAACTAGTATTTTGAGTATGCTTTTGTCCATACCAAGGTTTTGTTGTTCTAGCAAATGTTGCAAGTGTTTTTTGGTTTTAAAAATATCTCTGTTGCTTGTGTCTTTCAGGAAGAGAAACCTAAAAAAGATCTGGCTCAGGCTAAGGGCATAAAGGAAATGCCAAAAGTCTCCCCGAGCAAAGGAGGGTCGTCTGTAGAGAAGAGAAACGTAACTGCTGATGAAGGCCACAACAAGGTCAGTTTCTCATAAACTAAAACACCCCTTATTATTACATCTGTCTCAATTCTCGACATCTTCGCTAGGTAATACTTATTTGAAATCAGGTAATGCTACAAACAAATATCTAGCTTTCTATTTCTGTTTTTTTTTCTTTGGTGATGTTACCCACCGACCTTGACAATGATCATATTATTTCACCTCTTATTCAGTTTCCTTCCCTTTTTAAATCCCCAGAAACCTTTCATTGAAGCACCGACCAGAGAGGAGCCCCAAAGTAAGAAAAAGGACAACGACGGAGAGAAGGAAACAGACAAACAAAGGTTTGCTTTTAAGTCTTAATCTTGTGAAACTCATCCTATACATTGTCTGTGTGTCAGATTAACACACACAGGTGAATGAATCTGTTGTTTTTAGTAATTGCTTAAATCACTTTCTGTTTGTGAAAAGTTATAAGAAAGGTGGTTTGGTCAAAGATAATTTAACTCTTGGTCTGAGCTCTCAGAGTTGGGTACAAGCAAGGTTTATGAATCAAACACCCCCCAACTTTGAGAATATGTATCAGTCTGTTATTAGTTGTTCAAAAGAGCAGTGTGCTTCAACAAAAGGCTTCTCTGCCAGGTTGCTACCTATAACAATGCAAAGGGAAAACAGGATTGTTAGATGTTCATCATTATTTCATTTCCCACCACAAACTCACTCTAGAAGACGAGAAAGACTATACTTTGGAGGAAAAATATAAATATATGTTACTGGCATTGTTGGGCCTGCCTCTGCTTTACAAGATGCAGCGTATGAGTATTTGAGCCAACTCCTGTAACATACTTACCACGCAAACACAAATGAAAATTAGTTTAGTTTAGTTGATGGAAACACATGCTGACTGTCATGAAAGCATAATTACATGTGTATAAGTAGAAGTTAAAAGCCTCATATGAAGCTAACAGGGGAAAAGAGTAATGAATATAAGGTTGTATGGATATTTGTATACACAGGATCTCCATATAGACCATATTCTACTCTATCAGGCAGACTTGGTGGTTTTGTGACCATTCATTTCTCAACAGGAGAGTGAAAACATGTCTTATTAGTCCTGTACAATTAATCGAAATGTATCGAAACTGCAATATGGTCTAGTGATATATCAAAATCGCAGCAAGTGCCATATTTTGGTAAAGGCAAAATATGAGAAAATATCATTTGTAAATAAATATTAAGGTGCTGCAAATAAGTCCCGGCCAACGGATTGGACAGTTGGCAAACAATTGGAATCGACCCCTGACGTTTCCTGACCTAATTATTCTTATTTTTTTAATCTGTTCTAGAAATGATGTGGCACATTTTTCGTAGGTTTACACGTGCTGCTTCATACACGTGTATTACAGCATATCACATAATCCCACTTCAGCTTTAAAATCGGTATGCTTTATGAACACACTACGTCGATGATAAAACGGTGTTGTATAAAAAAACGTAATGACTTTCCCATCAGGCGAGTGATTAGACTGCCTTGAAGCCGGTGTGGTTGAGGAGATACGGGTCCTTTTTTTTGATAGACGATCTTTTTTTCATCCGTTGCAACATGGCTGTGTTCCGACGCTGGCTTTAGCTACAGATGCTGGCCTATGGTTCTCCATACAGCGGCTTAGCTGAACAGAAAACTAGGGGGTTTGTGTGCCGCAGGGTTTGGTTTCAGACATGAATGCGTTCATAGAGGAGTATTCTCCGGTGGAAGGGAGGTAGGAGGGAGAGGGGGGGAGAGGCGGCTCGGTGCGACGCAGTCACATTAGCTACAGTAGCATTAGTACGCTTCGTTTTAACCCGGCGCAGTTTGTCTTAAATGTGTAGTTACCTCCGAAGTACATTTAACTCGAAATGACTGGACATGTTCGCATGAACGCGCATGAGGATGACATGAGAACGTGAGGCGCGCGCTCTTTTGTCAGGTATTGCGTGTCTGTCGGTCGGTCTGCGAGGAGTCTGCTGTGCTCTGCATTCATCGCCTCAGTCCTTTGACCCCATTCAACAATTAACATATCAGTGAAACAACATAGTGACTGTTAAGCTTAACCTTGTTTGTGTGTGTATCTCAGTAGAGTGGATTCATATGCTGAGAATTTGTATGCCTTTTTTTTTTAATTGCTGTTTTTTGTTTCTTATAAGGGAAATCAATATGTATGTTGAGGGTTTCATGACTGTAACTTAAATGTAGTTTAATGAGATTTAGAGGGAGATAAAAGTTGTGCTTTTAAATATTGAATATTTAAATTTTGTAACAAGGTACCTCACAATTTTTCATAAATCTGAACTCTGCTTCTATGAAACTGTTAATACATGTAATTTCACTTGTTCTACCTTGGTAAAAAAATGTCTCTTGTTTTTAAAATAAATATGTACTTTCTTTTATGTGTCTTTCACACTTTTCAGGCAGGTGAAGGAGACTGCCATGGCAGAGCCAGAGAAGCTTCCAGAGACCAGCGAGGAGGTAAGGCACCTGAAGAACCATGAATCATCCTGGGCCTCAAAGCTGTCTGTAGCTCAGGACTTGAGTGGAAGGACCCATTTAATTTGTTTTATAGTTGAATCTTTTATAGTTAAGTTTTTATTAACCAGGATATATTATACAGTATAGAACATTTTACTATATTTTTTTGTTAGAAATATTTTCTTTACAATTAAAATACATATCCACTAGATGACTTTGAGCCCTAATCACAAGTTGTAAAATGTGCTTAGGAAATTTAATTTAATAATATGGATATGGCTATATGTAAAAAAAAAAAAAAATTAAAAAAAAAACTTTTACTGAAACAGCAAGGGTATGTTCTCACTGTGGCTGATATTTAAACCCCAAATGATTGCTTTGTTATAAAGGTGCTCATGCCTCTTCCATTGCCCCTATTGGTACCTGCATACTACCTCTGCCACTACTACTTCTACTACTACTGCTACTGCTGCACCTGTTCCACTGTCCCCAAGAATCCAGAGTTGGCCACAGATAAGCCCCCAAGGCTCAGAGGGACACCCCTGGCAACAAAGGCTGCCTCATTTTCATGGATATGGCTGGCAAGAGCTATTGAATGGACTAGAACATGCAAAGAAGGGGTCGGCTAGTCAACGTTGCCCACCTCTCTTTGCCCTTACCAATTTATTGGGCCTTGTGCCCTTAAAATCAGCATTGAGACGAGATGAACAAGGACTTGTTCTCACATCAAGTCAAGGTTGCTGTGAAACAGTCAGTAGTTTTTGTACTATTTCACTTTGGTACAATCTGAACCCCTTTGCAGAGAAACATGGGGCATCATGGACATGTCATTTGTGAAGCTTGGTGAACTGTCACATGCTTGACAGAGGACATTTTGGATTCGGTTTACTCTCTTGGAATGGGATTCAGAAATCAAGACATCTCTTTGATACTAAAAGCATTTTTAAAGAAACCAAAGCTTTTGCCTGGACTTGATAAGATTGATTTGAACTGAAGAAGGACTTAACGTTTTGGTTTCGTTTCTACAACAACCTTCTGCAGATTTTTCGCAAACGTACGACTTTTCGTGCTCTACGCCATGAACAGTGCCTTAAAGAACTGAACACTAACATCAAGTTTTGGGAATTGTGTGCACAATGACTTTTAACCGCCTCCAACACCTGGCCTTCAACTCATTGGACTCATTGTTGTTACAAGAGCCTGCCACACTTTGCAAGACTAATGCCAAAACACCTGAGGATGACTGCTTCGGCCAAAAGCATTTCAAAGCCCCTACTCAAATGAACTCTTGATCCCATCCTGCCAGCAAGCACGCTTTCAGATTTCCATCCAAACATCTCAGCCACCTTTGATTGGACCCTTGTTGCCTAGATACAGTACATGCAGTCGTGATTGGGCCATTTCCAAACCAGTAAGGATCAGGTGTCAGTGGTACCAGGGAATAAGTAGACGTTTACTCAATGTTATATTTCATAGTTATTTAGAAATTAAATGCATAGTTTCCAGTCATACTATATAGTCTTTGCTGCGAGTAGCAGCGTTGAAAAGTCTTATCCTATTTATAGACACTGCAGTTTAATCAAAATTGTTGTCATCTTTAACCATAGTCAATTCCTGTGAAACTAGTTGGAGTTTTATAGAAGTAACAAGAATCTAAACTGCAATATTTCAACCAGTTACTTTTTCTCTATGATGGAGACTGCAACAGTTTTATCCTCAAGCAAGTTATAATCGATAATCTTTACATTTAGATTTTGAAATGATTATGAATGGCATGCACTTAACTACCAGTACAGTAGAAAAACCGCGTGCTGCCATTCAGTAGGCTTGAATTTAAAAAAAAAATACATTTCACAGCAGTTTCTGTCTCCACTCTCAGCCCCAGCTTCCTGTTATTGTTCCACCTTTCCTCCAACCTGTCCTTGACCACTTGGTGGCAGCTTCTCACCTCACCCATGTTTGGGGTTGTTTTTATCTTCTTGTGTTACAGACACCAAAGGCCTTCTCAACTCGTAAGATCTCTATCAGCAGTAAGTACACCCTCCCTACTTGCTCTCTTTACCAACGATTATAATTAGGGATGTGTAGTGTATTTATATCTTGACATTTAGTGGTCTAAACCAGCACCAGTGAAATACCACAATTCTCGATGACTAGTCAATACCCAAAATCATCCCACGTGCTTCAAAATGCACTCCATTTTTATTGTTTGAGTACTTTTGCTATTAAGAAAATTCTCTTCAAACAGTAAACTGGAATGGATTTTTGCCAAAGACAACATTACATTTGAACACATAGTAACATTATAATTGACCTTGGTCCATTACACAATTTTACTAAATAGTGCTTCAATGCACCTTAATACAAGTCAGTAGCACCGCTAGTAGGGCTGTGCAATTAATCGTATTTTAATCGCAATTACGATTTTGGCCTGCCACAATTACGAAAACAACATAATCGAAAAAAACAATTATTTTGCTTTGCTAGGTTGTGACGGTGCACTGCAACATATTTGATCTAATTTAATTTTGGTCTCATTTATTTGTATTTATCATATTTATATATGTTTAGTAGCTTGTGGAAGTGCGCTCCAAAATATTTGTTGTATTTATTTTGATATTATTTATTTAAATGTCTCATTTAATTTATTTTTGTATTGGTTTTTCAGTTGAATTATACGTTCAGGGTAATCAACAGTTAAAAAGATACTGTTCAAATGATTATTTGTATTTGTTTTAAAGTCAATGAATAATCGTATTTAATAATCGTGATATCAATTATTGACCCAAATAATCGTGATTATGATTTTTGCCATAATCGCACAGCCCTAACCGCTAGTTCCAATTATAACCACTAACATTCACTAGCTGTATTCCTGCTGATTTGAACCCAACACAACATTAACATGGGAAACATGTATAGTCTCCTGGACAAGGTATTGTGAGAAGAGCTGGAGAGAAAAAAAAGGGGCTAGAGAAAATCTGTGGTCCAGGACACATAGCCAGACTTTGCTTAAGGAGCCAATAAAAGCAGTCTAAATGTAAACTATTTCGCAGTGTATGCGCGAAAAACGACTGCCACATTTTCAGAATAATTACACCAACTTGGTCCCTTAGTATTAGTTTTCATGACATGCCTCTTTATAACTGATCATTAGGTTTGGTTTTGTGCACCTTTTTTTAATAATGTATATTGTAAGTGTTAAAGGGCAATATTTGTAAAGGAAAATCTAAAAAATCTTGAACGTTGATCGCATGAACATCCATAGTTTAAAGAAAACGTTGCTACAACGCTGATTTGCAAGCTAAGGCTGTATACAACATGTGCCAAAGGATTAAATTAGGTTTTTTTTTTTTCTTGTCTTACCAGGCAGTAAATCGTCCCCGGGCACCGGCGGTGCAGAGGGCGAGCAGGACTCTGGGGCTGCAGCCGGGCGCAAGAGGAGGTGGGGATCCAGCACAGCCGTCACCGCCAAGAAACCTTCCTTCAGCATCACCACGGAGTCACTGAAGGTATTTGCATATTAGTAGAGGGCTGTTCGCACCAAGAACAAGAACTATAAAGTTGGTTATTCGAACTCAAGTGAAATGTCAGAGCCCCTGCTAAATCTTAAACAAAAGTAGCAAACGATATCGTATGACTCACTTTAAGAGCAATATGATGAACGATATACACAAAAAAATACTTCTGTAGTATAATAGGTGTTCTTGTTCCACGCAGGAAGTCGGATTTGGTCTTTAAACATTTATTCTATCAATAATAACTCTTTTGCCTTGCCCCCATGGTGCTAAAAGACGCACAGCTGTGGTCGTTTTATTATCATTTTTTCCAAATCTTTCCAAAGCAGCCCTACTTGAAATGTTTAATTCTTGGTGTAGACAGCACTTAGCGCTGATATTGAGTTGTGGTTGCTAGTAATGCTTTTTAGACAGATAAATGCACTATGAGGCACTTGCCAGGTCTCTGTCTTATTTGTTGAATATAGGCACACATTCATCTTGTGATTTATCTCCGTTCTTTCCCCTTCAGTCTCTGATCCCAGACATTCGTCCGTGCCTCGGTCAGGAGGCCATAGTGGACCTGCACCCAGAGGAAGCCGCCCTCTCCGGTGCTGAGGAAGAAGAGAGGGAGCGCTCTGACCAGGACCTACAGATCCGACGAACCGTCACACAGGTCGGTATACCACGGTTTAAAATGCAAAGCACTATTTGAACATGAATTTCCTCAAGAGCTTTTTTTGTTTATAAACATTTTGCAGGTGGTGCACCCGGAGAGCCAGGAGAATGGACAGAAGGAGGTGAAGAGGAGCAAACACGAGGACTCGGAGGAGGAGGATGTGCAGGGAGACAAAGAGAGGACAAGAGCGCACGAGGAGAAGGACAGGAACGTGATGGAAACCCAGTCTCCATCACACACTAGCCGTGATGTAGAAATGAACACTGGTAATGGAAACTTTAAAAGATCTTCTTCATCCAGCATTAAACTCAGAAAAATTTCAAAGTCAGCCCAGTACCTTACACGCTGCGTTGACATCCAGTTGTATCTTTCTGACATTTTGTTGATTATTGTATGTTCTTGGTTCCAGTGACCCCAGGCGACACCCTCATCCGTCGCTCCATCAGCCAGCAGAAAACGGGTGTTTCCATCACAATCGATGACCCTGTTCGCACGGCCCGGCAGCCCTCTCCACCCCGCGGCAAAGTCTCCAGCATCGTTCACATCAGCAACCTGGTAAGAGAAAACTGGCCTAAATAGTCCAGAAATCAACAGCCAGGCCCTCTATTGTTTTTTACTGAAGACGCTTATTGACCTCCTTTTTATATAGGTGCAGGCTTATTTGTTTCTAAAGGTCTAGATTTCTATTATATACTTTTAGTATCAACCAATAATGTCGGAAGACCTAATCAAACACAGAAATGTTATATTTTTCTGTAAAGCCACAATGAAATGCATAAAAGACTTCTGTGGCATTGAAGCATGATATGTATGTGAGGCTTTGGCAGGTTATAAGGATTTGTCCTTTTTATCTAAGAATAATTCAAATGATGCCATGATTGTCCCTAAAATGCACCTCAAGAACAGTGACGTTCAGGACAGATTTGACCCGGATCACCTATCAAGCACCTGTTCTTATAACCTCACAATTTCCTCAATGTACAGTTTTTATTCATGTTCATCTTTATGCTGTTTACAACATGCATGTTGTGATAAGTGCTCTGTTATCATTTGTTTAGGTGAGGCCGTTCACTCTGGGGCAACTGAAGGAGCTGCTCAGCAGAACCGGCACCCTGGTGGAAGAGGGCTTCTGGATCGACAAAATCAAGTCTCACTGCTTCGTCACCGTGAGTTGTTGCTACTGGTAGATCTGCGTCGGACTGCTTTTGCCCCCCCGATGTTTTTCTCTGTCTTAACATCTTTTTCTGTGTTTAGTACTGCAGCTCAGAGGAGGCCGTCGCTACTCGTGCAGCTCTCCACGGAGTGAAATGGCCTCAGAGCAACCCAAAAGTCCTTAGTGTAGACTTCTGCCAGCAGGATGAGGTAGGACCTTATTGTTATTTGTCTTTATTTGTTCTTACTCCCACAATGCTAAGCCATCTGTAGCCTGAGCGTATCTCTGCTTTGTAGTTGGACTTCCAAAAAGGCTTGGCCGACCGACCCGGAGCAGAGGAGCCCGGCGCCGGCCGCGGCCGAGCGTCCGGCCTGCCCTCTCTCTTCCCCGAGCGAGAACAGTGGGCCGAGCGCGAGCGAGAGATGGAGCGCCGAGAGAAGGCCAGGGCGGAGCGGGAGTGGGACCGCGACAAGGTCCGAGACTTCGGGAAACCCGGCGAGGAGAAGGAGGGAGACCCCCAGAGGTCACTCTCCAAAGAGAAACGCCGCAAAGAGAGGGCGGAGGGCAAGGAAAAGAAGAAAGGTGAGACAAGACTATTTGCTACATTATGTAAAAACACTGGGTAGAACGGAAGCAGTTAAGTTACTCGTTCAATAACAGAAAATGAATCTTTAATTATTTTTGATAATGCTTAATTCAATTCATTAAAATTCCAAGCTAAACTGTTAATTGTTTCCACCTTGAGCTTTTTGATAGTGTCACTAGTTTATAAAACAAACGTTTGATTCAGATATAATGGCTGATAAATAAGCACTTGGAGCTCTAACGTTTATGTTTCTTTGCAGATAAAACAGCTGAGGATCCTCCGGCAAAGCTGCTTGATGATCTTTTCCGCAAAACTAAAGCAGCTCCTTGCATATACTGGCTTCCACTTACAGACGACAATGTGAGACACACAGAAGTTAATGCTCAACTATTGTTACACAGCCTAGATATCTAATCAAGACTGCACTTAAAGACTTCAATTATTCATCTGTGCATTCTTCTTCGTTGCAGATCGCTCAACGGGAAGCGGCCAGAGCAGAACGGATGAAGGTGCGCGAGAAACGGAGGAAGGAGCGAGATGAGGAGGAGGAGTTGAAAAAAAGGGAAGAGGAGCGCAAGGAGAGGGTGAAACCTGCAGGCGGCCAAACTGCAGAGCGGAGCGAGGGTGAGAAGGAGAAGGAGAAAGAGAAGGAGAAGGAGAAGAGCAGGGACAGAGAGAGAGACAGAGGTAGGGAGAACGACAAACGGAGGGATGGTTACCGTAGGCCAGAAGGCCGCGGGGCCGGCGGGGGCCGACGCTCCCGCAGCCGCAGCGACCCTCGAGACAGGCGGCGTTAACGGCCAATCAACTGACGGGACTGAGACCACACCCTCTTCCATTTGCCTTTCACTACATGTACTTTGTTACAACTAAGATCCAATAGAGGACCAACTGATGTCGCCACCATCTCTCAAATTGTCACCTTTTTTAAACAAGCACATCCGCACCTACACGCAGTCGGGCTTAAAAGGGGACCATGGTTTTGTTGCAGTGTTGTTTCCCAGAGTGCCGTGCGTGGCGCTTCTGTCAAGATTCGATATATTTTCTTTATACGTTTGCCTCTCTTCTTCTTAAGTTTTTTGTCTTGACGGTTTCGCAGTATGACACGCTGGGTTATTTTAATAATTTCCCGCCATATGTTCCCCATTCGCCCCCAAAGTGTAGATGCCAATTATGATTTGCAATCACTTGTCGTTGCCTCTGTGTTTTGAACAGCTCTGAAATCTGGATGAGGAATCCTTTTGTTGCTGCATGTAGTCCAGGCTCTTCTTGCCAGCCCTGCCTAAAGAGAAAACTGTCCTCCGTGCAGAGGCTTGCATAAATCTGAAAATATTGGAATAGGTGTGTTTGGCATTTTGTACAGACATATAAGTTTAATTCAAAATCAAGTCTTTTAAATGAGGCAGCTCTGGGGTATTTTTGGACAGGTGTGGAATGACTTCTAAGGCAATGCAGGGTTCCTCTCTCCCTCTGTTTAGTTAAGAGATGAGACGATTCTCTGTCTGTCACGCCTGTCACAAGTTATGATTATGTACGTATCATCGCTTCTCTTCTTCCTCCTCTTCCTCTTCCTCCTCCCTGTAGCGTCAAGGGGGGGAGGTTGCATTATGAGTTTTCTCAACAATGGTTTTAATATTGTTTTTTTAATCTTTATTTTATCATGTTAGTAAAAATGTTTTTGTTTTGTTTTTTATTTCTTCTTTGAGTACGCCTATCAGTGGTGAATGTACAAATAATAAAAATTGAAATTTGAAATTACTGTGACGTTTTTTTCCCCCATTCTCCCTGCTAATTGGATTTGTAGTGAAATTATTAATTTGGTCTGGTTGCAAAAATTAGAATTTCTAACTAATTACTGGGTTTTAAGTTCAAGCACATTTAGATCTGCGGTAACACTTATAATCCACAAGATGTCAGTCACACCACATGACCGGGGCCAGAGTGGAATGACTTTATCCAGTCAAGTACAAACTAGGACTTTAAGGGAAATAATGCTTTATTCAGGATACAGCAGAACATTCCACTATCTCTATATTGGAGAACTTTTCCTTAAATGTCATGTCTAGGTGATTAGCCTTGTGCATTAGCTGTTGTGGTTTCCTCCAAGTCAGGAGTGATACCTTCCCTTCCTTCACTCTGCTGTAAATACCATAGAGGAGGAGAAGTATCTTGTATTCGCCCTCTTCTGTTCCCTTGTTCCGTCTCTCCGGGCTTGATGTTAATCCTGCAGAGCTCAGCAGTGCTCCTCTGTAATTACAGCCCTATGGTCGCTGAGCAGAACATTTTTCTGCCCTGATGCAACGCAGTGTGTCTGGACTCTGGGAGGACAAGTGAATCCTTCACCCTGCCATCTCTCTGGCAACAAGAACATTTTCTAACTGAGGAGGTGGAATGAGAACACGGAGAAAGATTCTGTCTTTCATCTGCTAATGAATGTTTTATCAAGCAATCATGCGGAGAAAAGCATACACGAGTGTGCGTGTGCTGGGGAGTTAGAGGTTGAAGTTTAGGGCAAAGTGATGATGTGTTGGCCAAATTGAAAGTCAGAAGAGATTGTTTGTGGTGAGACTGAGGACAGTGTGTTAGGGTTATAAAGCAGGACTGCAGTAGAAGAGGGAGCAAGTTGACTGAAAGTGCAATATTGGAAAATGTAGGTTCAAAGTTCTGCTGCAACCCAGCCACACCTTAATTGTTGCTGATTTGTTCTTCCCAGTGAAACAAGTTGAAACATTCACATTGCCCCTTTCACACCGGCGCTTTTCCAGCTCCTGCTCGGAGCTGGAGCTGGAAAAGCGCCGGTTTTTCCTGTTCACACCGCAGCGGCGGCGCGTCATAGCTCCGGAATGCGGTTCACTTCCAGCTCCAAAAAATTGTCGGTCCAGAGCATAGACTGTAGGTGTTTCTCAATCGCGAGTACGCTTGCTTGGTAGCACATGTCTGCCGAGCATCTTGCTTCAGAAGCGAGTCAAGAATACTTCCTGCCATTCGGAAAACGAAGTGTGGAACAGGCTAGCAAGTGTGCAGGTGTGCGTCATATGAGAGGCCCCGCCTTACATCTTCCGCCACAGATTTGAGGAAATTGGTCCGTGCGCAAAGCATTGTGGGGATTTTAAGGCCGCGAAGTCTACTCATGTGCACACTCGATATTTCTCCAAACGGAGTACGCCGGGCTCGGTAGATTTCCAAGTATACTGGAGATTGGAATAGTACTTCGGCGGCACTCGATGACGTAGTATGCTTGAAATAGTGGCTCGGAAGCAGCTTTACTCGCGATTGAGAAACACCCAGAATATATAAAGGTCCAGAGGCAAGAGCTTCGGAGCTATGACGCGGCGTCGCTTACGTCGAGGCGTGCAGGAAACCTTACTTTGACCATCCGTTCGCTGTTATTGATCATTGTGGAGATACATGGGCTGTACAGGTTGTCATGTCCGACTATCACAAGTAGAATCATAATGAAAAATACGCCGGTAAAATGTGCCTGTAGAAAACGGCTTAGCAAGTAGTCAGTTTAGCTTCGGTTGCTATGCTAACATCACCCATGTTATACCAGAGAAACTTTCATAACAGCGTTGTGATGCCAAACGGCGTCAATTCAGACTGACACACATTCACTTAAGGGGAACTGGGGATATGTATCAGCTGCTTGTGTGACAGTCAGACAGTGAATACTTTAGAGCCGTGTGAGCTAACCTGGAGCTAACGGGAGAATAAACTCCCGTGGAAGAGCAGCCAGCACTGCAGCGGTCGGTAAATGCCGCTGAAACACATTAATAAACAATGAACCACGGCACTCTGGAGAAAAGTATAAGGTTGGAGAAGTCGTTATTTAATTTAATCTGACTTCGTATGATTAAAAGCAACACGATCATCGACCCGACGCAGTCCCCGGCCCGTTGTTGTTGTGGGAGAAAATCAGCGACGTAAACTGTGACGTCATGACGCAGCAGCGGCAGCTCTGGGCAGTGTGAACAGAGCGGGAGCTGAAAAGGGAAGCCGGAGCTGAACCAGAAAAGCTCTCGCTAGGAGCTAGAAAGGGAAAAGCGCTGGTGTGAAAGCCGCAATATACAAAGTTGTTTTAGCAAACGGTTGCCCATTTTTCCAAATTCAGCAGACCGTTAACTATTTCTCATAAAACTGGTGACCTGACAAATTCCAGTACAATATTCCCTCTGCGCTTTTACCTAGCTAGATAACTTTGTCTGCCCTTTAGCACTGGCCAGGTAGAGCAAAGTTGGTTTATCATATATTTTTCCACCCAAAACCGCTGCCTGGACCGAATCTTAGAGGACAACATGTTAAGGTTATTTCCACCAACTTTAACAGATTCTTTGTGTTTTTAAAAGAATAGACTGAGTACACTGAACCAGTGGTCAGAAACCATAGCAAAAGAAACTTGATTTAAAGAAAAACAAAGTAAAAGTTATCAAAAATGACTTTGTTAGTATTTTTGCTGTTCCACAAATCACAGGCTCTGTTTTAAGAGTTTGTTAGAATTAGTGAATAAGTAAGAAGAATCAGCAAGATAAAGTTACTGTTTCCGTCAATGGATCCTGGAGGCTTTAAAAGAGCATGCTTAAGTTATGCCTTCAATAATTTATACGTTATAAGTTATAATAATTGTCCAAATCCCTGTTGGCATTTTCATTATATATTCACTTCAAAGCTAATGCAAGTCATAGCATCGCATGACAAAAGGGGCGAAAATGTGCGTGTCCATCCGGGTGTTATGTTCGCTAATAAAAACCTGTGACTAATGTGGAGACGTTTGTTCCGGGCATGAATGTCAATTTGAACCTTTTCTACTGAGGATAAAAGCAGGTTTTCTGATAGAGTGGGAGAGTAGCTTTTAAAATACTTTTATTTAGCTAATTCCACCAAAGCTGAAAAACTCCTACTGCAGCTTTACCCAGGATTCTCTCTGGTCAGCTCATGACAAGAAAGATAGCGCAGATGAAGAGATGACTAAAACCAATGTTTCCGCATGTGAGGGTGTTTTATAGTACCGCCAGTACCAGCTGGAATACCTCAGTGGACCAGGTGCAGAGTTCAGGTCGTTTGTTAATGCCTCCGTGAACAGCTGAGCATGGCCACTCTCGTGCTGACGGGTGGGCAGTAAAAACAATATGTTTTCGCTCTGTAAGCAGTCCGCCTCCTCCTCTCCTCCCCTCCTTGGTGTAACCACATAGGTCTTTGTGTCCAGCCTTGCGAGGAACTGAGCACAGAGGCCCACAGTGCTCCACTTTCAAAGGCAACCTCTGATGTGGCCTTTCTGATCTCCGCATGGCTCACTGACGTTGCTCTTACTGACTTGAAGGTTTTTTTTCTGTCTCAATCCTATTTACCCAAGAGTTCCCCCCCACTTGCTCTCACACATGGATACTTATCTTTTCTTTGATTCTCTGACTGACTGAAAACTGGCCTGCGTCGTGTTCGGAAAGATGATGAAAGACTGCGATATCTTGACTGTCAGTGTTACCACTCCTTGAAGTTCAAAACTCTCTTGATACATACACACCCTTCCCCCCTCCTCGCTTAGTCCTCCCCTCTTCCCCCCCCCCCTCTTCTTTGCGATGACATGTATGTGCTTATGGAAACCAGATGTGACTTGATGCGATGGAAGAGACACAGAAAAAACAAGCATTAGGTTGTGTGATACTTCATTAACAGACTACAGGAGATGAATGTGTGTGTGTGGGGGGGGGGGGTTCTTGATGCTCCTCTCTTGTGGTATATATCCATATCCTGAGGCCTTGAGCGAAGCAGGGGGGTTTCCTTGCGGATACGGCTGGGTCAGTGCGAGGGTAGCAGGGCTTGGAGAGCCTGAATCAGCATCTCCTTGGGAAACCATGCCATATGAGAAGGGTTTGGAAAAAAGGAGAGAAAAAAAACTAACCTAAAGAAGTTGAAATGTCGAGTGCTGAACTTCCTTGCACCTGTGTTATTTTCTCCCACACAATACCCCTCTCCTCCAACATTGAAAAAGAGTCTTCTCCCACTGTACCACACCCAAGTCAAAGTGCAGACATTGTGTTAAGTCTAACAAAGGCAGGCATGTAGGCTCAAACTAAGGGGGGCAAACGCAGGCAAAACTGCATGGCTAAGAAAACAAAAATCACTAAGCAAACAGTTGGTTAAATAGACGATGAAACTGAGAAAACTGAGATTGGGACGTCTGGGGCTCACAAAATAAAAGTGTAACTAATGAGAAGTTATTTTCCATCCAAAGCTCTGTGTGGAACTAGATGGAAAAATAAGATGCAGACATAACGGAAAAAGCATTAGGTATTGATCCCCCTCTTTAACGAGCCACAGATAAACCGTGTGTGTGAGCGCAGCAGCTCTAAGACCTTGCAGAGTGTGTGGGACCATTTTAAGGTCAACATTTCTCTGTTTTAAAACAATGATTGAACAACAAAGCACATGAAAAGAGAGCAAACCTCTGCCTTCAAAGGTGCAATCAATAACCTTAACGACGGCTATTTATGGTTCACAGGCCCTTTGATGAAATGGAGGGATCGTTAGAGTTATTGGTCACACCTGTGCTCAGGACCATCAGAATATCTGCTGTGAAAAAGTAAATCTTTCATATTCATTACTCGACTGGGACTGCATATCACAGCAGTGTTTATGACTGCTATTAAAAACACAAATGTTCATATCAAATCAGCTTTGGTGGTGATAAAAGAAAAAAAAGGAATGTATAACTAGCTGGGCGGTATGATAAAAAACTCATATCACGGTATTTTTCCAAA